GCTCCAAAGGTGGAGAGTTATTTCTATAAGAACATTATCTTCAGCAACGGCCGGTCCATCACTGACCCCAAAGACTCCTGCAGAGTGTGCCACTGCCATTATGGTGCACACTGGTGTACAACATAGAAACCGTGTCCCACTGCTTCAGAGTGTAACAGTGCGTACACCTACACCGACCGTACGTACACCTACAACAGTGTCCCCAACAACGGACAGTCCACCCGTGCCCCCAAACATCCGTATCCGAAATACGTATTTCAATTAATTTTGAAAAAAAATCACCATGTAATTTGTAACAAGATACACTACATGTACTCTATGTGGAGACCCCTTCAAATGAGTGGATTTGGCTATTTCAGCCACACCCGTTGCTGACAGGTGTATAAAAACAAGCACACAGCCATACAATCTCCATAGACAAACATTGGCAGTAGAATGGTCCGTAATAAAGAGCTCAGTGACTTTCAACGTGGCACCGTCATTGGATGCCACCTTTCCAACAAGTCAGTTTGTCAAATGTGTGCCCTGCTAAAGCTGCACCGGTCAACTGTAAGTGCTGTTATTGTGAAGTGGAAACGTCTAGGCGGAACAACGGCTCAGCCACGAAGTGGTAGGCCACACAAGCTCACAGAACGGGACCGCCGAGTGCTGAGGCGCATATCACGTAAAAACACTCACTACCGAGTTCCAAACTTCCTCTGGAAGCAACGTCAGCATAAGTGTTCGTCAGATGCTTCATGAAATGGGTTTCCATGGCCGAGCAGCCGCACACAAGCCTAAGATCACCATGCGCAATGTCAAGAGTTGGCTATGGTGGTGTAAAGCTCGCCGCAATTGGACTCTGGAGCAGTGGAAACGTGTTCTCTGGAGTGATGAATCACGCTTCACCACCTGGCAGTCAGACGGACGAATCTGGGTTTGGCGGATGCCAGGAGAACGCTAGCGCGAATGCATACCGCCAACTGTAAAGTTTGGTGGAGGAGGAGCTAGGCCCCTAAGTTCCAATTACATTCTAGATGATTCTGTGCTTCCAACTTTGTGGCAAACAGTTTGGGGATGGCCCTTTCCTGTTTCTGCATGACAATGCCCCCGTGCACAAAACAAGTTCCATACAGAAATGATTTGCCGTGATTGGTGTGGAAGAACTTGACTGGCCTGCACAGAGCCCTGACCTCAACCCCATCGAACACCTTTGGGATGAATTGGAACGCCGACTGCGAAACAGGCCTAATCGCCCAACATCAGTGCCCGACCTCACTAATGCTCTTGTGGCTGAATGGAAGCAAGTCCCCACAGAAATGTTCCAACATCTAGTGGAAAGCCTTCCCAGAAGAGTAGAGGCTGTTATAGCAGCAAACGGGGGACCAACTCCATATTAAAGCCCATGATTTTGGAATGAGATGTTCATTGAGCAGGTGTCCACATACCTTTGGCCATGTAGTGTACCTCAGAGAAATGTTTTTGCTGCATTGGTAAGAGAAGTCTTATGGCACTGGATTAGTTGATGCACATGGATGCACTTCCAGAGCGAGGATAATGCAGTGAATTTGGTCCAAAAAGGGGAAGTGAACTGAACTTTGAAAGCGAACACTGTTATTATTGCCACACTATCACTACACTCACTGGAGTCTTGTGCGTCGACTTTCATTCAAAAACCTTTGCACCTCAGATAACATCACGATCATGGCCACAGCATCTTATTTCTGACACTTATGCAGCGAATTTGGAGCAATAGGGGGCCACAAAGCTGTGCGGACTAACAACTGTGTCAATTATCTGGGCTATTGGTATTGTTCATAGCATCTTAACCAAGGGTCACAGTTTGTTTTAGAACTAATTAAGGAGGCTACTTGCAAATGTATTTTCTATATTTAAAATTATAATAATTAACTATATTTTGGCACCAGTATTTTGTAGTTTATTTAGTATTTCAATGCATCTTTGCCCATCTCTGACCCTAAATCCCTGCTGAAAGACCACCTGCTGCTGAACATACTTAAATGATAATCTTCTTATTAGAGATTACCAGAATTTTCATTTAAGAAAAATAAAACAAGTATCCGTCTGCTAGCAGCTTATAATGAGGACTGCTCTTTCTACCTTTACCGTTATTATTTTTCAGAGCCTGGGCCCAGATCGGTTTGTGCTTGTCTACTCCATTGCGGTCAGTATCAAACGTTTGCTTTGGCCTGACAATTCCAAAAGGAGATGGCAAGAACAGAAACAGACTTGGACCCAGGCTACATTATTCACTCATGTGCCCTCAATGTCTTAACCCTTACTAATTATCTTCAACCTTTGTTATTAATATACAGTATTAGTAGACCTACCTTATCTTAACAAGTATGAATACATTAGAATGGATGACATTCTGTATAGGGGAAAAGACAATGAGCAAGAACACATGCTGACAAGGTTATTAGCAAGTCAATTATTTATTTTTCTGAAATTTTACTTATAAAAGTTCTATAATCTAACCTGAGAATAGCAAGGCTGCTACAGGGGATAGAGGTTGGTAAATGTTGTTTTTGCCATTTCGAAAAAGAAAACAAACATAAAATTAACTACACCCAACAATTTCATTTCGCTACCTTATTTCTTCTTTTCACAATAATTGACCGTGCTCACGTCCCACTAAATGTGTAGAATTCTACTGCAAAATAAACAATATCAATCGACTTTGGCTATATTCAGCTTAAGAGCAACAGTTCTGAGAGACAGTATCGAGCAAAACAGGATAAAAATATTTATTCTGCACTTACAAAGCACAAGGTCACAGAGTAGGAGAGCTTGTAGAGGTGGAATTATTGAGTATACATGACTTTTCGTAGGGTTGAGTATTAGTGCTGCTTTGCTGATTCCGGAGCCAGACAGTACATGGCTAAAACTCCCCGATAAGGGACTAAAACACTAATTTACCTATTCCAATTTCCCCCAAATTCAGAACAAAATACATGTTGCAAATTCAGTCATCATCAATCACCTTCATCTTGCCTGTTTGACTGTTGAATGCATTTCAACTTGGTTATTGTCCTACAGAGTGAAAGAGTGTCTGAGATTAAATATTTTCCACGTTTTTATTAGCATCCATTTCTGTTTGCAAGGAGAGGAAATTCAGAGCACAGATACGAAGTGCAAGGATGGGAAGTTTCTCTGTTCTTGGTTTCTATCTTGAGCAGTGAGTTGGTTCAGTTATTATCTCCAGTCTTTTTCCCTGGGTGTATTGAGCTCCATTTGATGTGTTGGTTACAAAAATAAAAGCAAACGCTAGACATGAAACTTGTGGTTATTCTTACACATATCAAGACACAGATACATCATACACACATTCGCAAAATATATCCAAACTTCTGTAGCTGCTAAATTTAGCTTAGCAGTGGTGAACTCTATGCGCTTTCGCTTACTCAAGAGTGAGTTTAATGTGACAATGTTGAAATTAAACTTGGTAGTGTCTGAAATGGCACCCTATCCCCTACATAAACCACTACTGTTGATCAAAAGTAGTGCACTAAATAATAGTGTGCCATTTTGGATGCAGCCTGTGATACAGGTTCCACCCCGAAACATATACATTTACACTCACTTTATATGTCAGGTGACATTTCAAGAGGTCAACCTTTCTCTCCGAGGCAGTATCAGTGGTCTATCAGATGCCCTACAATCTCACACGGCCACAGTCTCAAACCAGCCTTAAAGAGTATGTGTATTAAATTGCATAATTGTAGAAAAGGGCCAGGGTACAAAGTAAATTAATTATTGATTACCATTTATTTTCCCACTAACGCCAGTGGCCATTGGCTTTACTTCAACATGAAACATTTATATAACGTTGCATGGATGCTATTTTAAAACAGGACTGTTAATGCTAGCAATGTAAATTGATATTGGGCAAAGCACAGCTATTCCTCTTGGTACAGCAAAATTGCATCCTTGAGATTCAGTGAGCTCCAAAAGTAATGGGACATTGACACATTTGTTGTTTTGGTTCTGTACTCCAGCACTTTGGATTTGAAATGATATAATGACTGAGGTTAAAGTGCAGACTGTCAGCTTTAATTTGCGGGTATTTTTTATCCATATCAGGTGCTGTTTAGAAATTACAGCACTTTTTGTACATTTTAGGGGACAAAAAGTATTGTGACAAATTCATTTGTGTATTAAATTAGTCAAAAGTTTAGTATTTGGTCCCATATTCCTAGCATGCAATGATTACATCAAGCTTGTGACTACAACTTGTTGGATTCATTTGCTGTTTGTTTGGTTGTGTTTGATGATTACGGATACTGTAGTCCTGAATGAATCGTGAATAATGATGAGTGAGAAAGTTAAAAAAGGCATAAAGTATGAAAATGTATGCACTCACTAACTGTAAGTCGCTCTGGATAAGAGCATCTGCTAAATGACTAAAATGTAAAATGTAATAAACATCATACCCCCCCCAAAAAAATGCTAACCTCCCCTGTTATCGTAATGGTGAGAGGTTAGCATGTCTTGGGGGTATGATATTTGTGCCTCTAACTTTCACTCATCATTATTCAAGATTCATTCAGGACTATCCATAATCATGGTAGCATCCACATGAATGTAGAAGTGTTTAGAAACATATTATATTCTAATTTACAATAAAAGTGACTCCAAAATGACCCAATGCATTATTTACCATTGATTTCTATTGGGCACAAAATTATCTGAAACACAATCCAAACAAACAGCAAATGCATCCAACAAGTTTGTAGAGTCACAAGCTTTATGTAATCATTGTGTGCTAGGAATATGGGACCAAATACTAAACTTTTGACTACTTTATTACACAAGTGAATTTATCCAAATACTTTTGGTCCCCTAACATGGGGGGGGGTCTATGTACAAAAAGTGCTGTCATTTCTAAACGGTTCACCTGATATGGATAAAAATACCCCCAAATTAAAGCTGACAGTCTGCACTTGAACCTCATAGTCATTGTGTAATTTAAAAGTGCTGGAGTACAGAGCCAAAACAACAAAATGTGTCACTGTCCCAATACTTTGAGCTAACTGTATATTGGTGTCACTTTCAAAAACACCTAATAATATTGCCAACTATCAAGGCATTCTTTCACATGGTGCTGCAATTCAGCAGTTTATTTGTACCGTGTTCTCTGTTCTACTGGCTGGTAGCCTACCACACTCATACATAATCTATTCCTCTGGGATACATGAGCTTTTCTAAATGAGTCTCTCCAGGCATATTGTTAACAATACAATAACTAATCAATTTTAATCCGCTAACGTAACAAAATGGTAATATGAACTTCAACCACAAATACAGACTAAAATAAATGCATAACGACAGTTAAATTAAGAACATGACTGAAGAAATGGGGGAAAACAACAACGTAACTCAATAAAATCTCCAACATCACAGTCCACAGGTAAAGAACTAAATAAATATAGAAAGGGAAGGGAGGAGTTGTGCAGAGGGTTTCTCTGGTGGTTGTGACCTCTTCTCTCTCTGAGACACGTATATTGTCTACACGGTGGCTTCTTTTGTCATTTCGACTGGTCCTGGATCAGTCAAGTGCAGCCAACAAAGCAGCAGGAGCCTGCCAAGAGTCTCGGATGCAGCCTCAAAGATGAGGCCAGGGAAGACTGTCTAACTGTCTGCGACTGTGAAAAGGAGTGATTCTTCAGTAGCTCGTTCGTTTTGTTCTGTTCCTATGTGTCATCTCCAGTCTGCCTCATCCTCCTCTTCCTTCTACCCATCCCGCTCTCCCCATCTCCCTCGTTCATTGTGGCGGCGTCTCGCCCACGCTCTCGATGCCGTGCTGCTGGAGTTGCGCTCGGAGAAGGGCATTCTCATTCTTCAGCTCCTCGATCTGAGACAAACAACAAACAATGTCCGCCAATGAACAACAATGGGTGACCTCAATGTAATCAATAAATTAGCAGCAACTTAGCAAAATGCAACGTCAACTTCTAGGCCTCACTTGTTCTTTCAATGATTCTAGAACTAGACAGAAATGTCTGTTGTATAAACTTTTCAACAAAAGTTTTGGACAATCCTGGCCATAACATCCATCTGTTTTAAATCTCAAGGTACTGTACTATCATCTCAGCTTCTCCTCTGGGCTAGCACACACTCACTGCCTCTCTCTCCCCCACAGGACTGGAGACTGTTCGCTTCTGAGCATTAGAATGAGGACATGAAGAACGGTGCTTTGGGATTCAGTAAGTAATGAAAGGCAAAACACTCTCCATATAAATCTATGCTATAACTTCATTTTGACATTGTAAAAACGGCACTTCGGTCGTCAAACGTAAAATGAACGTTAAATGTAATGAAACACCTTCATTTGTTTGAACATTAACCCTTTTGGTTCACAGGACATGTGATAGCCTGGTCCCAGATATGTTTGTGTGGTCTTGCCAACTCCTATGTTTGGCCTGACAATGACCATAGAAGTTGGCAAGACAGCACAAACAGATCCGGGACCAGGCTAGGCCTCTGATTCTTTGTGATAGCGTTCTTTCTAGGCTGTTTTACCTGCTGTCTGCAGAGCTCGTTGTCCACCTGTACTCTCTCCACCTCTTTGACACCGTCCAGGAGCCTCTGGTTATTCTGACGGAGCTCTCGGATGTAGTCACACGCCTTAGACAGGATGCCCCCTTTACTCTGGGGGAAGGAGAGAAGAGTTCAATAAGACATCCTGCCTTGTGGACCCCAGGAAGAGTAGCTGCTGCTTTTGCAACAGCTAGTGGGGATCCTAATAAAATACCAATACACGCACAAGTGTTTAAATGAATGCAAACTGCCCCCCCCCCCCCCCCCCACACACAATTGAATCCCATTCAAAATCATATTTTCCCTAAGCCTAACCTTAACCCAACCCCTAAGCCTAATATAGCCTTTATACAAGGGAGGACCGGCAATATGTCCTCACTTCTCTGAATTTAAGTTGGTTTACTATTCTTGCGAAGACTTCTGGTACTCACAAGTATATTAAAATGTGTACACACACACACACACACACACACACGACAAAGCTGCTGAGAGTGCCTTACAGAGTGACTTACCGCCCCCGTCTTAGTGCTGTCTATGTTGCAGTCGGGGATGATTTTGGAGAGCGTGACGATCCAATTGTTGATCTTGTCTCTCCGCCGCCTCTCAACTGTTGAGACACACAGAACAGGTTCAGAGAAAGAGGTGAACAATAGGGATACATACTGGGAGTGAACAATAGGGATACATACGGGGAGTGAACATTAGGGATACATACGGGGAGTGAACATTAGGGATACATACGGGGAGTGAACATTAGGGATACATACGGGGAGTGAACAATAGGGATACATACGGGGAGTGAACATTAGGGATACATACGGGGAGTGAACATTAGGGATACATACGGGGAGTGAACATTAGGGATACATACGGGGAGTGAACATTGGGTACATACGGGGAGTGAACATTGGGGAAACATACGGGGAGTGAACATTGGGGCACATACGGGGAGTGAACATTGGGGAAACATACGGGGAGTGAACATTAGGGATACATGCGGGGAGTGAACAATAGGGATACATACGGGAGTGGTAGTGTCACATATATTTTGTAGCTGAATAGTCACTAGTAGGATGTGACATTGTGGGAACATCTGACAGTTCAACAGTACCTTAGTGGTTGGTGATGAACTAAATTCAAAAGGTCTACAGAGGATTGAGAACTCTGGGTTGAATTAGAAAAATTATATATTGTTCACTTAATGTCTTTGGCTTCAAACATAAAAAAAGAAACATTAAAACATCATAAGGTGCACCTCATTTAAAAAGAAATTCAACAAGATATTGTATACAGTACATGGCCAAAAGTATGTGGACGCCCCCTCAAATTAGTAGATTCAACTATTTCAGCCACACCCGTTGCTGACAATCGAGCACACAGCCATGCAATCTCCATAGACAAACATTGGCAGTAGAATGGCCCGTACTGAAGAGCTCAGTGACTTTCAATGTGGCACCGTCATAGGATGCCACCTTTCTAACAAGTCAGTTCGTCAAATTTCTGCCCTGCTAGAGCTGCCCCAGTCAATTGCAAGTGCTGTTTTATGAAGTGGAAACGTCTAGGAGCAACAACGGCTCAGCCGTAAAATGGTAGGCCACACAAGCTCCCAGAACGGGACCGGCGAGTGCTGAAGCGCGTAAAAATTGTCTGTCGTCGGTTGCAACACTCAATACCGAGTTCCAAACTGCCTCTGGAAGCAACATCAGCACAAAACTGTTCGGGAGCTTCATGAAATGGGTTTCCATGGCCGAGCAGCCGCACACAAGCCTAAGATCGGCTGGAGTGGTGTAAAGCTATCTGTCATTGGACTCTGGAGCAGTGGAAACGCGTTCTCTGGAGTGATGAATCACGCTTCACCATCTGGCAGTCCGACGGACTATTCTGGGTTTGGCGGATGCCAGGAGAACGCTACCTGACCAAACGCATAGTGCCAACTGTAAAGTTTGGTGGAGGAGGAATAATGGTTTGGCCTAGGCCCCTTAGTTCCAGTGAACGGAAATCTTAACGCTACGGCATAAAATTACATTCTAACTTTGTGGCAACAGTTTGGGGAAGGCCCTTTCCTGTTTCAGCATGACAATACCACCGTACACAAAGCAAAGTCCATACAGAAATTGTTTGTCGAGATCGGTGTGGAAGAACTTGACTGGCCTGCACAGAGCCCTGACCTCAACCCCATCTAACACCTTTGGGATTCATTGGAACGCCGTCTGCGAGCCAGGCCTAGTCGCCCAACATCAGCGCCTGACCTCACTAATGCTCGTGGCTGAATGGAAGCAAGTCCCCGCAGCAATGTTCCAACATCTAGCGGAAAGCCTTCCCAGAAGAGAGGAGGCTGTTATAGCAGCAAAGGGGGTACCAACTCCATATTAATGCCCGTGATTTTAGAAGGTGTTCGATGAGCAGGTGTCCACATACTTTTGGCCATGCCATGTATCTTGGAACACAGAAGGAAAGCACAGAGTTGCATGGTTAAGATATCTTGGCTCTAAGAGAACATTAATCAGGGAGGATTGTGGGTGATGTAGGCCCTTCCCTTTGCTCACCTTCATTGTGTTGAGCTCTCCTCCTTTCATCTCTGGGTGTCCGTGGGCCATCCATTTTCCTACAGACACAAACAAATAGAACATTTCACATATTTTCAAAACCCGGGAGTCTTCAGTCCACCTCCATACAAACAGGTGCAACTCTTCAGACTAAAAGAAAAATCTTCAGACTACAGCGCTCCACGCAACTAATCCAGTGCAAAAATTCCCCACCAGAACTACTATCTCAAAGCACCTCACCCCTTTACAATTACACACCACTCAGGCACCAGAGCCATACTCTGCAGGGGGCGCCGCCAAGCACCACCTTGGGCAGCCGTGCTGATCTGAAGCAGCCGTATGTGGCAGCATATGCGGTAATAACACCATCCTTGGGGCTGACAGCGAGACGCAGTGACTGGAACTACTGTATTACTGACGGCCGTCTGGACAGGCAGATTTCTTGGAGGTGTCGGAGGTGTACGTGCCCTTCCCCGCTATACCCCAGAGAGTCTCTAAGGCGCGGGCTTCATTATGGTCCTAAATTGCGATGTTGTCACATTGGTGTCCAGAGTAAGGCTAATGACAACTGTTTCTCCTCTGTGTGTGTGTGTGTGTCTTCCCCTAGGTATTCTTTAATTAAGTTCCTCATACGTGACAGCCAGATGAGCTCACGAAGGCACTGGAGACGAGATGCGCAGGGCCGCGGCAGTAAACTAATACAATTTTCGACAGCACTTACCTTGACAAAGCTTTAATCCGTCTAATGAATTGTGTCATAAATTAAACCAAAATGGCTGGTGTTCACGCAGTGCACTTACCTTTTCCACATCTAATGAGTAAAAGCAATTAAAAGCAAGATAAATCAAAATGGACTGTTTTTACTTTAACCTAGCTATTCAAGGTCATACAGAACTGAACAGAAACAACTCATGGCAATCAGGACTACCATCAAAGAGTACACACATCTTCCAATGCTAAATGTAGCTTAAAATCACATCAAGGGTCTAACATATTCACCGGGGAATTGTACTAAAGGGAATAAGGAGGTGGTATGATTGTTCTTTCTTCCTTGTGGTATATGATCTAGGCCTAATTTGATTGGTTCATTGGTTGCATGGGGAGGGGGGATGTGGAAGTTGTCCTCACCAGTTTAAACCGTCATGTTGCAGCATCTCGTTTTCGTCTCTGCGAACGGCAGGTAAGCGGTGGAAGTTTTCATTTAATTTCATTTTTTGCACAGATCAAATATGCTCAGTCATGGATTAGTTTATGCATTGTTGATGTAAGAACAAATCAAATACACAAATTATCACACCCACAAGAAAAACATATGGAAAGGGAAGAATTGAATGGCAAACCACAGAAAAAACAAGTCCTCCCTAGACAGCAGCACACACTGCAGTGGTATCCAGCCCTTTTAGACTGTACATTTATCAGTGAAGTATATAAAAGCTTTAATGGTAGCCAAAGAGAACTAGGGAATCACTGCAGCCCGCACTAACTAGAATGGACTAGTCTTGTACGAACATCCCACACAAAAGCCCCAAGCAGCCTTAAGAACTTGGGACGAGTCAAGATCAGTCCTAATAACAAAACCATACCCCAACACCTTACTGTGTGTAAATTGGTGGCCATCCCCTTTACCTAAAGCTATATTGTAAATGTATTTTTTCGGAGTATAAGAGGTGTAAAATCTCCATGTTGTTCCACAGGCCCGAGAATAAGAGTTCATCACATACAGGCAGGGAAATGACCAGGCAAGGCATATCCACTTAGTCCAACAAATTAGATTTGAGAGGATCATGTGCTCGTTCTGGATGGCAAAACAAGCACGGCATTATGAAAAATAAAAAAAAGCACTTTGGACCTATTCTTCCAAACCATTTCCCTTATGTGCAGAACCCTTGAAACACAAGCTCATAACAAACACACAACTCCTCGTTTTATATTCAAACACTTGCCTGGCACTCTCCCTTCTAGATTATATGTTCAGTTTATGGGCATGTTTCCAATTTATTCCCACCCCTTGGCTCTGGGCATGCCGTATGCCTTTATAGAAAAATAATAAGCACATTTACATTCATTTCCTAAATTAACCAGAACACTAATGTCAAATTAATTAACTGACACACATATCATTCATCATCAATTTGTCATGAGAGATCATTTAGTTTGGTTTTGATTCAGTGTTACTCATTCAGAGTGGTTTGAGGAGAATAGCTTAATCACATGATAAGGATATTAATGATTGTGAAAGAGAAAACAACTGAGGAGGAAGTAGGCAAGGAAGGGGGAAACCAGGGCAACAAGGACAGGGACATGCACTAACACAACACCCCTGTGATGATATCATCCCATCCCAAGAGAACAGCAGAGTGCTCAAGGAAACTACACACACACACACACACGCAGTGCTGTCTGACCCAGGACCAGGTCTGGCTCTTGCTCAACCCAAATCTCTATGGAAGGGAATAGGGGGATTCAGTTCAACTTTACTTTCCGTTTTTGGAGAGAATAGTCAATACACTATTTTTTCAATAGTCAATATCAGTGACTTTTAGTGTTCCAGTCTAACTGATACATCTCAGACTCAAAGTAAAGTAAACAAACTCTTAGAAGCTCTAGAAAAATCCTGTCAAATGACTTCTTAACAGGTCATTATTGATGAAAGGTTGAAATTATCGCATAACACCTAGGTGTATAGGCTAGTTCCTACTTGGAAAACATGTCTGACATGCTTGTGGAAGATGAACGTAAGGACCGTGTAGGTAGGTTTTTGACTGCTTAACATCTGGAGTGGCTCAGACTGCTGTGTGCATGGGCTCTCCTTTCAGAGTCCCCCCAAAATGAGGGACATAGGAGGAGAGTAAGAAGCAGTGTGGTTGATACTCACTCAGGGTAGGGGTGCGTGCGCGGGGCTATGGTTCGCTGTGTGCCTGTCTGCAGGACGTCAGGAGGGGTCATCATCACGTAGAACTGACCTGTGGGAGAGGAGATGACACGGGAACGAGAGAGAGAGAGAAGAAAATGGGGCAGGTTGGAGACCTCAGTGACAAACTCTTAAGGGAGAATTTGCTGAGTGACACAGGACTCTTGCAATGAGACAAACCTCGTGGCTGAGGGGATGAACAGTTAATCTCTCTCAGTCAGCACTGTGTCATGGTACTCAAATGTCAATTTGATAAGTGGTCATTCTTCTTTATGTCTGTCTGGACTTGAACCAAAAATGAGGGACAGTATTTTTCCCTCAGAAGACTGCTAGCCTAGCATTAGAAGTAGCGGTAGCGCTGACTCACCCCCGGCCTGTGTGGGGTCGGAGGTGGTCTGCACAGACACAGTGCCATCGCTCACAGCCGTAGGTGAGAAGTAGGCGAAGCGCGTCTCCCCTCCCAGCGTCTCTCCCACGGGGCTACCCCCATTACTGAAAGGGTTCTGGATCACAGCCTGACGGGGGACAAGGTGGGAAGGGTTAGCAAGCCCTACTGACAACTAACGTACAACATGGATATTACTTGAAAATAATTCATTACAAGTGACATATATAAAAGTGTCCTGATTCGTGCATAACAAAAATATACAGATAACTTGTATAACGATCAATAGTTTGATTGAACCATGAATGTCTACTGAAGTATGTCACACTCCTTAGCCATTAGGAACTGTGTTATTGTAAGGGGTAACAGTAGCGGCCTTGGTTCCTGGTGTTCTGGTACCTACCTGGGTCACTGCTTGAGGAACGCCGGGGAAGGCGGCCGTGGAGACCACGCTAACCGGCCCTCCCCCATCGTCTCTCCCCTCCAGCTGCTGGTCAGTTACCTGGACAACGCGGTAAGTCACCTGAGGGAGACAGAGAGAGAGACAGAGAGAGATAGAGAGAGAGAGAGACAGAGAAACTGGAGTCATTAATTCTACAAGAAAGAGCTTGGGATGCCTTCTAGCCTGACCACTGTCATTTCAATGTCACTTTGTGTTTTCAGTACTTGCAGGTTGGTTACCTCATATTGAGGTTCAAACCCTAGGCTATAGTATTTAAGCCCTTGCACATCGAATGATACTGCTAGGCCTATAAGTGATCCACACACCCAACATGATTATATTGCAGAATGTGCCTGATTCAATATAAAAACCAGTCCAGAAAAACACTTGTTGTTTCAAAATAATCCGGTTTTGTACCCCTTAATCATGTGACTCGCCTCCTGACTAACATGTGACACCAGCCGCATGACAAACCAGGAAAGGGATTGGAATCACATGATCACTCACACCAGCTGTGTGTACTCCAAATGAGCAGCGAACGGACCAGCTCAAACTAGCTTCATCCTTCACCTAAAAATTGGTTTATGTGAAGATAACATCCACTCTGATAATCCACAAAAGCGTAGACATATACATTCACAATTAACCAACCAATTTGACGACCCAATGCTACATCCAAACCTGTAGGCCTATATCAGTGTCCTGGCCGGATCTGCTGTCTGGGTTCAAAGCGAACGCACACAAGGCTCTCAATTCAACGGAGAGGCTAGTGTTGAATACAGGGTTATTCAGGGTTTTCCATTTTGTGATGCGGTTGATTCTCTAGTGGAGGGATGGGCAACTCCAGTCCTCTGGGGCCTGCTTGGTGTCACACTTTTGCTCCAGCTAACACACCTGACTCCAATAATCAACTAATCATGGTGTTCAGTTTAGAATGCAATTAGTTTAAAATCAGCTGTGTTTGCTAGGGATGTGGAAGAAAGTGTGACACCACTCCGGCCCCTGAGGACCAGAGTTGCCCATCCCTGCTCTACTGAGTGATGCAGTAAACTGCCCCCATACAGTAAAAACAGACCTATGTGAATTCAGCTAGTTCAATGTTTCTAAAATCAGCACTGTCTACAGAGTAAGACCACGGCAGCAATCAGTGTCAATACGGAATGTTCCTAGAGTATATGTCAATTAGGAATGTCCCACCAGAAAACTGCCAAAACGCTGTTCACGGGACACCCACCTGACCACCCTCAGAGCGGAACTGGTACTGAATGTTGTGGTCCGCGAAAGCCTGGGCCTGCTGAATACTGCCTATGGTAACAGCAGTCTGCTCCCCTCCCCCGTCTCCTGAGAGAAGGACAGTGGAATGAGAGGATTGATAGCAGAGAAAAATAACACCCAGATATCCTTTGATGAGAAATTAGTGAGGCAAGGAGCATCATTGCAAAAAGCTAGGCCTAAAACAATTTGACACTTGGGCATGTGTTTTTAGTCTGTTCTTTGGTTGATTTTTAAAGTAGCAGGTTTTTCAAGAGGATGTCTGAAATATGTCAGTACTTTGAAATGTATGAAAGAGTCAGAATGGTGAACTTATGTACCATGGCACACACAACCCAACATCAATTCTTACCTTCTAATTGGATGACCTCCTCCTCTTGTTTTTCGTGACTAAGGAGGACATAAACAAGGAGAAATTCTAAACATAGGCAAGCAAGGTCTAGCTGACAAGGTTATTATAGAGTAGGGGATATGGCAGTGAAGTACAAATACTAGGGGTGTAACGATTCGTTTTAACAACGATTCGATTTGTATCACGATTCGTGGTTGTCGATACGATTCAAGGACGATATTGGTTCATTTAGAACGATACGATCCGAAACGATTCAGTGACTTGAAATCGATTCAGTAACCTTTTAGCCAAAAATTCAACCAGTGTGACTGAAATAAATACCTGGATACTGGACAGTGCAGGTGAAGTTTCCTAGATTCCTGTTTCTTGTAAGGACCGCAATGGTGGCTTGATAATTTCTCGCTCGTCGGCTTCTCCTCTGTCGTCCGCCATGCTATGTTTTGTTGTCTTTGCGCTGCTGCTGGCGCAGGGCGATGACGTCACGGATAGGCAGACTGAATCGAGTAATGTTTAAAGCCTTTATCATTAAAAGTGCTAAGAAAAAACATCCATATAAAATCTGACGTGCTTAGATCCAATGGGTTATTTCCTAGTATCGATACAATCGATTTATTACATTTTAAAACGATGTTAGATTGATATATGTTGTCCAAAAGGCCAACTCGCCGAGCACAGATCGATGTAGTTGGATCATAGGAATATAAAATCGATACATCGATGTAGTAGATGGATCGTTACACCCCTAACAAATACACTAGCTAACTACATTTTCAGCTATATTCCAACAAGATGTCAAGAGCAGATGTGCATACATCATCTATCCAGCTGACAGCTAATCATTGTTAGTGCATGCCATTGCATTGAAAGTGAAAAGTAGCAAGCTTGCCAATTAGCTAGCTAGAAAAGATAAGTGCACAAGCTAGTTATGAATGACATTCACAAAATAGTAACATAAGCTGGCAACTCAATTTACTGATGTCAAGGTAGCCTTAAAGCTAGAATCCTTCAATTGAAACAATAAAGTGTTCACCCCGCCTAGGGCTGAGGCGGTCATGAAATTGTCAGCCGGTGATTGTCAAGCAAATAACTGTCGGTCTCACGGTAATTGACCATTAACAAACACATTTAGCATTTCCTGGCTTCCACACATTGCCTACAAGCCACTGATGTAGACCTTTGGAACATCTACATTTTAAAAATTATAATAAATCCATGTAATATAGCCTACACCATCACAATAAATCCATTATTGATTTCAGACAGGTCTAAAGAAGCATGATATGAAGAAAATGTTGTCTATTTCAGAAGAACAGAATAGCATACTCTGAGTTGTCCTTATGTTAGGGACTGATCTGGCTATGCCAAATGTCTGTGGGCTACACTAGTTCATTTAGCAGACAAGATTTGCTTAGAATTCCATGGCATTATTTTAGACAATTTTATAGTATGAAGAATACAATTGACCATAGCTGAATAAAATAGAAAGGATATTTTCTCCAAACGATTTGAGGGAGTGAGCACGAGGCTATTCTGTGTTGAGCGGTTAACAAAGAAACAGGTACTCCTATATGCTTAATTTAGAGTTATTTATGCAACTTTAGTTGTGATACAAATATTGGGCTATATGTTTAGATTTGTAATACATTCTAAGGCTGCATGATGCGACTAATGATGATTTGAAAAAAGTCGAATGAAAGGCATGAGCTCTGCTCTATTTTTTGCATAGGCTGCACACACTTCATCAGTCTCTCATTCACAATTTGACAAGCACTTGATAATGCCTCAAATTTCCCAGCAGCATCCCCTTTGGGTGGCCGTAGCCCCCCCCCAAAAAAAAATCCATGCATTTTGCGGCCACTGGCCGTTGTGCCCTTGGGCTGAATATAATAATTATAATTCCCTTCTCCCGGCTGCGTGCCGAAGCACCTATCACTCACATGGCTCTCCGCCACGTGATCGGGTCTTTCTCACAGGCTACAAGTGAAGACAGACACATCGGGGACGCAACTGCGCTCGTCCTTATCCAATTCCGAGGCGCATACTGAAGATATGGGAAGAACTGTCCACATTTACTTTTTGTCAGCTAACAAGATGAGTAGGCCTAATGAACAGCAAAAGCACTAGTCTATGTCAATCGACTATCCCCCATAGTACAAAAGTTGACCTATTCTATTCTGTGCGAGAAATAAATATTCCAAACATAGTCTGGGACAGTTGTGGGATGCGATAGATCCCACATTAATACAACCACTACCATTAAAAATAAATGTTTTAAGCAATGAGCCTGACGCAACAGATGAGAACTTTTAGCTTAAAATGTTGATAGTCTATTTCTTCACATTTTACACGCCGCAATGCGCACAGGGCAGTAGGCTATAAGCGCAAATGTTCCATTAGCAAGAAAACCCCATTCTCAAAAGTGACCAAATGTAATTATACATGTGATGCTTTTATTATAAAGGTGCATTTTTATGGTGAAAATGATCTTCCCCAAACTTGAAACTCACAAGCGGCCTGTATGCCAGTTAGGCTCTACACTCATAAAGTGGATGAATGTGCTTCATTTTAAAAGAAGTTATTTGGCCACTTTATTTGTGATACAAACCTTATCAAAACATATAGGTCTATGGACTAGCCTACATGAGGTGTGCGACTGTGATTTGAAAAGGTCACAAAAAAAGCATGTGCTGTTTCTTGCCTTAATCTGGGCATCATTTACAAGTGATAGGCTAATATTGTCACACTACTTAATCTAGTCTTTACACATACTAAATAATGTACGTGTCAAATTTGTTTTGATTTAGAATGGACCATTATCATGCACCTGTCTCGAAACATGGGCAGGGTAAAAAAATACATGTCATCTATGCACTTAAAATGGCGAATGGAGGACGCTTTTCCGTGGTTCATTTTCATGCCAGCCAGGTAGGCTATACTCCTGTTGCAAAGAGAAGCAATGTACTTAAATATTGGGAAAGTTGATAAATAAATAAATATAGTAAGCCTACAGAGAGCTGATGGGATCCTCCTCTTTTTAAGAGGCCATCACTGTTGTTTTCTCATGCAATTGCATAGCCTATAGAAATGTTGCGCAACATGAGCTCATGGGCTCTCATGAAGAGTTTGATTAGATTTTTCATACATTTGCATGAATGTCAGAGTGATTAGTGGGACAACAGAGTGCTGAGTACCAGGCAGTTAGCAAGTTTGGTAGGCTACTAATGACCACCATCAGCATCAGAACTTGGAGAAGGCTAATTACCGTGAGTAAATGGTCACATGGAATGTGACTGCCTTCATAACTCGTGACCGCCAGTGTGGTGTTAATATGGTTACCTAATAAAAAAATTAGGGATGGGCCTGGAGAAATGTAACCACTCTCAAATTCATAAACAGAGCTATGGATGCCATGACTGACCGTCCATATCATCAAAATTATAGTTTTAACATAGTTTAACATTTTTCACAAATAAATAATTTGGGCACAATACAAAATCACATTCTAAAATGCAGACTTTCTACACCGATATTTCACTGGATGTAAAAATGTGAAGCCTCCGGTTGGCGTTTCCACTCACTACCAAATATGGTGATGAGAGGAAGCCCAGTGGCCGGCAGTGCGAAGATTCTACAAATGTTCTCATTGATTAAACATTTGATCTCCATACCGTTTTTGGTTTCCAAAACTAGAATCTGTAACAAACAGAGTGGACTGTGTTTTGTACACTTTACCCTTGGCCCCCCCAAAATGTATTGCGTTGTTTAGGAGTGAAAGGGCGAATTGAGTTATTGCATACGCACACTTCACAGAGTAGGCGTTCCCTAACGGAAATACGCAAATACATGCTAGAACACGACAATAGGATCTTACAAGCTCGTGCTTGGCTCTTCCCATCTCCTTGCTCGTTCTGCCAACTATGTGGTCCTCTGTAGCTCAGCTGGTAGAGCACGGCGCTTGTAACGCCAAGGTAGTGGGTTCGATCCCCGGGACCACCCATACACAAAAATGTATGCACGCATGACTGTAAGTCGCTTTGGATAAAAGCGTCTGCTAAATGGCATATTATTATTATTATGATTAATTTGCTCCCATTGGAAACGACAGGCTCTGGTCTATCTTGGGTTGGTTATAAAAGTCTTTGCTTTCTATTTGACAACAAAAGCTAGACCGGCTTCTGTTGTCAAGATGGGAAAACAGCACCATCCCTCTCAGTAGTGGAAAAAGTACCCAACTGTCATACTTGAGTAAAAGTAAAGATACCTTAATAGAAAATGACTCAAGTAAAAGTCAGTCATCCAGTAAAATACTACTTGAGTTAAAGTCAAAAAGTATTTGGTTTTAAATATACTTAAGTATCAAAAGTAAATGTAATTGCTAAAATATACTTAAGTATAAAAAATAAAAGTGTTAATAATTTCAAATTCCTTATATTAAGCAAACCAGACGGAACCATTTCTTGTTTTTTTAATTTACGGATAGCCAGGGGCATACTCCAACGCTCAGACATCATTTACAAACAAAGCATTTAGAGATGGCAGTATTTTTACTTAAGTGCTTTACACCACTGATCCCTCTCTTCCATCGGCGTCACTAAAAGACATGGTCATAGCCTCCTCAAACACAACAAACAATGGCAGACTGAGGCAAGTGGCCGGTGTAGAAATCGCTGTGTCAGTTCCTGGTTGCTAAAATTCCACACTCTTCGCTCAATTTGAATAGTGTAGGGAATCTAAATCTCTGTAAAATATATTTCCATTAACAAAATTGGTGGACAAAACTGAAAGTAAATCTTGGGTGGTAACCACCATGGTCTATGCTATACGGGATCCTTGGGACATTAAAAAAGCACTAACCTCCTCACCGAGTTTGTATTCAGCCTATTTGTTGTTGCAATTCACCTAGCTTCCACATGGGTGAGACATTTTACATTTAGCACATTTAACTCATGAGGCAGTTATAATCTTCAAGAATCAAATGGACAGTGTTTCCCTTTATTGATATATATGATATGATAAAAAAAACTAAACACAAACACACACTGAGTATACCCAACATTAGGAACACCTACAGTGAGGGAAAAAAGTATTTGATCCCCTGCTGATTTTGTACGTTTGCCCACTGACAAAGAAATGATCAGTCTATAATTTTAATGGTAGGTTTATTTGAACAGTGAGAGACAGAATAACAACAACAAAATCCAGAAAAACGCATGTCAAAAATGTTATAAATTGATTTGCATTTTAAATGAGGGAAATAAGTATTTGACCCCCTCTCAATCAGAAAGATTTCTGGCTCCCAGGTGTCTTTTATACAGGTAACGAGCTGAGATTAGCTTGTTACCTGTATAAAAGACACCTGTCCATAGAAGCAATCAATCAATCAGATTCCAAACTCTCCACCATGGCCAAGACCAAAGAGCTCTCCAAGGATGTCAGGGACAAGATTGTAGACCTACACAAGGCTGGAATGGGCTACAAGACCATCGCCAAGCAGCTTGGTGCGATTATTCGCAAGTGGAAGAAACACAAAAGACCTGCCAATCTCCCTCGGCCTGGGGCTCCATGCAAGATCTCACCTCGTAGAGTTGCAATGATCATGAGAACGGTGAAGAATCAGCCCAGAACTACACGGGAGGATCTTGTCAATGATCTCAAGGCAGCTGGGACCATAGTCACCAAGAAAACTATTGGTAACACACTACGCTGTGAAGGACTGAAATCCTGCAGCGCCCGCAAGGTCCCCCTGCTCAAGAAAGCACATATACAGGCCCGTCTGAAGTTTGCCAATGAACATCTGAATGATTCAGAGGAGAACTGGGTGAAAGTGTTGTGGTCAGATGAGACGAAAATGGAGCTCTTTGGCATCAACTCAACTCGCCGTGTTTGGAGGAGGAGGAATACTGCCTATTACCCCAAGAACACCATCCCCACAGTCAAACATGGAGGTGGAAACTCCTGAGTGGCGCAGTGGTCTAAGGCACTGCATCACAGTGCTAGCTGTGCTCTGTCGCAGCCGGCCGCAACCGGGAGACCCATGGGCGGCGCACAATTGGTCCAGCGTCGTCCAAGGTAGGGGAGGGTTTGGCCGGCAGGGATGTGGGTTCGTTTCCCACGGGGGGCCAGTATGAAAAAAATAGAAAATACGTATCCTTTCACTAACTGTAAGTCGCTCTGGATAAGAGCGTCTGCTAAATTACTAAAATGTAATGTAAATGAAACATTATGCTTTGGGGGTGTTTTTCTGCTAAGGGGACAGGACAACTTCACCGCATCAAAGGGACAATGGACTTGGGTGAGAACCTCCTTCCCTCAGCCAGGGCATTGAAAATGGGTCGTGGATGGGTATTCCAGCATTACAATGACCCCAAACACACGGCCAAGGCAACAAAGGAGTGGCTCAAGAAGAAGCACATTAAGGTCCTGGAGTGGCCTAGCCAGTCTCCAGACCTTAATCCCATAGAAAATCTGTGGAGGGAGCTGAAGGGTCGAGTTGCCAAACGTCAGCCTCGAAACCTTAATGACTTGGAGAAGATCTGCAAAGAGGAGTGGGACAAAATCCCTCCTGAGATGTGTGCAAACCTGGTGGCCAACTACAAGAAACGTCTGACCTCTGTGATTGCCAACAAGGGTTTTGCCACCAAGAACTAAGTCATGTTTTGCAGAAGGGTCAAATACTTATTTCCCTCATTAAAATGCAAATCAATTTATAACATTTTTGACATGCGTTTTTCTGGATTTTTGTTGTTGTTATTCTGTCTCTCACTGTTCAAATAAACCTACCATTAAAATTATAGACTGATCATGTCTTTGTCAGTGGGCAAACATACAAAATCAGCAGGGGATCAAATACTTTTTCCCCTCACTGTAAGGTGTCGAAAGCATTCCACAGGGATGTTGGCCCATGTTGACGCCAATGCTTCCCACAGTTGTGTCAAATTGGCTGGATGTCCTTTGGGTGGTGGACCATTCTTGATACACACACAGGAAACTGCTGAGCGTGAAAAACCATACCCCGTTCAAGGTCACTTAAATATTTTGTCTTGCCCATTCATCCTCCAAATGTCACACATACACAATCCATGTCTCAATTGTCTCAAGGCTTAAAAATCCTTCTTTAACCGGTCTCCTCCCCTTCATCTACACTGATTGAAGTGGATTTAACAAGTGACATCAATAAGGGATCATAGCTTTCACCTGGATTCACCTGGTCAGTCTATGTCATTGAAAGAGCAGGTGTATACTCATATTAGGGGTTGTTCTGTTTTTCAGTGCCTTAGACCGCTGCGCCACTCAGGATCTCAGGTATATGATGTTTTGGTAATCTGAATCACGCAATGCCTTGCAAATTCACCAAAGTAGCTTAAAGTTTGCCTCTTCCTCTCTGTTTTTATTTAAATTACACAACTTTCCCCAGGCTTTTTATGGCTTATCTTCTAGTTGGGCTATAACAGGGGAAATAATGTTTTGTGATCACTGCACTGTCACTACAGACCCGGGTTCGATCCCTGAGTGTATCACAGCCAGCTGTGATCGGGAGCCCAATAGGGCGGCGCACAATTGGCCCAGTGTCATCCGGGTTAGGGGAGGGGTTGGCCGGGGTAGGCCGTCATTGTAAATAAGAATTTGTTCTTTAACTGACTTGCCTAGTTAAATAAAGGTTAAATAAATAAATATATATACACTACAGGTCAAAAGTTTTAGAACACCTACTCATTCCAGGGTTTTACTTTATTTTTTTAACTATTTTCTACATTGTAGAATAATTGTGAAGACATCAAAACTATGAAATAACACATATGGAATCATGTAGTAACCAAAAAAAGTGTTAAACAAATCAAAATATATTTTACATTTGAGATTCTTCAAAATAGCCAGCCTTTGCCTTGACAGCTTTGCACAGCTGAAAAATACAATATGTTTGGTTATGGAAAATATATTTCACTGCGGTTTAGACGGTACAATGATTCTCTACACTATAGTTGCTTGTTTTGTCACATCAACTGAAATTAGGCGAATTATTATAATTTTAGCAACCAGGAAATGGTGGAGCGATTTCTACATAGTGCATCTTTAATTTACAAGTCCAAAAATGGATGTAGTAACTACATTCCAACTGTAAACTAGCAAGTTAACTTTGTAAGTTATATCTCTAACGAACTATCTAGTAAGCTAACTAATGTTAGTTCAGTGTTAACAAAACGGATAGCCCTAACTAGCTAGGTAACGTTAGTTTAGTTAGCTAACGTTAGCTAGCTAACTACTACTACTAGCAAGATTTAGATTATTTACCTAGTACTGTAAATTAACTACCGTAGAAAACCGTGTTTGCATGAAATGCTGCAGTCGTTTGCTATACTGTAACCCTTTTCTAATTGGATTTTCTAGCTTAGCTGTGCAAAAAGATGACTAAAATAAACCACTTTATTGTATCTAGTTTATACTACACATAATCAAGCTGTTTTCTAGAAAATGGAGGCCAGGCCTTCGCTTGCTAGAGGAGACGTCCATACGTGATGGAGAGGAAGTGGAGGGCATTGTATTACCTTGTCGCGGTGTCCAGACTCTGTTCGAGGTGCATATCCATCAGGGTTTAAATAAAATGTGATATTCAGTGACACAGACGCGTAGATGGAAGTGCTGATCACGGGAACAAACACTCGGGTCATGTGAGAGAGACAGTCCAAGACACGTGAGGCATATATCGGACTCGAAGTTAAAATGGAGACCGCTGCCGCTGGCTGGGGTTTATGTCGCTCTCGAAGCTTTCGTTCTCACCGTTTTACTCGCACTTTGCTAATTTCTTTGAGTCTGTGTCGTCAGGATAGCAACTTGGACTGTTGGAATTGTTTCGTTGCAAGGTTATGGCACAGTAATTCGTCGAATAATTTCGGTAAATGTTTTGTCACGCTCGGGTTTTTTTCTCCTCTCAAAACCTCTGCAGGAAACCAGCTTCCGTCGTGTCTCACAAAATATGGAGTGGACCTTTGGTGTTAGCGATTTTAATTCCCCGCCCTGCTCTGCGTCTATTTTTGTTCAACTTTTGATCTTAGAAGAGGAGTATGTAGAAATGTGTTTTATGTACAGTAGGCTACACTGCAATGTTGATTTGATGTGCCCCTGTTTCAAATGAATTTTCAACCTTCTCCATTCCATTCTATCCATTGCGTGTCAACGTTTGTATTATTACAAAACATTACAATTACACCTCAATTAATGTCTGATATTTACACCAAAGATGGTTTAGAAACTGTGTTCGGAGTCCAAATCAAGCTCATGTGACATATGATGCTGCTGATAACGTTGGTTTATTCAGGTGAGAGCTGAGATCGAATCCGGGTTTTTGCTTTAACCACATGACTACCACGTCAAAGAAAAGTGAAATACAATAACAAACAGTACCATTTGTGCTGCATTGAGCACTTTGTAAACATTGAATCAATAAAATAAAAATCGGGTGCAAAGTCTACCTAGACAGTGGTTGATATATAATAGTTACATTGAAATAGTTACATTAAGAGGATATGTGTAGGAGATAATTCTTCCACTGATATTTTCCATTGACCACCAAGGAACATGTTGCATATTTGATATGATTTAATACAAAGTTTTAGATTGTGCATCTTAAGGCTAAGTTAATCTTAGAACCATAGGATCCTATGGTTCTAAAGATGAAGTTAGCCTTAAGACTACTTGCCGACACCAAGGAACTTGAAACTCTCGACCCGCTCCACTGCAGCCCCGTCGATGTTAATGGGGGCCTGTTCAGCCTGCCTTTTCCTGTAGTCCGCGATCAGCTCCTTTGTTTTGCTCACATTGAGGGAGAGGTTGTTATCCTGGCACCACACTGCCAGGTCTCTGACCTCCTCGCTATAGTCTGTCTCATCGTTGTCGGTGATCAGGCCTACCACTGTTGTGTCGTCAGCGAACTTAATGATGGTGTTGGAGTTGTGCTTGGCCATGCAGTCATGGGTGAACAGGGAGTACAGGAGGGGACTAAGCACGCACCCCTGAGGGGCCCCAGTGTTGAGGATCAGCGTGGAAGATGTGTTGTTGCCTACCCTTACCACCTGGGGGCGGCCCGTCAGGAAGTCCAGGATCCAGTTGCAGAGGGAGGTGTTCAGTCCCAGGGTCCTTAGCTTAGTGATGAGCTTTGTGGGCACTATGGTGTTGAACGCTGAGCTGTAGTCGATGAACAGCATTCTCACATAGGTGTTCCTTTTGTCCAGGTGGGAAAGGGCAGTGTGGAGTGTGATTAAGATTGCGTCATCTGTGGATCTGTTGGGGCGGTATGCGAATTGGAGTGGGTCTAGGGTTTCCGGGATGATGATGTTGATGTGAACCATGACCAGCCTTTCAAAACACTTCATGGCTAACGACGTGAGTGCTACGGGACGTTAGTCATTTAGGCAGGCTACCTTCGCTTTCTTGGGCACAGGGACTATGGTGGTCTGCTTGAAACATGTAGGTATTACAGACTCAGTCAAGGAGAGGTTGAAAATGTCAGTGAAGACACTTGCCAGTTGTTCCACACATGCTCTGAGTACACGTCCTGGTAATCTGTCTGGCCCCGGGGCCTTGTGAATGTTGACCTGTTTAAAGGTCTTGCTCACATCGGCTACGGAGAGCGTGATCACACAGGCGTCCGGAACAGCTGGTGCTCTCATTCATGCTTCATTGTTGCTTGCCTCGAAGCGAGCATAAAAGGCATTTAGCTCGTCTGGTAGGCTCGCGTCACTGGGCAGCTCGCGGCTGGGTTTCCCTTTGTAGTCTGTAATAGTTTGCAAGCCCTGCCACATCCGACGAGTGTCAGAGCCAGTGTAGTAGGATTCAATCTTAGTCCTGTATTGACATTTTGCCTGTTTGATGGTTCGTCTGAGGGCATAGCGGGATTTCTTATAAGCGTCCGGATTAGTGTCCCACTCCTTGACAGCGGCAGCTCTAGCCTTTAGCTCAGTGCGGATGTTGCCTGTAATCCATGGCTTCTGGTTGGGATATGTACGTACGGTCACTGTGGGGATGACATCATCGATGCACTTATTGATGAATCCCGGAACATATTCCAGTCTGTGCTAGCAAAACAGTCCTGTAGCGTAGCATATTACCTCAATTACCTCGACTAACTTGTACCCCTGCACATTGACACGGTACCGGTACTCTCTGTATATAGCCTCGTTATTATTCTGTTATTGTGTTTCTTTTTTTCTTACTTTAGTTTATTTGCATCTTTTATAGCAAATATTTTCGTACTGACTTTTTTTAAAAATTCTGCATTGTTGGTTAAGGGCTTGTAAGTAAGCATTTCACGGTAAGGTTGTATTCGGCGCAATTTTTTTATATTTTTTGACATAAAGGTTTGTTTTCACCTCATACAAGCAGTTTATAAAGATGAACTGCTCCTTTAATTACACCATGAACTTCACCCTAGTTAACCAAGAGTGGAACACAATTCCTGGGTTTTATGCTTGTTCTCTGTGATTGGTTACAGGTCACTTTTGCTGACAGTCTTCAAGATTCACATAATTCAATTGGTTCCAACAATGGGCGGTCCCGTTTAGACCCGCCTTTCTTTTCAACGGAATCATTCTAAAATCTTTCAGACCTCTCCTGCCTTACCGTTCTCCTAGCAGCAGGATATTATGCTGGCAGCACGATCGCGGATTTTCTTTTTCAAAATAAGAGTCCCCCTGCAGACATGCAAAACGTCAGGAATATCGCAAAAAAAATAATCTTCACTTTTGCAGTACAATTATTTTTCAAAGCATTGCAACCTCCTCTGCATTTTTTGGGGTGATAATTTGCTGTATTTTATTTGCAAAATTGTATTATTTATACCAGCATTTATTTTGAAATTTACACATACTGGTGCAGTATGTTTAATGCTATTGTGTAGGCTATATTTAAAGAAATACACTTTTAATAAAATACAAAACATTTAAATGGGTCTTGTGCTGGGCAACTGGTTTAATACAGAGTACTAGTGACTCCTTACTCCACCCACACCTTTCACTGCAACGCAACACACGGTATATGGGATATTTATTGGCTTGTAGAGAGAACTTTTCTACCTGTCTCAGCTAAAGTGGGATGGGAAATACTACTAACCAAATATGTGTCGTTTTGGAGGGGGACTGCTGCTGGCTGAGAACTAAGTGCTGCTGGGTATGTCCAACAGTCCCACTCCAAAACAAACCATCATATTTGGTTAGTAGAGACCCTACTGAGTATTTCCCACCCCACTTTAGCTGAGACAAGTAGAAAAGTTCTCTCTACAGCCCAATATTCTCAACATACCAGTGTCAATGTTATCTTTTTTCATTATTGGTATAAAAATAAATAATTAAAAAACATATTTGGGATTTGTTTTAATAAATTACACAATTCAATATCTTTTGAATGAGTTATCCACATCGCAACGTTTTGAAATGCGGGCTTTTATTTTAAACTTGTTACTATTACCATACCGAAGTGACGTCATCGTTTGTGCTGTTAGCAGAATACTAGCCTCCTGCCTCTTGGGTGAAGGTTCGTTGTGGTGACTGGGTAGCTAGCTACTGTACATTGCTGAACCGAAGAATCGCTAACAATGTCGCGGGTTCTTGTTGGAGTTAAACGTGTAATTGACTATGCTGTCAAGGTAGCTACTTCCCCACTGTCTTGTATTTAAAAGCAATTCAACATTTCACGTGCAGAATTTCCATTCGATACGTCCTTTGCTAGCTAGCTAACTACTAGCTGACGTAAGGTGGCTGAATGGATGAAGGGTTAGGTTAGCAAGCTAGCAGTCATTGTTTGAATGTCAAGTCTGTTCAACTAACAACCATAACTGCAAGGAAAATACCAAGGTCATTACAGGGTTGTCTAGGTAATAGTTAATGATAGTTTGCGTGCTAAGATACTTGTAGAATTGGCTAAAACGATAAACGACTGTCAAAATGAAAAAAGAAAGCTAACTAATCCCATTGTGTAATAAGTTACACGTTTGGCTGCCATTCTTTGTCAACACAGCCCTCGTGGTCAACTAGTCATTATTATACACAGGTGAAATGTTAACTAGAATCTAGATAATTATTTGCACATTATGGTTTTGTCATCCTGGTCAACAGGCATTGCTGTCAGTATCTGGGCAATGTGTGTGAGACACAGTCTGGGCCAGTCATGTATTATGAGATGACTAATGTACAGTACCAGTCAAAAGTTTGGATACACCTACTCGTTCAAGGGTTTTTCTTTATTTTTACTATTTTCTACATTGTAGAATAATAGTGAAGGCATCAAAACTATTAAATAACACGTATGGAATTATGTAGGAACCAAAAAAGTGTTAAACAAATCAAAATATATTTTATATTTGAGATTCTTCAAATAGCCACCCTTTGCCTTGATGACAGCTTTGCACACTCTTGCCATTCTCTCAACCAGCTTCATGAGGTAGTCACCTGGAATGCATTTCAATTAACAGGTGTGCCCTTTTAAAAGTTAATTTGTAGAATTTCTTTAGTTTCTTCAAGTGCAGTTGCAAAAACCATCAAGTGCTATGATGAAACTGTCTCTCATGAGGCCCGACACAGGAAAGGAAGACCCAGAGTTACCTCTGCTGCAGAAGATAAGTTCATTAGCATTAACTGCACTTCAGATTGCAGCCCAAATAAGTGCTTCACAGAGTTCAAGTAACAGACAACTCAACATCAACTGTTCAGAGGAGACTGTGTGAATCAGGCCTTCATGGTTGAATTGCTGCTAAGAAACCACTACTAAAGGACACCAATAAGAAGAAGAGACCTGCTTGGGCCAAGAAACACGAGCAATGGACATTAAACTGGCGGAAATCTGTCCTTTGTCAGATGAGTCCAAATTTGAGATTTTATATTCAGTAGGGCATACCATAGCAAAACTCTTTGAAACAGAAAATGTATTAGCATTTCTTATTGGAGTCCAGGTAGTCCCACCCTTTTTCAGTAAGTTTTCTTCTGTTCAGTGCCTAATGAAGACAACCCTGCCCTCTCCCTTAGATCCGCGTGAAGCCCGACAACAGTGGGGTGGTGACAGATGGCGTCAAGCACTCTATGAACCCCTTCTGTGAGATCGCTGTGGAGGAGGCCGTCAAACTCAAGGAGAAGAAGTTCATCAAAGAGGTGGTGGCCGTCAGCTGTGGGCCCACGCAAGTAACGGTAAGAGTGACAGGGTGCTCTGGCCTGGCGACACCATTTTGAAGTCGGTGGTGTATTCAACGATGCGAAACATTTTCCTTATTCTACATGACATTCTACATATCTGTTCTACTCAATTCATTTCTATCCGAACGTTCTGTAGCATTAGGCTACATCCTCCTTAACAGGCCTTCAATAGCTAACATTTGGAGGGAAGCCTTGGATCTTGTTTCTTAATTAGGATAGCTGTCATTATGTTTTCATTCTATTGTAAGAAACATTCTGCAGTTGGTCACCTTGATTGTGCTAATGATTGTATTATTCTGTCATTGTTCTCAGATGGTGTTCATATACAGTGGGGAAAAAAAGTATTTAGTCAGCCACCAATTGTGCTAGTTCTCCCACTTAAAAAGATGAGAGAGGCCTGTCATTTTCATCATAGGTACACGTCAACTATGACAGACAAATTGAGATGTTTTTTCTCCAGAAAATCACATTGTAGGATTTTTAATGAATTTATTTGCAAATTATGGTGGAAAATAAGTATTTGGTCACCTACAAACAAGCAAGATTTCTGGCTCTCACAGACCTGTAACTTCTTCTTTAAGAGGCTCCTCTGTCCTCCACTCGTTACCTGTATTAATGGCACCTGTTTGAACTTGTTATCAGTATAAAAGACACCTGTCCACAACCTCAAACAGTCACACTCCAAACTCCACTATGGCCAAGACCAAAGAGCTGTCAAAGGACACCAGAAACAAAATTGTAGACCTGCACCAGGCTGGGAAGACTGAATCTGCAATAGGTAAGCAGCTTGGTTTGAAGAAATCAACTGTGGGAGCAATTATTAGGAAATGGAAGACATACAAGACCACTGATAATCTCCCTCGATCTGGGACTCCACGCAAGATCTCACCCAGTGGGGTCAAAATGATCACAAGAACGGTGAGCAAAAATCCCAGAACCACACGGGGGGACCTAGTGAATGACCTGCAGAGAGCTGGGACCAAAGTAACAAAGCCTACCATCAGTAACACACTACGCCGCCAGGGACTCAAATCCTGTAGTGCCAGACGTGTCCCCCTGCTTAAGCCAGTACATGTCCAGGCCCGTCTGACGTTTACTAGAGTGCATTTGGATGATCCAGAAGAGGATTGGGAGAATGTCATATGGTCAGATGAAACCAAAATAGAACTTTTTGGTAAAAACTCAACTCGTCGTGTTTGGAGGACAAAGAATGCTGAGTTGCATCCAAAGAACACCATACCTACTGTGAAGCATGGGGGTGTAAACATCATGCTTTGGGGCTGTTTTTCTGCAAAGGGACCAGGACGACTGATCCGTGTAAAGGAAAGAATGAATGGGGCCATGTATCGTGAGATTTTGAGTGAAAACCTCCTTCCATCAGCAAGGGCATTGAAAATTAAACGTGGCTGGGTCTTTCAGCATGACAATAATCCCAAACACACCGCCCGGGCAACGAAGGAGTGGCTTCGTAAGAAGCATTTCAAGGTCCTGGAGTGGCCTAGCCAGTCTCCAGATCTCAACCCAATAGAAAATCTTTGGAGGGAGTTGAAAGTCCGTGTTGCCCAGCGACAGCCCCAAAACATCACTGCTCTATAGGAGATCTGCATGGAGGAATGGGCCAAAATACCAGCAACAGTGTGTGAAAACCTTGTGAAGACTTACAGAAAACGTTTGACCTGTGTCATTGCCAACAAAGGGTATATAACAAAGTATTGAGAAACTTTTGTTATTGACCAAATACTTATTTTCCACCATAATTTGCAAATAAAATCATAAAAAATCCTACAATGTGATTTTCTGGATTTTTTTTCTAATTTTGTCTGTCATAGTTGACAGGCCTCATCTTTTTAAGTGGGAGAACTTGCACAATTGGTGGCTGACTAAATACTTTTTTCCCCCACTGTATAATTTTGAGAACCCCACCGCTCAAGCATTTGTATTGTGTGTGTAGGAGACCATCCGTACTGCACTGGCCATGGGGTGTGACCGCGGCATCCACGTGGAGGTGTCGGGAAAAGACTACGAGGCCATGGGACCCCTGCAGGTCTCCAAGATCTTTGCTGCCCTGGCCAAGAAGGAGGAGGCCTCACTCGTCATCCTGGGCAAACAGGTCATCCGATGCAATAGATTGTGCCACTGCCACACCAATGCCAGTTGACTTTGAAATCAAACCTCATGATCTCATGTAATGCTCACTGATTGTGTTGGTATTTTTTGACAGGCCATTGACGATGACTGTAACCAGACGGGTCAGATGACGGCAGCCTTGTTGGACTGGCCTCAGGTCAGTTGTGGTTTCTTCTTGTTGTAATCCTTTCTCTCAGCAGTAATCACTAAATTGATCTCAGAGCATAGAGGTCTTGTTTACTGTTAACTGCTGACTTGAATGCCACTGCTGTCCGGACCAGGACCTTTTCTCATGGTCTTTATAAGCATTAGCATATCGTCTCAATGTCAGGTGAAGGGACCAGCTGAACTAGCAGGCCTTAGATTATGTCACTGGCCAGAGATAGTTATCAGGGTAAGACGAGGCTAGTTTGACCTGGCCAGATCTACAGTCAACACGGTCTGCACTGAAAAGTAGACCATAGGCCAGTTAAAGGGCAAAATTAGGGTGTATTTACATAGTTAAACCACCAGATGTCACACTTGGATTGCCTCGTGGCCTACAATGGGTTTCCAATTGTCAGGTAACATAGGAAAGAAGGCTTTGTTTTTGCCCTACGACATGATAATGAACATAGTGTTCTACTCAAAGCATTTGTTATAAGTTATAATTTCAAGAATATTTCATCTCTGTGGATTATGACATGTACTAAATGTAGGACCTCCCATTCTTGCAGGGCACATTTGCCTCTGAGGTGACCATCGATGGGGATAAGGTGAAGGTGGTGAGGGAAATCGACGGTGGTCTAGAGACCATCAAGATCAGCATGCCAGCTGTCCTCACAGCAGACCTTCGACTCAACACCCCCAGATACGCCACCCTGCCCAACATCATGGTAATACACACACACACACACACACACACACACAATGTACATTTCCTCACAAAGTGTACACACACACAAATATCACTTTATATTCTCATCTCATTCTCCCTCCACCTCCCAGAAAGCCAAGAAGAAGAAGATAGCCAACATGAAGCCAGCGGACCTGGGGGTGGACATGGTGTCGCGGGTGGAGGTGTTGAGGGTGGACGAGCCCCCAACGAGACTGGCCGGAGTGAAGGTGGAGACGGTGGATGATCTGGTGGCCAAACTCAAGGCAAACGGAACAATCTAGAAGCCCTGTGGGTGCCAAATGGGGAGTGCAGGGGACACACAGAGGGTGAGTCTCAATATCTGAAAACAGTATGACTGTTTGAGATGATATTGGTTAACCCATTAGAAAATGTCTGAGGGATTCTCAGCATGACAGAGCACTGATCCCGAGTGGCGCAGTGGTCTAAGGCACTGCATCGCAGTGCTAGCTGTGCCACTAGAGATCCTGGTTCGAATCCAGGCTCTGTCGTAGCCGGCCGCGACCGGGAGACCCATGGGGCGGTGCACAATTGGCTCAGCGTCGTCCAGGGTAGGGGAGGGAATGGCCGGCAGGGATGTAGCTCAGTTGGTAGAGCATGGCGTTTGCAATGCCAGGGTTGTATGACAAATTGCCTCAACTGAAAACACAGACCTTTGCCAAAGTGTGCTGTACTTGACCAAGCTCAGTGTTTCTGTCTCTATTTGGCTGTAATATGTAATTTCCCCCCTTCTTTTGCAGGTCTCTGTCTGAGCGATGATGGAACAAAGTAATTTAGCAAACATGGAGGACTGGTTGCTTAAGGCAGAACCCATCGCCACCCGGCCCTCTGTGTTTAACTCTGACTCCCATGATAGTAGCCTACTAACCTGGAATGAAGGGATACTGAGAAACACTGTCCGATAGGAACCCACACAGCCCAGAGGGTGAAGAGGGTCCGTTTTTATTGTGCATTTAAATTCACATGGTACATCTGTATTGTAATTCATGTATCTTCTCTGTGAGTATAGGTAACTAGATATGGAGAACCTAGACAAAAAAAAATGCACTACTTCCAAGCCAGTAATGTAAGTCAGTAACTTTCATTCACCCATGTTTCTGTATGTGTTGCACTGTACATTCAACAGAGTGTCACAATAACATTTTCATCTGTAACATGGGCCTATGAAAACCCTATCACGAAAACCTACATTGACACATCTGGGCTATGCAGTTTAAGTTGGATGCTATGTGTAAATAAGAACCCAAAGTTGCAGAGTTGAATGTGCATTCAGGGTTTGTGATATGTCTTACTGACTTGATTTGTATAAAGTTTATATAAATATAATTATTTCTGGGTTGGGTGGCAGCTCCGGTTGGAGAGTGTCTCTCAGTAGATGGGGGAAAATGATCAAAAACACACGCAAAGTTTGACTTTTTACCATAAGCGCCTCTTCTGTTTAGATTGTACAGGATCCTACCATAACAATAAATATACCTTTTTCATATCTGCATCTGCTGTTTTCCACTGTCATTCTATGTTGCTGTATTCTGTCTTTCCACATCAGTGTTTTGGTTTTAAGATAGTCTCTTGAATAGCTAGTACTTGGCAACAACCATCCAGTCATTACAGTGCACATTCCAAACCTCCTAAATCCCAGAGGAAGATGGTACTCCATCTTCAATTAAGGAGAAGCTAGAATGAGGAAAGTGGATTATGGGGACAGTGTCAAACCCAAAACTAATGTAACTGAGATCATTATTAGAAGTGGATTAGAAGCCGAATGTCACACAATCCAAAGACCAAGCAATCTGAAAGAATATAAAACTTGTCTGCGTAAATACATTTTATGTGAGTTAACTTGGCAATGCAAGACCCAAAGACAAATTGCCCCCTTTTCAGATTTGGTGTCAACCATGTTTTCCTAACTGTTGTAGCTAAAGCCATTTTATAATGAGAGGATTTGCTTATATGGCCCAGGTTAGCCAGTGGGAGGAGTTTCACTAGGTGAAAAGTGATTGCATTTGTTTTGGGACGGGGCTGCCTCCTGGGCACAAGCCAGGTGGCCCATTCAAAGCCACGACGAAGTCTGCTCAAAACAAAAGTGGTGTAGCCTAGGCTAGTGGCACATGGAGTCATGAGTAGGATTCTGTTTTCACATGCAAAAGTGATTGCTTTTGATAAAAATGCTTTATCTGCCTTCCCAATGAAAATTAGTTTGAAAATTCAAACATAACATATATTTTATGGAAAAGAGATGTATGTTTCTAGATGATGCACCGTGCTGCCTTGTTGACAACCTGACCAAGCGGCGCAGATCAGTGTTCGATTTGAGAAGGGCGCTCCTCCCTCACTGCTTTTGCCCCTTCACGTCACGGGCCATCGAGGGGTGCACTGCAGCTCAGGTTAATAGAACTCCCTCAATGACTATACTATTTCAGTGGTAACCAATAACTGGGGTAGCTGTGTGTGTGGTTGGCCCACCCCTCGCTCCTTGGAACCAGACACCAAGGTTGTGTCTCCAGAGAGGAAGAGAGAGGCCCAACTCTGCGGGAAATCTTTCTCCCTTCAGCAGGTGGCGTTGTTTCGCCCACCAAGCAAGGCGTTTTTGTATTGATATTAATGAGTGTCGAATTTGGTAAACAAAACATTTTATGGCTTATTTGCTACGTGAGGTTTATTTGATCAAGTATAAGTTACGTAATGCTTAAGTTATTACGAGAGTACTGATAAGTAGGACACGTAACAGCCCGGCAACTTTGAGAAAAAAACACTTTATATCGGAGTTGTCTCAATGGCTGGCTATTCATGGCATGAGGCTAGTAGCATAGCGTCGCCATTGAATACAGGCTGTTGACGTCAACAACTCTCCTCGAATATTCAGAAATGAATACAATAATGAGATGTATCCACCAATCCAAAGACAGGATAGGCGGGAGTTAGGCAGCCCAACCGTGCCGCTTTGTGGACAACGACTCCCGTTGTTAGGGCGGAGAGACATGTACTGTATCTTGTCAGTATATCCATAATCTTTGGTGTCTCCCAGAAGACAAGAGCCATAGGTGCTGCAAAGAATGCAGTCCAACCTGTTACCTTTCATTAGTCAGGGCATTTTGTTACAGTGGTCCTGAAACACATAAATGTATGTATGGTAAATCACCATACACTAGCCTACACCTTTTTATTCTCTGCTTTCTCGCATTACTGTTTGGTTGAATATGCCATTCTAGACTAGTTTACCTGTAGATATTGATATAGTAAAGAACGTCCCACCTCAACAAGCACAGTCACTTTTGCATTGTTTATTGAAAGTTTTGCTGTAAAAGTAAAGCCCACGTTTACCAATATTTTTTTGTAGGCCTAATAATGCTACTAATTGTTGCAGACGGAAAATGTATTTTTAAAAGGCTGGTTTTAACATGAGGCGTGGTGGTACTCACGTGTCCACAATCAAGGCTTTGACATCGACACAGGTGAATTGCTCTCGAATCTCAATGACTAATAGCCCGGACAGCTCGAGAGTGAAGCAAGGTTGAGTGCAATAGAGGACACACAACGCAGGAGCGATTGTATTAGTGGTTTATCGAACTTTCCCCAGATGTTTTAGTGGTATCTTAAAAAGCTACAATTTGGAATATTTTTATGTGAAAGCTGTGAGCAATTTATGGTTTCGGAATTCGTGGAATTTTCTTTTAAGTAAAACCAAAATGTTCTCGCACCAGTTTGGTGTCCACAAATGGCACATTTTGAAGGTAACTCTATTGATATTTGTGATTAGAGGTAAGTTTCAATTCATCATGCTGTTTAATTTAGTATGAAAGGTGCAAATAAACAAAACTAGCCTGCTTTCCAATACGCCTGCACCGTAATATTGTGAACCTATAAATTATACAATTAACAAATTATTGATTCGCCTAATTAACTACCCAATGAATTATGACCATATAGAATGTATCATGAGATGATTCAGATGTTGTTGTTTTTTTTGGGGGGGGGATTTAGTTACAATACGTGACCATTAATCAACTTTGTATTAATGTTAACAATTTCAATTCCTTTTTGCTTCATTATGATCAACTACAGGTGTAAACTGTGACTTGACCATCTCTCCCCCGGGAAACTCGCTGGTCAACGCCACTGTTGGCAGCAACGTGACTCTGGTAGTGGCCATCAGTGGTGCACCTGACCCTGTGGTCACATGGAATATGGGGAGTTTACCTGTGGTTACCTGGACCCTTGGCTCCAGTGTTCCACCAGACATATCTGCCATTCACCGTGATGTGCTGAAGATTGAGGCCGATGGGTCCCTCACCTTCCAAAATGTGTTGTTTGTCTACAGTAACACCTACACAGTGGACATAGTCAAGTCTGGATTGAAGACCGTCTCAGCCACATTTGTGCTAAAGGTCTATGGTGAGTATTGGGCATTTGGCGCCGGTTTCCCAGACCCAGATTAAGCCTATTCCTTTACTAAAAAGCAGTTTCAATAGAGATTCTCCTTTGAGCACACCTTTTAGTTGAATATTACACATATTAGTTGAAGATTAGACTTAATGTAGAGGTTAATCATGTTAGGATACCCGTTTAAGGAATTCTGCAGCTACATTGTCCTCCTCACCATGGAGAAGCAATACGGTTTGTCCATCCATCTGTGTCCTTTACCCCAACTGTTGCTCTCCTTTCTGCTTTCAGACTACATCCAGAACGTGTCTGTGAACACCGAGCCTGCCGAGGCCATAGAGGGAGCCGGCAAGTTCACTCTTCAGTACAGCACACTGCAGGGAGAGGCCGACCAGTGGAGGTGGTACTTTAACAGTGTGGAGATACATACCAACTTCCACTACACGGTGAGCCAGAAGAGCCTGGTCATCCTTCAGCCCAACCGGACCGACACAGGACTTTACACCTTGGTCCTGACCAACCCTTTCAGCACTGTCACGTCTCATAGGAAAATCACTGTTCTGTGTAAGGAAGTGGTTGAATCTCGCCTTATTTGGCCAAAACATTAGTCTGAACATTACTTTCATTCTACTTTTTTACTCGACTTTATTAGTTAACAGCACAATTTTCCATCTTGTGCACCCGTAATTACTCGCATGTCTCTAGTTTTGTAGTTGAATCCTTTAACAATCCTTTACTGAAAGCAACATGTTTCCCTGTCTCACAAATCCACTTTACCACGTCTTTATTTCCTTCAACTCCTCTATATGGAACACTTTCTTACTCTTCTACCTTACACTGTACTAAAAATGCTACCAGAAATTACATCTACTTTAACCAGCCATTTGATGAAACCGATATGCCCATCTGACTTCCCCCTTTCTCTTCCACTACTAGATGGACCAGACGAGCCCATGCTTGGAGCCAGTCCGTCCCAGGCCTTCTTTGTTTCCGGAGATTCCCTCTCTCTCTCTTGTCAGGCCGAGGGGGTTCCCCAGCCCTCCACCTCCTGGATGTTTGGTGGTCAGACCCTGCCTGTTTCCCAAGGAGGAAGTCTCAATCTGACCAATGTCCAAACTAGCCAGGGGGGTATATACACCTGTGTGCTGGTCAATGAGAACACAAGAACGCAGCGCAAGAGGAACTTGACGGTCAACATTTATGGTAGAGTATTAGCATCTATTGAGGGGCAAAGTATTGTTGCTGGAGTGTGACACGGTACACATGCTTTGCCTTGTGTTGTTTGATATCATTGGTCTTAGCATAAGGGGTCTTGAAACATCTGGATTATCTGCATTAGTTTAGGGTGCAAGTGTTCTAATTATGCCCCCTCCCCCTTGTCTTCCTACCATCACAGAGAGCCCGACAGCCAGCCCACTGTGCTCAGTCAATGCAGTGAACGGAAATGTTGACCTGCAGTTCCACTGCCAGTGGCCAGGAGGCACCCCAGAAGCCCTACTGGCCTTCCCTGCCTTGAACAACGCCACCAGCGGTGCCGGAGACTTCAGCCTGACTACGCCTGCCTCTCAGAACTTCAATGGGAAAATGGTCCTCTGTATGGCCTATCACCCCCTCCATCAGACACAGTGCAATATTACTGCCAGTGAGTTACTTATTCCCTATTCCATACTAGACTATGTAAGGTCCAGGCGTTTTGCAGGTTTGCACAACAAACAGAATGTTTGAGAATCACACAGTGTAACTAGTGGTCTCATTCCTCCTCAGCTGGTCCTGCAGAGTTCCTACCGATGGTCTTGACCACAGTGGACCAAGATGGTAAAATAGTGGTCACCATCCACTGCAACAGCCATGCCACGCCCAAGGCTATGGTCACATGGTCCAAAGGTAGCGAGCTCTTAGCCAATGGGTTGCAGTACCAGATCAACATGGACACTGCGCAGCTCAGCATCCACAATTTTAACACCAGCACCACTCACCTCTACACTTACACCTGTAACTGTAGCAACCCACTGGGCAACAATGAAAAAAGACTCAGTTACTGGGTATGTCATAGGCCAGTTTCTCAGGTGGTGGTTAACAGCCTGTTTTTCTTGGGTCATGGATAGATTTGGCGCGAAATACATGGTTTTGTTTACTTGGTGGGTCACCATGAAATTTGGAAGGCTTTATGTAGGACACTACGCAAAAAACAAAGAAATTGTGATCCACTGTTATAGTAGTGTTTTATATCCCTCAAGTAACACCGCTAATAGTAGTTACAGCATGTGGTTAAACATACATAATGTGATCTCTGTGCTGAGCACTGGGAAGGAGTTGTACTGTATTTAAATGACTGGAGAATCAAATGTTACCTGAGAGTTCTAGAGCACTAGATTACTAGACTAAAGCAGCACAATGGGGTCTTAGACTGTGTAAAGAAGAACTTGCTTTTTTTAGTTTTACACAAAGCGCCATAGTCTCCCTCTCACCCCTCTCTCCAGGCCCCACCATCTCAGATTCCAGTCTTTTCCCTAATCAAGATGGAACCATCATCACAATGACCTGGGAGGTCCCTCCCACCTCTGTGATTACAGGTAAAGCTGCTGACGTACCTATGCTCACAAATGTTCCTGTAAAAACGATATTGAGAGAACATAAGAATATGATTTCCCACAATTTAGGCATTGTAATTTTACGACATGGGAGCCTCCCAGTTTTCAACCCTTTGTGGAATGGCTTTTGATCTCACTGCTGAACTTGTAGACCTCAGCAATATTGCTGCTGGGAAAAGATGCAACTCCAAACACAGGAGATAGGGGTGTACTGTAAATATTGCTTAATGTCTGAGACCATCTGGACTATCCGGCTTTGCTCTAGAGCGCACAATGATTTGGTGTGAGAAACTAAAATTGTAGCCTAAGAGGTCTAAACCTATTTTTTTTAAATGAGCCTGCTATTTTCCTTTTATGTCGTTTTGGGTCTATAAAGCTGTCCTCAAGCACTTGGCTGAGAATCTTGTATAATACTACTCAGTAGTGTCAGCTTTGGGATACAATTTGACATTTTACCTGGTTTTACATGTATCTTGGCTGTAGTTAATGTCAAATTATATGGAACATCCCTTTAAGTACTGCTCAACACTGGTTTCTGTCCCTCCGTTGCGTTTGAAGGCTTTGACATACAGATGAGCGGACCAGACCCTAAGTGGCAATAAAAATGGCGGCCGAAGTAAAAGAGCCACAGAGGGATTCCGGAGCATTCAGCAGAGGCCCGGATCCTCCCGGAGCACTGATATCTCTGTTCTGGATCCCAAATCCACATACTACTTCCGGGTCATCCCCATTGCTGGCAGAACTCAGGGGGAACCATCAGGGGTGCAGATAATTGGACCCGGTATTTGAACTGACTTGGATCATTTTCCTATTCAGGTCAGATCGTTTGGGAGGTGCTAATCTGTTTCCCACTTACTAGTTGGCTTGGCATTGTTCCATGTGAAGAAATTAATTCATTTCTTTATAAGATAGTCAGTTGTATTTTTTAAAGAGACTGAGGAATGAGCTGGATGTTAACATAATGAAGTGATAAATGTAAACCTCCACATGATGCTGGTAAAGTTAAACTTATAGTCAACGTTATGCTTCCATGTCACCTTTGACACATCAGTGGAGAGTCGGCTCTGTGAATGCTGCTCTAACAGATTGTACTGTGTGTGTGCGCTGGTGTGACAGGTGGTCTGAGCGGACCACAGATTATAGGCCTCGCTGTCGGGATCCCCTGTAGCCTCCTCTTCCTCCTGCTCCTCATCGGCCTCATATACCTCTGTGTCTACTGCTGCAGGAAGAAACGTAGGAGCACCACCCTCAATCCCCTGATCTTCCTTCCCGTTTTGTTATCACATCCGGAAGCAAGTGGTTTTCACTATAAAATGCTGTTTCTGTTTTATAGGTCAACAGAACATATATCCCGTGCCCAAAGCAGTGAAGGTAATGCCAGTAATTGGGAAATGTGTTATTGCACAACTGTCATGTTCCTACCTGTACTGTAGAGCTCATATTCTCTTGCGCGCGCACTCGCTCGCGCTCTCTCACCCCATGCAGGCGGTGTCAACCCAACCAGACATAAACACTCCCAACCATCTGCTGACTGGAGGATTCAAACCACTGCCTGATTACAACAGAATAACATTACAAGTGGTAATTCACCCCGCCTTGTCATGACACACTTACAAAACATCTACACATCAGGGACCATATTCACAAAGCATAGAAGAGTAGGACTGGTGATCTAGGATCAGTTTTGCCTTTTTAAACCATAATGAATAACACTCCTACTCTGAGACGCTTTGTGAATATGGGCCGTGTGGAATTGCTATTGGGTTAGAACTGTTATATAGAAATGTAGGAGAGTGACATACAAGATGTCTATTCAGAAATGATTTACCAGCCATACTTTGTATCTGATATCTTTTCCAGGCTCCGTCTGAGCGGTCAATCCCTCTCCCCACGTTTGTCGCTCCTCCCCCTGTGAGAACTGCCACAATTGTGTAAACTGAATGAAACTGTCATTTTCACTGTGATATGCAATTATTTTATGTCCTAAATGTTTTTATATTTTATATTCTTAATATTGTTTTATCACTAACTTGAAAAGCTCTTGTGTATATGGGGATATGATGCTCTCTGTAACTGCAAAACTGAATGAGGTGTTTTTTAATCAAGATTGTGTTTCTGCGTCAACCAAATTGAATATACATGTATATCTAAACTCCAATCTTGTTGAGCAGCAAACTTTGCACTGGTATTTATTTTCAATAAATCTTATAAAAATGACTGTCTATTGTGTGTGTGTGTGTGTATATGAGTGTACAAAACATTAGGAACACATGCCTCTTCCATGACAGACTGACCAGGTGAAAGCTATGATCCCTTATTGATGTCACTTGTTAAATCCACTTCAATCAGTGTAGATGAAGGTGAGGAGACAGGTTAAAGAAGGATTTTTAAGCCTTGAGACAAGGATTGTGTATGTGTGCCATTCAGAAGGTGACTGGGCAAGACAAAATATTCAAGTGCCTTTGAACGGAGTATGGTAGGCGCACCGGTTTGTGTAAAGAACTGCAACGCTGCTGGGTTTTACATGCTCAACAGTTTCCCATGTGTTTCAAGAATGGTCCACCACCTAAAGGACATCCAGCCAACTTGACACAACTGTGGGAAGCATTGGGGTCAACATGGGCCAGCATCCCTGTGGAACTCATTCGACACCTTGTAGAGTCCATGCCCCGACGAATTGAGGCTGTTCTGAGGGCAAAATGGGGTGCAACTCAATATTAGGTGTTATTAATATTTTGTATATTCAGTCTAATGTAATTGCAATGCCGGTCAGTCAGTTACACATCTGTTTTCTTTAACACTTTTTAAACAACCCATTACAATTGATATTTTAAGTTTCATAAATTGGGGATTATTACAGTTCATATAACCACTCTGTTCTGCTTTTAAATATGGGCCTATTTTAGTGTCTTTAAGGGTTACCTATGGTTGTGCCTCTGGTACACACAAACATGGGCCATCTGACAATCACTTTTAAATACAATTCTATCCTCTGCTCTTTGAAAATAGCTTCCTAAATTCATAAACGAACATGGCAACATATTTGGAGTATAGTACTTCAGGGAGTACTGCTGTTATAGAAGTGTTGTATGTCTATGTGGTTTCACATTGTTGAGGTGTGGAAGGTGGCAACATTGTGACCACTCTAGGGCATGAGAAGCATAAGGTTAGGCATCAAGGTCACTTTAGTGTCATTTCCAAGAGCAACGGATCAGTCATCAGTGGAAGACCGACAGGGCTACTGAGGTATGTCACCAAATGCAGCCTAATATATTTTGTTAGAAACATTTAGTGAGCAGTCACACTGCATTTACATTTTAGTCATTTAGCAGACGCTCTTATCCAGAGCAACTTACAGTTAGTGAGTGCATAATCGAAAAAAAATTTCTCATACTGGCCCCCCGTGGGAATTGAACCCACAACCATGGCGTTGCAAGTGCCATGCTCTACCAACTGAGCTACACGGGGCTACACTAGTGTATTGGAGTGTTTACTAATGAATGATTGCATCCAGACAAAGGCATGCTGTATTTTGTTTTCTTGTTCTGCCACAGATTCTTCATATTGTAGAAATCGACAGTAACTGAATGCGTAGTCTCAAGTTACATTTTGATCACAGTTTATCTGCACTTGAGTGACATTTTGTCCTCCAGATTCAATAGGAATTCCACAGTCTATTTCTAATGATGTCATCCATTTATGCAGGTGCATCAGTCATGATAACTCTCAGAAAACATGTGTCCCTCTGCTATACTCTACAAGGTAAGTCTACTTTATACCTCATTGATGACTGTCTGTGCCTGCTCATAATGAGCATTTATCATGCCTCGAGTTGAGAGCTAAATGTTTACAAAAATGATGATGTCCTTAGCCTTGAATGGGTGTACAATCTGGTAGATAAGACATTGTATGGTCTTCTGTTTCCAAGAGAAATGTACATTGAATCTTTATATTCTCAATATTATCACGCAATTGCTGATACATTTGAGCCCACAAATTAAATGTTTTCTGGAAGTTGTTTTATTATTCTACCATATACGACAGCATTCAGCTATCAAACAATACTCATTAAATGTCTTGCACTCTTATTTATTTTCACCTTCTCGCTTTCTGTCCAGTGGTGTGGTGCGTGTTGGTAGTGGCTGAGGAGTGGACCGTCACCATTCCTAATCAGATATCCGGCCTGACTGGGTCTTGTATCCTCATCCCCTGTTCCTTCACACACCCCAGCTCTTACAGCCCCAGTAATGTCACCTGGTACCAGTATTCCAAGATGCCTGCTAAATATCCAGTCGTCTTCAGCCGCACCAAACCAGTGGATATCATAGAGCACTACAGTGGTAGAACAGAACTGGTGGGCAGGGCCTCTGATGGAGACTGCAGCCTGCTGATCCATGGAACGATGTTAGAACATAACGGAGATGACATTTACCCCTGGGTTGATGAGGTCAGCAAGTATGTCTTCGCCTTCTTTCAGTGGAGGGTGACACTGGAGGTTACAGGTAATGAATTATGCAAAACCTGACAAAGGGCTCTTGAAAATGGATTGAGGATGTTAAATGAACCAAACATGAAAAAACACGAATCCAAAAGAAAATGTGTCATAATGTAGTTATTTTGGTCACATGATGTAGATGTTAGCAGACTATTGCGAGGAATGACCGATTGCACAATGAGTGAACCCATTGTTAGTGTCTTAGACTTAGTGTCTCTTGCTATTTCCAGATACAGCACCAAGGCCACAGCTGTCGGTCAGTGAGGAGCAGAGGGAGGGGGGCAACATCACTGTTTCCTGTGCTGTCCTCCACACCTGCCCCTCCTCCCCTCCCTCCCTCTCTTTCAGGGACCAGAGGGGGGTGGTCCAGGGGTACCACACCGAGGAGATACAGGGACGATGGCGCGTCCTCTCCACTATCTCGTTTGTGGCCCGAGCAGAAGATCATGAGAATGCGGTGGCGTGTAACGTGACACATCCAGGAGGCCAGACAGCTACAGGGGAGGTGGTGCTCGACGTGAGCTGTAAGTCTCAGCTAGAGTCACTCTACTCTCCTCTTACTCTTCAATTTGTTTCTGTTCACTGTATCTTATCATTCAAATTGTAGCATTACATCAACTTTGCCTTTTAGGTTGGGAACATTCTGTGATACAACTTGGGACATAGGAACATCACATTTGAAAATTAGGAGCAATTCCCCGATAATAAGGAATGATGAACTCCATTTAAAGGCTCACTGTGATATTTCCAGCATCTCTCCTTTGCCCCTCTTCTCTCTCAGATGCCCCCAGGTCTGTGAGTGTCTCAGGGGGCAGCACTGTGGTCCAGGTTGGCACTAACCTGTCCCTGTCCTGTGTGAGTGATGCCAACCCCCCTGCCAGCTCCTACCTGTGGTACTTGCTGAGAGATGGCCTGGTCATGCCACTGAACCACAGCACAGAGACCGTTGCGGTCACAGACTTGGACCCAGACGAGAATGTGTTCCACTGCATAGCTATCAACTCTCTGGGGAGGTCCAAGCCCTCCTCTAGTTTTGTGGTCACTGCAGAATGTGAGTTTTAGGTCTCATCTGAGGTTTACTGAATGGATATGTGGATTTAGTGACTTGAAATCAAATCTATTCCAATGGAAAAATGGATTAAAAAGAGAACGTGTTTGTCCAGAGATATTCCACCACTTAGAACAATACAAAGTGCAGACCATGGAGGAGAGCGCATTGACTACTACTGCCAAAATATGGACTGTGAGATTTTGTTGAATGTGAAGTAGGCCTAATGTGAACTGTTATTGATAGCTAATGGAACTACCAGTAAACGTATTTCCATTCTCCAGACAAGCCATCTATATTGGCTAACTCCAGCTGCTCCTACCATGCTGGCCAAGTCTTCTGCAGGTGTCAGGCCCGGGCTCGACCAAAGGCCACAGTGCTGTGGATGGTGGATGGAGAACCCCTGTTCCCTGCCTCTGACCCAATCACCTCCCCCCAGAACCAGAACCAGAACCACACAGTGATGGATATCTTGGCTGCAGAGGGCACCTATGAAAATGTGTCTGTCACCTGTCTGGTCAACAACACACATGGCCATGATAAGCTTCTCCTGCGGGTATTTGTGAAAGGTATTCTGAAAATGTCCTCAGGTGGTATAAGAGGGTTTCCTTTTGTAATGATCATTATTAGTATGAATTATGTTCAGTGAAATAAATTAGAGATTGTACACTCTGTTGTGACGTTTATGCTTTCCACCACGCTTTTTCTATTCAACATCAATGTACTCGAAGATTATGTCACAGCGCTATTGGTTATTTTACCATACCAGTATTTTCCTCCATTTTTGGTCTTCACCAGCACTACCCACCAACGTGTCAATCAGCCAGCTCCCAGCCCGGCCTCTGGAGGGAGAAACGGTCACTCTGTCCTGTCTGGGTCATGGTCATCTCCCAGTCAGCTCCTATAAGTGGTACCGTGTGTTCGGGGAGCAGGCAGTCCTGCTCAAAGAGGATTCTGGGAGTTTGAGTCTCTCTGTGACCAGAGACGTGGGGCAGTTCCGCTGTTCTGCTCTGAACGAGATGGGAGAGTGCAGTTCAGACACCATGGCTGTGAACGTTGAGTGTGTGTATTATTATGTCATAAACATTTTGTAACCATTTTATAAACCATGTTAAATATGGAAGTTTGCCATAGTCGTTTTGTCATTTTCTCTCTTTCCATTTATCTTACACTCTTTTAGATGCACCAGCTATACTTCCCATCTCCTTCTGTTCTGTGAATGATGGGGAGGTGAGGTGTGAGTGTGTGGTGGACTCTCACCCTGTGGCGAAGATCATTTGGACACCATGGAGCATCCAGGACAATCAGACTCACAACATCACTGACCTGCTCAACTGGAGGATCCTGAGGTCCATTCTCATTGGTCCCAAGGGTGATGACATGGGTGATGTCCTCTGTAATTCAACCAATGAGCATGGGAGTGCCTTCCTCAAACTCCCATTCATTGGTAAGTTTGGCCTCATCTGAGTGAAGCCATAGGGTAATTGGCAAATGTTAAACAAATCAATATCTAAAGGACTGTATTTGTAGTGAATGTGTCATCTTTATTAAGCAGAAGTTATACCACATTTACTACAATGTAGTGAAGAAAGTAAGATAAATTGAAAGAGTGAAAATGAAGCAGGAGTTGAAAGATTATTATGAGTATTATCGTATCGTATTGCTTCTGTAGCATCTGGCTTGCCCTAATGTATCCTAATGTAAATCCAGCTGATATTTCATGTGAATGTAGAACATTGGAAAGCTCCACGTCGTAAGACTGATGATCACTTTGTGGATTTTTCAATAGCAGGTGAAACGTCTGCCCAGCGGTCCCTGTTCTACGGAGGAGTTGGGGGCGTCCTATTGCTGGTACTCTCCTTTGCCACCTTTTTATTTAGGAGATTCTACTCCACCAAGAGGTGAGAGTGACAATGACTGTTGAGTTACGCTTCGGGCTTCATAACCAATATTGAACACTACACTGAGTATACCATACATTAGGAACACCTTCCTAATATCCCATTTTGCCCTCAGAACAGCTTTAATTCGTTGGGGCATGGACTCTACAAGGTGTCATATGCGTTCCACAGGGATGCTGGCCCATGTTGACCCCAATGCTTCCCACAGTTGTGTCAAGACGGCTGGATGTCCTTTGGCTGGTGGACCATTCTTGATATACATGGGAAATTGTTGAGTGTGAAAAACCCAGCAGCGTTGCAGTTCTTGACACAAACCAATGCGCCTGGCACCTACTACCATATCCCATTCAAAGGCACTTAAATCTTTTGTCTTGCCCATTCTCCCTCTGAATGGCACACCTACATAATCCATGTCTCAATTGTCTCAAAACTTTAAAACCCTTATTTAACCTGTCTCCTCCTCTTCATCTACACTGATTGAATTGGATTTAACAAGTGACATCAATAAGGGATCCTAGATTACACCTGGATTCATCTGGTCAGTCCATATCATGGAAAGAGCAGGTGTTCTTAATGTTTTGGCCACTCAATTGCATAGTCTTCTGTAACACTTCACTTGAAACCTGTATGTATAATGCATTCTGATAAACACCATGTTTAGTCTAAATTTAGATACATAACCTATTATACACCTTTTTATAAGACATAACATTATAAAGCATTGTTTTTTTAGGGTATTTTGAAGTTTTATCACAGTTACATATCAGAATATGAGATGGTAGGGTTTATTAGGGATACAGGCGAGATAGTGATTTGGCGGAACGAGGGATCAAACCGTGGCCTCCAGGGGATGTATGGTCCAAGGATAGCAGCACTACTACTAGACCGGCTCTGGCAAAGCTGGTCTTTTCAATCAGCTTATATACTACATTTCAGTCATTTCGCAGACGCTCTTATCCAGAGGGATTTACAGTAGTGAGTGGATACATTTTCGTACTGGTCTCCCGTTGGGAATCGAACCCACAACCCTGGCGTTGCAAGCGCCATGCTCTACCAACTGAGCCTGCCCAGGACACTAAAAGGGACTTATCATCAATTTCACACTATTATGCCAACCTCATAGTGTGGAAATATATACTAAACACAGGAAAATTAAGTTTTTGGCTGCGCTACCCCTTTAAACAATAATGTCAGCGATGTCATCTAATGACTGTGGTCTTACCTACACAGAAGAGAATGCCACGCTGCATTGGAGGAGGTTGATCTGAAGGGGGCACTGCAGGTGATACACCATGAGCCTACTGACTGCCCAGGTAATACACGCACTCTGATGGTGCCAGAAGAGGACTTCCACTATAATGTGTATGACACTGGGCACAGTGTCCAAGTTTAAAATGGCCGTCTCCTCCTTTGTATAAAGCTGGGAGGTAAATATTGGGAGACGGGAGACATAAAAAAACACACTAGCAACACAGGCCAATAGATATGGAATGATGTTTATTAGAACCAGAGATCAGTGAGAACTGGACTCCAGAACATCTTTGAATGATCATCATATAATAATTTCCTGTGTTTGTTTAGGCAGCCCAGAGGCCCGTGTTCACTGGATTTGAGGTCTATGAGGCCTGGAGCTAAATAACTGGGAGACAGACACACAATCAGTTCTGTTTCACCCTCTGTGTTGGTACAGATCACTGGTGTATTTATTTACCATACCATTTTTTCTCCTCAATTCTGGGCATGAATGTTAATACTTAATTAAGCTCCTTAATGACTGGTCAAACCAATATGTCTGACTGCAAGTTATCTAATATACATGCATTGAAATTCTGTGTAAATAATAATATTGTAATTACTTGGCAACAGATCATTTTGAATAAATTAAATGTGATTATCAGTGCCTGCGATGTCATAATGATACTGCACATGTAGGTTGACATTTTGTGTGTCTGTGTGTGTGCATGTATTTGTGAGTGTGTGTCAATGCGTACGTAAGAGAGAGAGATGGAGAGATGGAGTTATTTTAAGCCTTGCTTGTGGTCATGTGTGGGCTCTGTCTAAGCGTGTATCTGTTCTCATCACCATACCCAGCCCACAGATGACAGTGTGCTCCTCCAACTGAAAGAAAGTGTGAGCTTCAGCATGTTGCATTGACCATCCCCAGTATACTGCAAGCCTCTGCACAACCATAGTTCCAGAACACCAGATACAACAACAGAAAGGGGACCACGGCACACCGGTGGCGGCCTCATTCCCCCAACCCCCCCCATCCCCCACTGTCCCATACTATCAACCCAACCCCCCCCCTCCAACAGTCCCCATGGTCGCTCAATGGGAAAGAGCCACGTGCCTCTGCGCCCACCAGCTCAAGTGCATTTGTTCTCGCTGCTGATTGTTGTAAAGGATTTTGCCTCCATAGACAGAAAAGCGAAGGGGATAACTTTTTGGAATTCGGCCTAGGGGGTCCTCTTTGACGTTTTGCTCACTCCAGGCTTGCACTCTCTCTCTCTCCTCTCTCTCTCTCTCTCTCACTCTTTCCCTGCGGAAGGTTGACACTTAAGAGGGTTTATTTATCCTGAAGAACTCAGGTAAGATGCATCCTGGTACTTTAGCCCCAGTGCTGTTACGTTTTGTTGCCAGATTGGGCCGTTTGAACTGATTGGACTAATAAGCAAGGGTATACAGTAAATCTGTGTGGAATAAAGCATTGTAGCCATGTGGGGCACAGGTGGGCAAAGAGATACACTTCTGTCCACTGGAGAAAAATAGCAGAGCTACTGAATGTAAGCATATTTTTCTAAGACTAATAAAGACTTGTCCTGAAGTGCAATGAAATGGTTAAGGGCTAATTAAATTGAAATCATTCAGTACTAATCAGAATAAGATAATGCTTAAGTCTCTAAAGATAAATAAGTCAATTACTTTTCTTTAATCATTGCCATTTCATTTTATTTCAAAGTATGCATTAAAATAAATGCAGTCATAACCATTCAGCATTCCACAGAATGTTGACTTCAATGCTTGACCTCAAGTAACTTCTATGCAAGCATGTTGAATGTAGTACAACACATGGAATGGATGGCCAAGATGGATGCAAAAGTTATGAGGCATCCTTTAGTTTCTGAAGTACATAGGGCCTTGGTGATTGGTCTGACTGTATTGCAAATAGTATTTACTTTGCATTGAACCCACTGAACTGAATGTTTATTTTCTAGTACCGCCTGGAGGCAAGAACAATGAGTAAGACAGTTAGCTCTTCATTTCCTCAACCGTAAAGGAATCTCTATGGAAGTTTTATGATCTGGAAACATGGAGGTGTTCCAGAGGTGTTATCAGCTTTTATATCCATTATTTGTTGTTGGTTAGTTCTACATGAGCATTATTTGGAGCCGGTAAATACTTACACCACTGCCCATCCTCCACTCTCACTTTCAAATGTGACACTTAGATATTTCAGTATAACCATGGTTGTGGAGTGTTTGTGTATTTTTGTGTTTGAGGTTAGTGAGCTGACATCTCTACAATACATGCGGTGTAGTAGATAGCGTAAGTGGATTGCACAGTGTTGACCGTGATACAGAAATGGAACATGTACAGTTCAAAATAGGATCCATACTGTCTCTGTGCAACTACAGAGACACTTTGCCATCCTGTGTTATTGAATATGCAAATAAGGAAGTGATACTGTGTTGTTTCATCTAGTTGCACTGTTGCTGAGTGAAGCATTGCATGCATTGTCTGGTTCTATGCACCATTGATGCTTCTGTCTAGGTCTCTGTATGTTGTGTTTAGTTTGTAGGCATAGTGTGTGCCATTGTGGACTGCAGGCCTGGGGTCAATTCTATTTCAATTCAGTCAACTTTAAACAGCTATTTGTAATTCTGGACATGCAATTCACTTCCTGAATTCACTGAATTAATATGGAATTGACCCCAACCCTGGCTGCCTGCAACTTTTTGAGTGCATCCGCAAAGCCTTGCATCGTCCAATGGCTGACTGTATTGCCTGTGCCCCATGGTTAACTGTGTTGCATGTGCCCCATGGTGTTTACTGTGTTGCCTGTGCCCGATGGCTGACTGTGTTACCTGTGCCCCATGGCTGACTGTGTTGCCTGTGCCCCATGGTTGACTGTGTTGCCTGTGCTAGATGGTTGCCTATATTGACTGTGCCATTGACCCCGTCCCTCTGCCTTTATGTGCGCTGCAGTGCGTAGAGCCTCGCCGCCGCCGCAGTTTCACTCAGGATGCACAGCTTCATGGGAGGGGGTCTGTTCTGCGCCATAGTGGGGAACATCCTGCTGGTGGTCTCGACTGCGACTGACTACTGGATGCAGTACCGCCTGTCGGGCAGCTTCGCCCACCAGGGCCTGTGGAGGTACTGCATGTCGGGCAAGTGCTATATGCAGACGGACAGCATCGGTGAGTGGGGCGCACTGGGGACCCATAGGACCACTGGGACTGCCTGTATGGCATCCATATTAGGAAGTCCCTCAGTTGTCAGACGAAACTCCCTTAGTTGAAGGACTTCCTAATATGAATGCTGTACGCCTGTCTTAGCCATGTCCAGGACTACCGAGGAGGTCTGTAATGAAGGAGATGACTGAATGACTGAAATAGTAACAAGTGTCATTAGACTCAGACTCAATAGAATCAATACGTTTTTTAGACTCAATATGTTTTTACAGTTAACTATGGAGGCAACTCATGCACCCGTTGGCCCTAATTGGCTGGCACTAGTTTAGGTGAAAATGAACAATTGGACATTAGACTGAATTAATGGGTCAAGACGGTTTTCACAGGCGTGTGGGCTTGTGACTTTCTCTAATCTTTGAAATTGTATCTGTCCTCTCTTTTTCTTGTTTTATTCCTCTCTCTCTCTCTGTCCTTAGCCTACTGGAATGCTACCCGTGCCTTCATGATCCTGTCGGCCATGTCGTGCTTCGCAGGCATCATCGCAGGCATTCTCTCCTTCGCCCATTTCTCCGCCTTCGAGAGGTTCAACCGCTCCTTCGCTGCAGGGATCATGTTCTTTGTCTCCAGTGAGTCCCACTGGACATTGCGAAGCTAACAGAGTTAGACACAATACACAAATCAGGGGCGTAACTTTGGATTTAAAAGATGGGGGGGATATATATATATTTTTTTTATCCAGTCAGATAAACACTCCAAACAGCCTACCCGACCACTCTGAGACGTCTGCATGGTCCTAAAGCACACCGTAGCCTCGTTTTGTATCACATTCCAATTATAAAACTGGGAGGGACAAAAATGCAATTTCAGAATGTGGGGGGGACATGTCCCCAGTGAAAGTTGCACCCCTGACAGAAATACTCCCAGCCTTAATACACAAATGTAAATGTATCCAGGATAAATCATTATGTCGATGTTTACTGACCCGACCGCTATTTTACCTACAGTTCTATCTACTGTAAATTGGGAGTCCTAATTTGAATGTCTCCTCTCTTACTCTCCGCCAGCTCTCTTTGTTCTGCTTGCAATGGCCATCTACACTGGGGTGACGGTGAACTTCCTGGGGAAGCGCTTCGGTGACTGGCGCTTCTCCTGGTCCTACATACTGGGCTGGGTGGCACTGCTAATGACCTTCTTTGCAGGTAAGAATGATACAGACATAAATATGGATAGAGGGCACACTTGCCAGAAAGTCTGTTTTAGCATGGGCAGCACCCTTGAAAGCTTACACCATTTTAAAGGTGTCAACTGGGTGGGACTTCCTGTAGGTTAAGGAAGGATCATAGAATTCCATCCAGGTCAGCGGGAGGGATCTGCCAAAGAATTATACTCCTGAGAAAACATTCCAACACTGCATGTGGCAGTAAATCACCAACTTTGGCTGTATGCCTGTTTTGACAAAACACAATCTTGCACAGTAGGTGGCGGTATGCACCTTTTCCGCTTGTTTACAGACCGCCAATAAATGCATAGAAGAAGATAATATTTAACTAGAAAAATGGAGGAGCTGCCCATGCTGTCATGGAAGTGATCAATGGCAAATAAAGGAGTGTGCCCTCTTTTCTTTTCTTTATCTATGGATAAACAGAACTAGAATCAGATGGCACTTGTTCTTCTCATCTCCTAAGTAATTATTTGAAATCCAAAATGCTAGTTGAATCGAGTCAAACCAAACACTGCAGAATATCATCAATTGTTGTAGTTTTATTGATGAAACATACAGACAATGCTGGTATTTACTGATAACAGATTATACACTATTCTTTATATATCTCTATGGGAACTACCTCAAGTAGCACAGATGCTGGACAGTTGTTGATTTAAATATTTTTATTTTGCAGGTATATTTTACATGTGTGCCTACAGAATGCATGAATGCAGGAGAGTGACAGGCCCACGCTAAAAGAGAGAGGAAAGCCAGTGAAAAGATGGCAAAACAGGGACATTTCAGCCCCTGCAATTCCAACACGATGAAATAATCAAGCTTACCAATAGAAATATCACTGAAATATAGAAAATGTACTAGAAAATTGAGAACCAAAGATTAATAAAAATGTTTGATTCTGCCTGAGCAGTTTACGTGTCATTTTAATAAAGCTGTAACTCTCTTAAACAGTAAAACATTTACACTCTTTCTTACATTCAACCTTGAAACTCTTGAGTACAGGAAGGTCTTTGCAACACAAATGTTAGCAGATTCATGCCAATACCAATGGAGGTAGAAAAGATTTAGCATTATGTGTCAATTCAAATGGGTAATACAGAACATACTCTAACCAAACAAATGAATCATTTAAAAGGAATAACAACCAAGCTTTCACAGAGTGTGCAATTCAAAAGGGTAACAGAAGCTACTGTGATGAAACAAATGAATCATGTATGAAGTGCTCACTGTTGTAAATGGAATATAAACATTTTAACATTTAAAGATGAATGACTTTGGCTAAAAAGGTATAGTTCACAGAAATGTGTAAAACACAAACCACATATTATCTTGAAATATACTGTGTGTAGCTGGGTCGTTCCATGAATAGAGTGTATTTTGTAATTTCAATAAAACACTCAATTTAACATTAGGATCACATACATCTATGCTCTAACTAAACTAAGCATTTTTTTATATATATTTTTTACAAATTCTAATAGCAGTGTGTTTTCATTAAAATCCCCATCTTGGCATGTCCCATGTCATGTTTGTTCACCTTCTACGAAGATTTGAATCTACTTAATTACAAGATTTTCACCATCATTGTAAAGTCCTAGTTATTTTGTTGCTTTGGGAAAGTAATGTCTGAAGATGTTTACTTAATTAATGTAATTGAATGAGACATTTACATTTGTCCCTCAGGTTTATGTTCAACCCTGTAACATGAACTGAACTCTCGTTTTAATATGGTAAAACTGTTCCTTTTTAAATTAGTGATTCAAAAGAATTTTTTTACATCTAATAATATAGCCATATCATAGTGTAAAAGCAGGTGAGCTGGTTGTACTCTTTTAGGCAATTTTGTGCTGGAAAACTGAGTGCGTCGAGCATAATGCGTCAACCCTGTGTTACCCATAGATAGATAGGCTAGAAATGTTTTTAAAGAAGTTACTGTACCTTTTTTTTGTTGAACTTGCATTCAATTGCCTCCCATTGTTGCACACAACATGCTTCCATTCCCCCTGTCACAAAGGGAGTTACAATTTAAGATGAAATTGTTAACCCTATTACGGTCAATCCTGTCCCTTCTCCTCTTGGCCCGAATCTGCTCTTGTGCTTTCCTTTTGGATTGCAGCCTGACCCTGTCGCAGTCCCAGCATCTTGCAGATGTATATCTTGGTAGTGATGCGGAAGGTGGATGAGGAGAAGTAGAAGATGATAGGGTCCAGGCAGGTGTTGAAGGCGCTGAGCAGCAGGGTGTAGTATCTCCACGAGGGGCTGGAGTTTGTGAAGAAACCCAGCACATGTGAGAAGTTGTAGGGCAAGACACACATCAGGAACATGGCCAGAGTACCCAGCGCCATCCCGATGGCCTTCTGCTTCTGGCCCGGGCTGATCCTTGGGCTCATGTACAGAATACAGATACAGCGGAGGTAGCAGAAGATGCAAACCATGAGAGGAACCAAGCAAAGCATGATGAAGAACTCCAGACGCACCGGGAGGATGATGGCCAGCTGTTTTTCTGTAAAGTTCTCATAGCAGACGGAGGAGTTGCTGGGGGTGAGGTGCTGGATGATGAACACGATGCTGCAGTGGGCCATGGAGATAAGCCAAATGATTGCGCTAGCCACCACAGAATAGAAAGGTTTGTGGAGCAGGCGGTAGGTGACGGGGAAGGCCACCGCCAGGTAACGGACCACACTGACAGCCATCAGCAGGAGAGAACTGGTGTAGATAGTGGAGAAGAAGGTGAAGGAAGTGATGGAGCAGAGGAACTTGGGCAGGTCCCACAGCATGTTGGAGGCCGCCTCGTACATCTTGAGAGGCAGGAAGAGGAGGAAAAGGTCGGACACGGTCAGGTTGAGCAGGAGGATGTCTGTGGGAGTGGGCTTGTTGTGGATCTTGACGCTGAAGGCGTAGAGTGCCAGGATGTTGGCAGGCAGGCCCATCAGGAAGATGATGACGTAGATGGACAGAATCACCTCACTTCTCACCCCGAACATGGCTCTGAAGCTATAAGATAAACAAATAAAACAATTAACACAAATTCAGGGGGTCCACTTATCATATATTCAAATTATAAAAACTAAGTTGTTTTCAATGATCAATGTATTTTTGTTACAATATCTCAGCCAATTTCTTATTACCAATGAAGGAATCATAATCTTCTTATAGCTACATCCTCCCCACAGTAAACTTGCAGCTCAACAGTGAAAACCTTAAAGGGAGAAGCATAACACATTCTTAATTCCAAATGGTCATAACCTACCTGGCTGTAGATGTGTATTTCTTTTCAATCAGGAATTGGAGAGCTCAGCTGAGTGCAGTCAAGCTTCCTTAGGAGGTTGTTATATTGGTCAAAACAGCAGAATGTGCTATTTTAGTTTTCAATTTAAGATCTGTTACGTGCCAGCATATATACACTGCTCAAAAAAATAAAGGGAACACTAAAATAACACATCCTAGATCTGATCTGAATGAATGAAATAATCTTATTCAATACTTTTTTCTTTACATAGTTGAATGTGCTGACAACAAAATCACACAAAAATTATCAATGGAAATCTAATGTATCAACCCATTGTCACATTCGTTTAATGACGGGACAGACCAAGGCGCAGCGTGATATACGTACATGTTTATTCAACTAAATAAACACACGACAAAACAAGAAACGAAACGAAACGTGAAGTCCTAAGGTAGATACACACAACATACCTTACACGGAACAAGATCCCACAACCCACTAGTGCTAATAGGCTGCCTGTATGATCCCCAATCAGAGACAATGAGCTACAGCTGCCTCTGATTGGGAACCACACCGGCCAACATAGATCTACACATAATAGATCGAAACATAGAAAACACACAACAAAGAATATACACACCCTGACTCAACATTTAAGCGTCCACTGAGTCAGGGCGTGACAGTACCCCCACCACCCCAAAGGTGCGGACTCCGACCGCACAACATAAACATAACAGGGTAGGGGCCGGGTGGGCATTCCGCCTCGGGGCGTGACGACCTCTCACTCTCCGCCTCCCTGTTGCGCCCCTGGTCTGGTCTGGACCTCGGCGCCCTGCTTCCCCTCTCCTTCCTCCCACGATACGCCAGGCCCTGTCTGGACCCTGGTGTGGGAGACCCCGAACCTGGAGAGGGGCTGACGTCATGGTCTGGACTGGAGCCGCTGACCGGAGCTGGACTGGGCACCGGTGGAGCGGACTGCTCTGGCTCCGGAGTGGAGTCGCTGACAGGAGCTGGATCAGGCACCGGTGGAGCGGACTGCTCTGGCTCCGGAGTGGAGCCGCTGACCGGAGCTGGACTGGACCCAGGTGGAGCGAACTGCTCTGACTCCGGAGTGGAGCAGCTGACCGGAGCTGGATCAGGCACCAGTGGAGCGGACTGCTCTGGCTCCGGAGAGGAGCAGCTGACCGGAGCTGGATCAGGCACCGGTGGAGCGGACTGCTCGGGCTCCGGAGTGGAACAGCTGACCGGAACTGGATCAGGCACCGGTGGAGCGGACTGCTCTGGCTCCGGAGTGGAGCAGCTGCTGGAACAGGCACGGGCCGTGCCGGACTGGACAAACGCACCACTGGTCTGGTGCGAGGAGCAGGCACGGGCCGGACCTGACTAGGAACACGCACCACTGGCTTGGTGCGAGGGGCAGGAATGGGCCGGGCCGGACTGGCGACGCGCACCACTGGCTTGGTGCGAGGAGCAGGAACAGGCCAGGCCGGACTGGCGACGCGCACCACTGGCTTGGTGCGAGGAGCAGGAACAGGCCAGGCCGGGCTGGCGACGCGCACCACTGGCTTGGTGCGAGGAGCAGGAACAGGCGCGGCCGGGCTGGCTCCTCGCACCACTGGCTTGGTGCGAGGAGCAGGAACAGGCCGGGCCGGCAACGCGCACCACTGGCTTGGTGCGAGGAGCAGGACCAGGCCGGGCCGGGCCGGCGACGCGCACCACTGGCTTGGTGCGAGGAGCAGGAACAGGCCGGGCCGGGCCGGCGACGCGAACCACTGGCTTGATGCGAGGAGCAGGAACAGGCCGGGTCGGGCCGGCGACGCGCACCACTGTCTTGGTGCGAGAATCAGGAACAGGCCGGGCCGGGCTGGCGACGCGCACCACTGGCTTGGTGCAGAAGAGCAGGAACAGGGCGGACCGGCCTGTTTGGCGGACTGGAGGTCTGGAGCGGAGAGCTGGCACAACCCGTCCTGGCTGGCTGCCCACTTTCGCACTACACATGCGGGGCGCTGGCACAGGACGCGGTGGGCTGTGCACGCGCACTGGCGATACAGTTCGTAGAACTGGCGCAGGATATGCGGGACCGAGGAGGCGTACTGGAGACCAGGAGCATTGAGCCGGCACACCCTGTCCTGGCTGGATGCCCATCTTGCATGGCACGTGCGTACAGGACTGTGCCGGCGCACTGGCGACACAGTACGTAGCTCCGCATAACACGGAGCTTGCCCAGTCATACGCCTCTTCGCGTGAGTACGGGGAGTTGGCTCTGCTCTAACCCTAGGCTCCGCCAACCACCCCGTGTGCCCCCCCCCAACATTTTCTTGGGGCTGCTTCTCGGGCTTCCTCCTCGACCGGCCTCCTCCGTGTTGCCGTTGCTCCTCTCCTGCCTGGGCATCTAACTTAGCCCATGGTCCTTTCCCCGCAAATATCTCTTCCCATGACCACAAATCGGCCACCTGTGACATGGCCATTCGCTCCGCCTGGGCACGCTGCTTGGTCCTCGTTTGGTGGGATCTTCTGTCACGTTCGTTTAATGATGGGACAGACCAAGGAGCAGCGTGATATACGTACATGTTTATTCAACTAAATAAACACACGACAAAACAATAAATGAAACGAAACGTGAAGTCCTAAGGTAGATACACACAACATACCTTACACGGAACAAGATCCCACAACCCTCTAGTGCCAAAAGGCTGCCTAAGTATGATCCCCAATCAGAGACAACGAGCTACAGCTGCCTCTGATTGGGAACCGCACCGGCCAACATAGATCTACACATAATAGATCGAAACATAGAAAACACACAACAAAGAATATACACACCCTGACTCAACATTTAAGCGTCCCCTGAGTCAGGGCGTGACACCCATGGAGGTCTGGATTTGGAGTCACCCTCAAAATTAAAGTGGAAAACCACACTACAGGCTGATCCAACTTTGATGTAATGTCCTTAAAACAAGTCAAAATGAGGCTCAGTAGTGTGTGTGGCCTCCACGTGCCTGTATGACCTCCCTACAATGCCTGGGCATGCTCCTGATGAGGTGGCAGATGGTCTCCTGAGGGATCTCCTCCCAGACCTGGACTAAAGCATCCGCCAACTCCTGGACAGTCTGTGGTGCAACGTGGCGTTGGTGGATGGAGCGAGACATGATGTCCCAGATGTGCTCAATTGGATTCAGGTCTGGGGAACGGGCGGGCCAGTCCATAGCATCAATGCCTTCCTCTTGCAGGAACTGCTGACACACTCCAGCCACATGAGGTCTAGCATTGTCTTGCATTAGGAGGAACCCAGGGCCAACCGCACCAGCATATGGTCTCACAAGGGGTCTGAGGATCTCATCTCGGTGCCTAATGGCAGTCAGGCTACCTCTGGCGAGCACATGGAGGGCTGTGCGGCCCCCCAAAGAAATGCCACCCCACACCATGACTGACCCACCGCCAAACCGGTCATGCTGGAGGATGTTGCAGGCAGCAGAATGTTCTCCACGGCGTCTACAGACTCTGTCACGTCTGTCACGTGCTCAGTGTGAACCTGCTTTCATCTGTGAAGAGCACAGGGCGCCAGTGGCGAATTTTCCAATCTTGGTGTTCTCTGGCAAATGCCAATCGTCCTGCACGGTGTTGGGCTGTAAGCACAAACCCCACCTGTGGGGCGGCAGGTAGCTTAGTGGTTAAGAGCGTTGTGCCAGTAACCGAAAGGTCGCTGGTTCTAATCCCCGAGCCGACTAGGTGAAAAATCTGTCGATGTGCCCTTGAGCAAGGCACTTAACCCTAATTGCTCCTGTAAGTCGCTCTGGATAAGAGCGTCTGCAAAATGACTGAAAGGAAATGAAATGAAAATGGATGTCGGGCCCTCATACCACCCTCATGGAGTCTGTTTCTGACCGTTTGAGCAGACACATTTGTGGCCTGCTGAAGGTCATTTTGCAGGGCTCTGGCAGTGCTCCTCCTGCTCCTCCTTGCACAAAGGCGGAGGTAGCAGTCCTGTTGCTGGGTTGTTGGCCTCCTCCACGTCTCCTGATGTACTGGCCTGTCTCCTGGTAGCGCCTCCATGCTCTGGACACTACGCTGACAGACCCAGCAAACCTTCTTGCCACAGCTCGCATTGATGTGCCATCCTGGATGAGCTGCACTACCTGAGCCACTTGTGTGGGTTGTAGACTCCGTCTCATGCTACCACTAGAGTGAAAGCACCGCCAGCATTCAAAAGTGACCAAAACATCAGCCAGGAAGCATTGAAACTGAGAAGTGGTCTGTGGTCACCACCTGCAAAACCAGTCCTTTATTGGGGGTGTCTTGCTAATTGCCTATAATTTCCACCTGTTGTCTATTCCATTTGCACAACAGCATGTGACATTTATTGTCAATCAGTGTTGCTTCCTAAGTGGACAGTTTGATTTCACAGAAGTGTGATTGACTTGGAGTTACATTGTGTTGATTAAGTGTACCCTTTATTTTTTTGAGCAGTGTAGTAGTCAAGTAGACCTGTCTGAGGTCTGTGTCATCTGAGTATACTGCAGACGCATTGAACAATTGTCTGCAAACATGAGGATGTGAGAGCGCATGGTAACTATTAACTCAAATGCAAAACATTGCTGTGTTTACATCTGATATTACATATGTGTAAGAGGGAGTATAATAAAGGTGTCATTGTACGCTGATGATTCATGTTTTCTTTTAAATCCACTACTTGAATCCCTCCACAGCCTCATAGAGGATCTAGATATATTTTCTAACCTCTCTGGATTACAACCAAATTATGATGAATGTACTATATTACGTATTGGATCACAAAAAAATACAATATTTACATTACCATGTACAGTGGGGGAAAAAAGTATTTAGTCAGCCACCAATTGTGCAAGTTCTCCCACTTAAAAAGATGAGAGAGGCCTGTAATTTTCATCATAGGTACACGTCAACTATGACAGATAAAATGAGAAAAAAAATCCAGAAAATCACATTGTATGATTTTTTATGAATGTATTTGCAAATTATGGTGGAAAATAAGTATTTGGTCAATAACAAAAGTTTCTCATTACTTTGTTATATACCCTTTTGTCATGTGGTGAGGTGTATGTGGTGTGGAAGTCAGGCGCAGGACACCAAGGCTCAGTCCAACAGAGTTTACTCAAAAATCCAACAAGGAAGCGGTAAACAAACTACCTCGAAACAATCAGAGGCGAGTATTTACGCACCATGCGTAAAACACTAAAACAGCAAACAAGAAACAAAACACGCAGCACAACGACAGGCGAACAACAACACACAATCTAACTAACACAAAACAGGGAACTTATAGGACACGTAATTAGGACACAAACAGACACAGGTGTACCAGACAGACTAAAGCAATCAATACACGAAACATACAACGGTGGCAGCTAGTATTCCGGGGACGACGAACGCCGCAGCCTGCCCGAACCAGGAGGAGGAGCAGCCTCGGCCGAAACCGTGACAGTACCCCCCCCTTGACGCACGGCTCCAGCCGTGCGCCGACCCCGGTCTCGGGGACGGCCAGGAGGACGCGGACCCGGGCACGTGGGATGCCCACGGTGGAACTCTGTCAGGAGGGATATGTCGAGAATGTCCCTCCTAGGCACCCAGCACCGTTCCTCCGGACCGTACCACTCCCACTCCACGAGATACTGGAGACCACTCCTCCGGCGCCTCGAGTCCAATATAGTCCGGACCCTGTACGCCGGTGCCCCCTCGATGTCCAAAGGGGGTGGAGGGGTCTCTCCTATCTCCTCCTCTTGGAGTGGACCAGCTACCACCGGCCTGAGAAGAGACACATGGAACGAGGGGTTAATATTTTTGTACTCAATAGGTAGTTGTAATCTGTAACACACCTCGTTCAATCTTCTCAGGACTTTGAAGGGCCCCACAAACCGCCGACCCAGCTTCCGGCAGGGCAGGCGGAGGGGCAGGTTTCGAGTCGAGAGCCAGACTCGATCTCCCGGTGCGTACACCAGCCCCTCACTGCGGTGGCGATCGGCGCTCGCCTTCTGTTGACGGATGGCACGCTGCAGATGGACATGGGCAGCGTCCCACGTATCCTCCGAGCGCCGAATCCACTCGTCCACCGCAGGGGCCTCGGTCTGGCTCTCGTGCCACGGTGCCAGGACCGGCTGATACCCTAAAATACACTGGAAAGGTGTTAATCCGGTGGAGGAGTGGCGGAGAGAGTTCTGGGCCATCTCTGCCCAGGGGATATACCTCGACCACTCCTCCGGCCGGTCCCGGCAATAGGACCTCAAAAACCTACCCACATCCTGGTTCACACGTTCAACCTGCCCATTGCTCTCTGGGTGGTACCCCGAGGTAAGGCTAACCGAGACCCCCAGGCGTTCCATGAAAGCCCCCCAGACTCTGGAGGTGAACTGGGGACCTCGGTCGGACACAATATCCTCGGGGACCCCATAGTGCCGGAACACGTGGGTAAAGAGGGCCTCAGCGGTCTGTAGGGCAGTAGGGAGACCCGGCAGTGGGAGGAGACGACAGGCCTTAGAAAACCGATCCACAATGACCAAAATGGTGGTATTACCCTGGGAAGGAGGTAGATCGGTCACAAAATCTACCGAGAGGTGGGACCATGGTCGTTGTGGAACGGGCAGAGGATGTAACTTACCTCTGGGCAAATGTCTAGGTGCCTTACACTGGGCACATACCGAGCAGGAGGAGACATAAACCCTCACATCCCTGGCTAACGTTGGCCACCAGTATTTCACGCTAAGGCAGTGCACCGTCCGACCAATACCAGGATGTCCAGAGGAGGGTGATGTATGAGCCCAAGAAATAAGCCGATCACGAACCTCGAGCGGAACGTATGTCCGCCCCACAGGACACTCGGGGGGAGTAGGGTCGGTACGCAGCGCCCGCTCGATTTCCGCATCGACCTCCCACACTACCGGAGCCACCAGACAAGACTCCGGCAGTATGGAAGTAGGCTCAATGGACCTCTCCTCTGTGTCATACTGCCGGGACAGGGCGTCTGCCTTACCGTTCTGGGACCCAGGGATGTATGTGATCTTAAAAACAAACCGGGTCAGGAACATGTTCCACCTAGCCTGACGAGGGTTCAATCTCCTAGCTGCCCGGATGTACTCCAGGTTACGGTGATCAGTCAGAATGAGGAAAGGGTGTTGAGCCCCCTCAAGCCAATGCCTCCACACCTTTAGAGCCTGGACTACAGCTAACAGCTCCCTGTCCCCAACGTCATAATTGCGCTCCGCCGAGCTGAGCTTCTTGGAGTAGAACGCACAGGGGCGGAGCTTAGGTGGCGTGCCGGACCGTTGTGACAGGACTGCCCCAATACCGGTCTCGGACGCGTCCACCTCTACTTGGAAAGGCAAAGAGGGATCCGGATGCGCCAGCACCGGGGCCGAGGCGAACAGGTTCTTCAGCTTGACAAATGCCCTGTCCGCCTCAGCTGACCACTGCAAGCGCACCGGACCCCCCTTTAGCAGGGACGTAATGGGAGCTGCAACCTGTCCAAAGTCCCGGATAAACCTCCGGTAGTAATTAGCAAAACCCAAGAACCGCTGCACCTCTTTTACGGTGGTTGGAGTTTGCCAATTACGCACAGCCGATACCCGATCTACCTCTATCTCCACGCCAGACGCGGACAACCGATAACCCAAAAAGGAGACGGACTCCTGGAAGAACAGGCATTTCTCTGCCTTGACATACAAGTCATGCTCCAACAGTCGTCTCAATACTCGGCGCACCTGGGCTACATGCTCGGCTCGTGTAGAAGAGTACACTAGAATGTCGTCAATGTACACCACTACACCCTGCCCATGCATGTCCCGGAAAATCTCATCAACAAAGGATTGGAAGACTGAAGGAGCATTCATTAACCCGTATGGCATGACGAGATACTCGTAATGACCCGAGGTGGTGCTAAATGCTGTTTTCCATTCATCCCCCTCCCTAATGCGCACCAAATTGTACGCGCTCCTGAGATCCAACTTTGTGAAGAACCGCGCTCCGCGTAATGACTCCGTCATCGTCGCAATCAGTGGAAGTGGGTAACTGTATTTTACTGTGATCTGATTGAGACTACGGTAATCAATACACGGGCGCAATCCCCCGTCCTTCTTCTTCACAAAGAAGAAACTCGAGGAGACCGGAGAAGTAGAGGGCCGTATGTATCCCTGTGCCAAGGACTCGGCTATGTAAGTCTCCATAGCCGCAGTCTCCTCTTGAGACAGGGGATACACACGACTCCTGGGAAGAGCTGCTTCAGTCTGGATATTTATCGCACAGTCCCCCTGTCTATGAGGAGGTAGCCGTGCTGCCCTCGATTTACTAAACACTAGTGCTAAATCCTCATACTCGGGGGGAATGCGCAGTGCGGGCACTTGGTTCGGACTCTCTACCGAGGTCGCCCCTATGGAAACACCTAGACATCTCCCTACACACTGGGCAGACCACTCCATAAGAGCCCTCTGTTGCCACGCTATGGTAGGATCGTGGGTGCTTAACCAGGGAAGCCCCAACACCACTGGGTACGCAGGAGAGTCAATCAGATAGAACTGAATGATTTCCTCATGACCCCCCTGCGTAGTCATCGTCAGTGGTGCTGTGACATCCCTGATCAGACCCGACCCCAACGGCCGGCTGTCTAATGCATGGACAGGGAATGGAACTTCTACCGGCCGAAGGGGAATTCCTAACCTAGCACAAAATGCCCGATCAATAAAGTTCCCAGCTGCGCCTGAATCTACTAGCGCCTTATGCTGGGAATGAGGTGCCACCTGTGGAAAACGCACAGGAATGCTCATGTGGCCAACAGAGAGCTCTGGGTAAGTGGGCGCCTACTCACCTGAAATGACTCCCCAGTGCGTGACCTGTTGTCCCCTCTCTCAGAAGACCCTCCCCAGCACCTGGCCGCGGTGTGTCCTCCACGGCCACAGTTGGTGCAGGGGGTGGCCCTCCTCGGGTTCTCCCTCCTCCTCTCTCTAGCGCCAGCACCCCCGAGCTCCATAGGAATAGGCTCGGAGGTGCTGGAGGATGGAATGGACGGCCCCCACTCGGGACGTCCGCGGGTAGCCAGCAGGGTGTCTAGACTGATGGAGATGTCCACCAGCTGGTCGAACGACAGGTTGGTATCCCTGCAGGCCATCTCACGACGAACGTCCTCTCGTAGGCTACACCGATAGTGGTCAATGAGGGCCCTCTTATTCCATCCCGCATCCGCTACTAATGTCCGGAACTCCAGTGCGAACTCCTGTGCGCTCCTCTTCCCCTGTCGGAGGTGGAATAGACGCTCTCCCGCCGCTTTCCCCTCAGGTGGATGATCGAAGACAGTCCTGAAGCGGCGGGAAAACTCTGCGTAGGTGATGGTGGTGGCGTCTATTCCCCTCCATTCGGCATTGGCCCACTCCAACGCCTTTCCGGAGAGACAGGAGATGAGGGCGGAGACGCTCTCGTATCCCGAGGGCGCCGGGTGTATAGTGGCAAGGTAAAGTTCTACCTGTAGGAGGAAGCCCTGACACCCGGCTGCAGAACCGTCATATGCCCTCGGGAGCGAGAGCCGAATGCCACTGGGTTCCGGTGCTGAGAGAGGAGGACTGGCCGTTGGTGCTGGGATGGTGTGAGAAGGCGTGGGCACCTCCCGATTCATCAAACGGCGCAGTCTGTTGGACACCTCGTCCATGGCGGCCCCGAGTTGCCGGATCATGGCGTCCTGGGAATTAATCCGGTATTCCAGGGAATCGGGTGCCGCCGCTGTTCCTGCTGACTCCATGTGGGTGTGTTGTTCTGTCATGTGGTGAGGTGTATGTGGTGTGGAAGTCAGGCGCAGGACACCAAGGCTCAGTCCAACAGAGTTTACTCAAAAATCCAACAAGGAAGCGGTAAACAAACTACCTCGAAACAATCAGAGGCGAGTATTTACGCACCATGCGTAAAACACTAAAACAGCAAACAAGAAACAAAACACGCAGCACAACGACAGGCGAACAACAACACACAATCTAACTAACACAAAACAGGGAACTTATAGGACACGTAATTAGGACACAAACAGACACAGGTGTACCAGACAGACTAAAGCAATCAATACACGAAACATACAACGGTGGCAGCTAGTATTCTGGGGACGACGAACGCCGCAGCCTGCCCGAACCAGGAGGAGGAGCAGCCTCGGCCGAAACCGTGACACCTTTGTTGGCAATGACACAGGTCAAACGTTTTCTGTAAGTCTTCACAAGGTTTTCACACACTGTTGCTGGTATTTTGGCCCATTCCTCCATGCAGATCTCCTCTAGAGCAGTGATGTTTTGGGGCTGTCGCTGGGCAACACAGACTTCCAACTCCCTCCAAAGATTTTCTATGGGGTTGAGATCTGGAGACTGGCTAGGCCACTCCAGGACCTTGAAATGCTTCTTACGAAGCCACTCCTTCGTTGCCCGGGCGGTGTGTTTGGGATTATTGTCATGCTGAAAGACCCAGCCACGTTTCATCTTCAATGCCCTTGCTGATGGAAGGAGGTTTTCACTCAAAATCTCACGATACATGGCCCCATTCATTCTTTTCCCTTTGCAGAAAAACAGCCCCAAAGCATGATGTTTCCACCCCCATGCTTCACAGTAGGTATGGTGTTATTTGGATGCAACTCAGCATTCTTTGTCCTCCAAACACAACGAGTTGAGTTTTTACCAAAAAGTTATATTTTGGTTTCATCTGACCATATGACATTCTCCCAATCCTCTTCTGGATCATCCAAATGCACTCTAGCAAACTTCAGACGGGCCTGGACATGTACTGGCTTAAGCAGGGGGACACGTCTTGCACTGCAGGATTTGAGTCCTTGGCGGCGTAGTGTGTTACTGATGGTAGGCTTTGTTACTTTGGTCCCAGCTCTCTGCAGGTCATTCACTAGGTCCCCCCGTGTGGTTCTGGGATTTTTGCTCACCGTTCTTGTGATCATTTTGACCCCACGGGGTGAGATCTTGCGTGGAGCCCCAGATCGAGGGAGATTATCAGTGGTCTTGTATGTCTTCCATTTCCTAATAATTGCTCCCACAGTTGATTTCTTCAAATCAAGCTGCTTACCTATTGCAGATTCAGTCTTCCCAGCCTGGTGCAGGTCTACAATTGTTTCTGGTGTCCTTTGACAGCTCTTTGGTCTTGGCCATAGTGGAGTTTGGAGTGTGACTGTTTGAGGTTGTGGACAGGTGTCTTTTATACTGATAACAAGTTCAAACAGGTGCCATTAATACAGGTAACGAGTGGAGGACAGAGGGGCCTCTTAAAGAAGAAGTTACAGGTCTGTGAGAGCCAGAAATCTTGCTTGTTTGTAGGTGACCAAATACTTATTTTCCACCATAATTTGCAAAAAAATTCATTAAAAATCCTACAATGTGACTTTCTGGATTTTTTTTCTCAATTTGTCTGTCATAGTTGACGTGTACCTATGATGAAAATTACAGGCCTCTCTCATCTTTTTAAGTGGGAGAACTTGCACAATTGGTGGCTGACTAAATACTTTTTTTCCCCACTGTACGTTAAGTGCCATGGGATCTTTAGTGACCACAGAGAGTCAAGACACCCGTTTAACGTCCCATCCGAAAGACGGCACCCTACACAGGGCAATGTCCCCAATCACTGCCCAGGGGCATTGGGATATTTTTTTTGACCAGAGGATAGAGTGCCTTCTAGTACTAGCCCTCCAACACCACTTCCAGTAGCATCTGGTCTCCCATCCAGGGACTGACTAGGACCAACCCTGCTTAGCTTCAGAGTCAAGTGAGCAGTGGGATGCTAGCAGGTCTCTCTCTAGTCTACATTATTGTCTGTGAACTGGTGACTGTCTGCCCCGTAATACGGCATCCATATTAGGAAGTCTTCAGTTGTCCGAAAAAACTCCCTCAGTTGTGTGTGGGTTAAGAATGGGCCGGACGCAGTGGCCCTGTACCGCAGCGCCTTCGGCCCGCCCTCGGCCTCCCAGAGAGGGATCCCGACCCAGGGGTTGCTGGACGCGGTGGTGTACCGGCTGAGGGGCTCAGACAAGGATGCCCAGGAGCTGAGCGATGTGTTGACCCCAGGACAGCTCACCCTGCTGGAGGACCCGGAGGTGCAGCCCGGAGACGAGGCCTTGAGCCGCTGTAACGGCCTGCTGCCTGCCGACCTGTCTGCTTTTGTGGTGGCCCCACCCACACCTCTGAGGGAGAACTCTTGTCCCCGCCCACCCCCTCCCCCTGAAGGCGTGGTCATCAGCGAGGTGGGAGGTGCCCGGTGGACCAACCACAGCCAGCAGAGGGGGTTTGTGGAGCTGCTAGGACCGCCCCTGACTTCTCTACAGGGCCTGGTCCTGACCGTGTTTGAAGAGTATCGCGCCGGTACGACCATGGCCCTACCTCTGACCGGAATCACAGACCATAACGGCTTCTACCTCATCGGGAACATCACAGGAGCAGACCAGGTGTTTCCGAAGGGGGCCACAATTCCGGCCAATGGGGCCGTAGTCCTGTGTTCTGACACAGTCACTGTGTGTAGAGCTGGTACCACCCTAACCAACAGCACTCTTCGTGACACGCTAGTGTTCAGTGATGACCTGAGATTGCTAATTAAACTCTCCGCCACCAGAGGGCAGCAGGTGATGCCTGTACTCAGGTCAGTGGAGGATAGTCCCGTGTCTCTCAGCCGTTGCTCCTGCTGCGAGGCAAGAAGCCCCTCCTCCTGGACCAGCTCCTCCCCCACCCCGCGCCTGACCAACATCTGCCCCAGCCCCGCTTTCTCCAGCGACCTCGACCTATGCCTGGCTCCCCTCTCCGGTGATTGGCAGGAGCACCCAGGAAACTGCAGTGGACTGGTGCAGGGTCACAGTGAGATGGATGTTGCTGGCTATCTGGAGGAAAGATGTCACTGTGGTATCTCTGCCCTCTACCTGCAGGTGGCCAACTTCTCCTGTGTGGCCGGGTGGCTCCATGTGCTGGGGAACATCCAGGCCCTGTCGGACCACCAGAGGGCCCTCATCCTCCAGACCTCCCCCACCCAGGGGGACACCTGTACCGACCCGGCTACCGACTGACGCATGAGCACAGAGTCTGCCCTGGGCCTGCAGATTGGCCTGGTGCTAGGAGCTCTACTGCTACTGGGGCTGGGAGCAGCCCTCTTTACCTACTTCTACAAAAAGAGGCAACCACTGGACTATTACTCCATGGAGTTGAATGAACCTGAAGAGGGACCTTCAGAACTTTAAGTGTGTGTGTATGTGTGCATGTGAGGGAGCATTTTTTAGCTCTGAGTGAAGTCCTGCCTGCCTATTTTTAATTTTTAAACATTGTATTCTTCTGTCTGTGTTTTTGAATAGGGATCTCCCACTAGATAAGGGACCAGCGCCATTTTTGTTAATGTGTACGAATTACCATCCTTTTACATTCCTTCCATCATAATTGTGGTCCTCTGTAGCTCAGCTGGTAGAGCACGGCGCTTGTAACGCCAGGGTAGTGGGTTCAATCCCCGGGACCACCCATACACAAAAATGTATGCACGCATGACTTGTAAGTCGCTTTGGATAAAAGCGTCTGCTAAATGGCTTATTATTATTATTATTATATTATTATTATTATTAACTTGTCCCTCTATGTCTCTAGTGTTGTTTCAATCTGTTATGAAGACACCAGGGGAGCTGTTCCTTCGCTTCCCAGTCAGGATCCTCTTCATGGTGGCCTGGAATGTGGAGGAGGAGAAGTAGAACGTCACAGGATCCAGGACGGTGTTGACCAGGGTCAGGAGCAGAGCTTAGAGCCGCCACCCCACGTCATCTTGGATGATGAACCCCTGTATATGGGTGACATTATAGGGCAGGAAGCAGACAACAAAAACCAGTAGAGTCCCCATTGACATTTCGACGGCTCTCTTCCTTTTCTCTGCACGAAGGTTGGGGGTCCTATTGAGGATGAGGATGAAGTTCAGGTAGCAGAACACACAGACCAGCAGTGGCATGATGTATAGAACCACACACAGCTCCAAGCGCATGGGGAGCACCACCTTAAGCTTCTCCTGGGTGAAGTTGTCATATCAGGCATAGAAATCAGATGAGGTGAGGCCCTCATCCATCGCTGACTGGTTCTCCATGATGTAGATGAAGCAGAGGTGGTCCGAGTTGAAGACCCACACCACTAGGCTGCTCAACACTCCGTATAAGGGCTTGCGGCTGAGCCTGTCCTGAACAGGGAAGGCCACACACAGGTAGCGGTCAACACTGACCACCAACAGCAGGAAGGAGCTTGTGTAGATGGTGGAGGAGAAGAAGACGAAATAGGTTATGTTGTAGAGAGAGCTGGGAAGAGTCCAGACCTTGCCGGAGGCTGCCTCATGCATCTTGAGGAGCAGGAAGATGAGGTCGGACACAGTCAGGTTGAGCAGGAGGATGTCTGTAGGAGTGGGCTTTTTGTGGATCTTGACGCTGAAGGCGTAGAGTGCCAGGATGTTGCCAGGCAGGCCCATCAGGAAGGTGATGTAGACAGACAGAATCACCTCACTCCTCACCACCATAATCAATATACATTGAGTATACAAAACTTTAAGAACACCTGCTCTTTCCATGACATAGACTGACCAGGTGAATCGAGGTAAAAGCTATGATCCCTTATTGATGTCACTTGTTAAATCCACTTCAATCAGTGTAGATGAAGGGGAGGAGACAGGTTAAATAAGGATTTTTAAGCTTTGAGACAATTGAGACATTAATTGTGTATGTGTACCATTCAGAGGGTGAACGGGCAAGACAAAAGATGGAAGTGCCTTTGAACAGTGTATGGTAATAGGTGCCAGGCCTAGCTAGGGCTGTTATGGGGACCATTTTACCGCACACCTGCGGTCACAAGTCATGAAGGCAGTCAAATTCCACGGTAATTAGGCTTCTCCAAGCTCTGGTGCTGCTGATGGTTATTAGTAGCCTACCAAACTTGCTAACTGCCTGGTGCTCAGCCCTCTATTGTCCCTCTAATCACTCTGACATCAATGCAAATGTAATCGAAAATCTAATCAAACACGCCATGAGAGCCCATGAGCTCATGTTGTGCAACATTTCTATAGGCTATGCAATTGTGTGAGAAAACAGAGTGATGGCCTGTATTAAAAAGAGGAGGATCCCATCAGCTTTCTATAGGCTAGGACAGCTATATTTATTTCTCAACTTTCCTATTATTAATCACATTGCTTCTCTTTACAACAGGAGTATAGCCTACCTGGCTGGCATGAAAATGAACCACGGGAAAAGCGTCCTCCATTCGCTATTTAAGTGCATAGATAACATGTATTTTTTAAAACTCTTATTTAGTGTATGTAAAGACATGATATTAAATCAACAATAGTTTGATTGGTGACAATATTAGCCTATCACTTGTGAATGATATATTATCACTTGTGAATGATGCCCAGCGGAAGGCAAGAAACAATGCATACCTTTTTTTTGCAACTTTTTCAAATCATAGTCCCACACTTCATGTAGCCTAGCCCATAGGCCTATATATTTTGATAAGGTTTGTATCACAACTAAAGTGGCCAAATAACTTATTAAAATTAAGCACATTAATCTGCTTTACAATGGGTGTAGAGCCTAACTGGCATACATATGCAGCGCTTGAGTTTCAAGTTTGGGGAAGGTAATTTTCACCATAACAATGCACCTTTATAATAAAAGCATTACATGCATAATCGCACTTGCCATCACTTTTGATAATGGTGTTTTCCTATTAATGGCACATTCGCACTTATAGCCCACTGCCATGTGAGCATTGCTGCGCTTATAATGTGAAGAAATAGCCTAATAATTTATCAACATTTTAAGCTAAACGTTCTGATCTGTTGTGCAAAACAATTTTTGGGATGCTAGTGGTTGTATTAATTTTGGATCTATCGCATCCCACAACTGTCCCAGACTATGTTTGGAATACTTATTTCTCGCAAAGAATAGAATAGGTCAACTTTCGTACTATGGGGGATAGTAGATTGACATAGGTTAGTGCTTTTACTGTTCGTTAGGCCGATTCATCTTGTTGGCTGACGAAAAGCAAATGTGGAAAGTTCTTCACATATCTTCAATATGCGCCTCGAATTGGAAAAGGACGCGCACAGTTGCGTCCCGGATGTGTCTGTCTTCACTTGTAGCCTGTGACCCGATCAGGTGACGGAGAGCCATGTGAGTGAGAAGTGCTTTGGCGCATGCAGCACGCAGGGAGAAGGGAATTACAATTATTACGTTCAGCCCAACAGCACAACAACCACTGGCTGCAAAATACATTGATTTTTTTAGGGGGCATTAAGGCCACGTAAAGGGGATGCCGCCGGGAAAAAGTCGAGGCATTATCAAGTACTTGTCAAAGTGTGAAGGAGAGACTGATGAAGTGTGTACAGCCTGCACAAAAAACATAGAGAGCTCATGCCTTTTATGCAACTTTTTTCAGATCATCATTAGAGTCGCATCATGCAGCCTTAGAATGTATTAAAACTAAAAACATATAGCCCAACGTTTGCATCACAACTAAAGTTACATACATAACTCTAAATGAAGCATATAGGAGTAGCTGTTTCTTTGTTAACCGCTCAACACAGAATGTGCGCACTCCCTCAAATAGTTTGGAGAAAATATCCATTCTATTTTATTCAGCTTTGTTCAATTTTATTCTTCATACTATAGAATAATGCCATAGAATTCTAAGCAAACCTTGTCTGCTAAATGAACTAGTGTAGCCCACAGCCATATGGCATAGCCAGATCAGGACCTAACATAAGGACAACTCAGACTATGCTATTCTGTTCTTCTGAAATAGACTACATTTTCTTCATATCATGTTTCTTTAGACCTGTCTAAAATAAATAATGGATTTATTGTGAAGGTGTAGGCTATATTACATGGATTTATTATACTTTTTAAAATGTAGATGTTCCAAATGTCTACATCAGTGGCTTGTAGGCTATGTGTGTACTAAATGTGTTTGTTAATTAATGGTCAATTACCGTGAGACCGGCAGTTATTTGCTTGACAAGCACCCGGCTGACGAAATTTTATGATCCTAGCCAGGCCAACCGGTTTGTGTCAAGAACTGCAACGCTGCTGGGTTTTTTATGCTCAACAGTTTCCTCTGTGTATCAAGAATGGTCCACCACCCAAAGCACATCCAGCCAACTTGACACAACTGTGGGAAGCATTGAAGTCAACATTGGCCAGCATCCCTATGGAAAGCTTTCGACACCTTTTAGAGTCCATGCCCCGACGAATTGAGGCTGTTCTGAGGGCAAAGGGGTGAAACTCAATATTAGGAAGGTGTTCTTAATGTTTGGTATACTCAGTGGTTTAGACAGCTCTGTAGAAAAGTTTACATGTTTGTATTTTATTTCAGTTATAAATATGTTCACATAACACATTTCTAAAAGCAATATGACACACACAAATACAGTTAATACCAAAGTTATAATACAAAATATAGGTTACATTAATTGCTTAAACACACAAAAAACACAATCCACACAGCCCAGACAGGTGCACAAACACAAAAACGTACGACTTTTAACAGTAGGCTACACGACTCAGTCATCAACTTATAACAATTGGATAACATTATTATTACGAACTCTGAAGCAAACTCACTGATAGTTCAATAGTTTTGGTAGATATCATCCATGTCTGAACACATAGCCTGTGGGGAACAAATAAGAACGTGTTAACCTATCTTTCTACATGTTTGAGAAACCAACAGAAGAACACTACATTTAGGCCACCAAAATACACATGGCTTCAAAAATACACTTGATCTGAGGGCTTTGGTGGTAATCACTCTCCTGTCATCACAGTGTCTGAAATATGAAAGTGTGGGTAAAAAGTATGTGGTATTTTTATTTTGATCAAAAGCTGCACCAGCCAAATTGGGTTTGTAGTGAGGTTACACAAAGTTGACCTTTGTGTTATCTTGTAACTTGATCTTTGGATAATTCTCGTTCTTTGCTGGGTTTTGACTAGGCTTCTTTGGCACAAAGTCATTCAGTTTCGTAGACTGAGGATTGGCTATCCGTCCTTGCTTTCTCCTTGGGTATGGCCATGGGCATGGCCTTAGCCCTTTGCTGTGGCCTGAGGAGGAGAGGAGAATGTGGAACCTGATTATAGTTCAGTACCATTTTGACTTTTCAAAAATATCTCCAACCACCCACTACAGAAGCGAATACATTTCAATGCTATATCGTATGAATTTGAGGATTGGTCAAAAGGTAAGAATTTTTTTCTCACTTTTGGGGATTGCTGTACCCTTATGGACTCTGACATGTCAGTTTCCTTAAGGACAAAAAAAACATGTAAATGAGCTTGAACATTATTCTTTGTTGTATGTAAAATACAGACGCAAAAATGACAGTACCTTAGAGGGATATCCAAAGTGGGGGGATTGGAGCTGGCCTTTGGTCTACAGATAATGGTTAGTAGAAGGGAGACATCATTCAAAATGACACACCTAATATGGTTTTATATGTGACATCATCATCATCAAGAACCGTACAAACCTCTCTATTCAACGTCTTCTGCAAACAAACATTACAGCTCCCCACAGAAAGGCACTTCCAACTGCCAGAGCAGTCAGCATCCATGGCAGAACTATGTTCAAAGAAAGACAGAGAGAGAGAGATCGAGAAAGGGGGGAGGGGGGACACATGGGGAGGCAGAGGAGGAAGAAAGACTGTCACTGTGTGCAGATTATAATGACATCAGAAGATTAAGAATATAAATTCTGTACTGAAAGCTTACTTACACTGTCCAGCCGTGAATTCAGTGTCAAGGGGCAGCTGCTGGATGTCAGTGGCCAGTGAGTTAATGGCTACGCAGGAGACATTTGGTCGTCTTTCCACAGGCCCAGTGAGTTCTGATGACACCATATTTTCTCTGTATATGGTGTTGGAAGTGAAGGATGATGGGAGAGTGTTGTTTTTGTTGATCCTCCAGTGCAGAGTGGCATTAGGTCGGGCTTCTGCTCTACACACACAGTGCAGAACCCCACCCTTCAAGGAGCAGGTGGAGTCAGAGAGGATTGCTGGGGGGACTGGAGTGACAGAATGACATGAAGTGGTGGTTTTAAAAAATGTTGTTTGACACTACACATTTGTCTTCCTTCTTGTTATAAGTGAGTGAGAAACAATGACAATAGAACTATGTAAGGGTGGGAAGGAGCATGTCTTCTCTTCTATTTTACACCCATAATGTATCGTTAGAATTAACATTTCAATGTACAACTATAATGTTAGTTCCATTGGAAACTGTGCAACCAGACATAGACACATACAATGAGATACTTACAGTTGACATCCAGAAACAGCCAGGCTGACAGATTTGATCCAATATTATTTTGGACAATGCAGGAGAATGAGGTGTCTCTGCTAATGTTGGGATAGGACATTTTGCCCTGAGTTGAATTCATTTGGATGCTTTGGCCTCCCTGTCGTCTGATCCACACAAACCTGCCTGGCTGGGGGTTGCTGTCAGCAACACACTTCAGGTTGACACTCTGACCTTCACTGACTTGCTGTTCATCTGCTATCACCTTCACACCTACAGGGGCATCTGTTTATAAAGCAGACAAACATGTATTGTGACTATGTAGTCGTTTGTTCTGTAAAATTCTATATTTATTTAAGTGATGGCCTGTGAACGGAATAATTGCACAACTGAGAACAAACAAGTAAGACCAAAAACGTACATGAGATGTTAAGAATAACTGGTTGACTCTCAGTTCGGACTGAAGCGAATTGAGCTGTGCATTTCATCACTATTTTGTGCAGTTGGCGCGTTCCTCTTCCTTGTATTGTCTCAGTAGACACCCACAGTCCTCCCTTTTCCTCCATGGAAGTCACTGATGTAGAATTCTCAGGCAAACGGCTCCAGTTAAGGGATGGAGGAGAGGCAGGGCAGGAATGCCAGACACTACAGTTGGCCTGGAATAAGGCTCCATCCACCATTGCATTCTGCATGGATAATGCAGGAGCTTTTCTCTCTGCAAGTTCGAATACATTATTATTAGTGGGAACCAAAGGCAAACAAGGCATTACCAGCTCCCATGACTAATGGTTTAACACCCTGTTTAAAATTCTCGTTCAGTTTTAACATAGTGTTCTAACTATCGACCACTATCACTCCTACATTCAGATGTCAAAGTAATGAAGTACTGTTCATCTGATCACAATCTGTTGTATTTTTTCAGTTGTTCAACTACAACAAATAATTAATCTAATAAACCTCTCCATGAGTGTGCTTACTTTCAACTGTAATCCTTACGATCTGATGATGGAACTTTTGTGTAGCTAACTCATCAGGGTTGATCCACACGAAGAGCTGGAGGTTATTGTCTATCAACGTCACACTCTCAAACCTCAGTGTACAGTCACCCTCTGCTGCATTGCCTGGCACTGATGTACGCCCTCTAAAACTGGCCTCCACACTGGTCGGTCCCTTGCCATCATAAACCTTGGGATAGTTAATACTATGATACCGGTACCAGATGACCCTGTGGTGAGGGGCGGTGTGACAGGATATTTCTACACAGCTGCCATCTACTGCCTTCACAGTATTGGGCACCTTCACCATCCAACAGTGACCAAGCAAGACAAGTGTGCACCCTGAGGAAGAAGACCTAGCAAGTCAGTTTACATTGCATCAGTTCTCTTTTATTACTTTGCCAGCTGTATCAAGTGGAGTTTAAATAACCTTCCCCAATTTGAGGAACTGAATAGTTGGTTGATCCGCAGAAGTACAGTGCATTCGGAAAGCATTCAGACCCCTTCACCTTTTCTACATTTTGTTATGTTACAGCCTTATTCTAAAATGGATTCAATTGTTTTTTCCCCTAATCAATCTACACACAATACCCCATATTGACAAAGCAAAAATAGGTTTTTTAGAAATCTTGGCAAAAATAAATAAATATGGAAATATCACATTTACATAAGTATTCAGACCCTTTACTCAGTACTTTGTTGAAGCACCTGTGGCAGCAATTACAGCCTCGAGTCTTCTTGGGTTTGAGGCTACAAGCTTGGCACACCTGTATTTGGGGAATTTCTCCCATTCTTCTCTGCAGATCCTCTCAAGCACTGTTAGGTTGGAAGGGGAGCGTCGCTGCACAGCTATTTTCTGGTCTCTCCAGAAATGTTAGATCGGGTTCAAGTCCGGGCTCTGGCTGGGCCACTCAAGGACATTCAGAGACTTGTCCTGAAGCCACTCCTGCGTGTGCTTAGGGTTGTTGTCCTGTTGGAAGGTGAACCTTCGCCCCAGTCTGAGGTCCTGATCGCTCTGGAGCAGGTTTTCATCAAGGATCTCTCTGTACTTTGCTCCGTTAATCTTTCCCTCGATTCTGACTAGTCTCCCAGTCCCTGCCACTGAAAAACATCCCCACAGCTTGATGCTGCCACCACCATGCTTCACCGTAGGGATGGTGCCTGGTTTCCTCCAGACTTGACGCTTGGAATTCAGGCCAAAGAGTTCAATCTTTGCTTAATCATAACAGAGAATCTTGTTTCCCATGGTCTGAGGGTCCTTTAGGTGCCTTTTGGCAAACTCCAAGTGGGCTGTCATGTGCCTTATACTGAGGAGTGGCTTCCGTCTGGCCACTCTACCATAAAGGCCTGATTGTTGGATTGCTGCAGAGATGGTTGTCCTTCTGGAAGGTGCTCCCATCTCCACAGAGGAACTCTGGAGCTCTGTCAGAGTGACCATCGGGTTCTTGGTCACCTCCCTGACTAAGGCCCTTCTCCCCCGATTGCTCAGTTTGGGAAGAGTCAGCTCTAGGAAGAGTCTTGGTGGTTCCAAACTTTTTCCATTTAAGAATGATGGATGCCACTGTGTTCTTGGCGACCTTCAATGATGCAGAAATCTTTTCGTACCCTTCCCCAGATCTGTGCCTCGACACAATCCTGTCTCGGAGCTCTACGGACAATTCCTTCGACCTCATAACTTGGGTTTTGCTCTGACATACACTGTCAACTGTAGGACCTTATATAGACAGGTGTGTGCCTTTCCAAATCATGTCCAATCAATTGAATTTACCACAGGTGGACGCCAATCTAGTTGTAGAAACATCTCAAGGATGATCAATGGGAACAGGATGCACCTGAGCTCAATTTAGAATCCCATAGCAAAGGGTCTGAATACTTATGTAAATAAGGTATTTCAGTTTTTTATTTTAATACTTTTGCAAAAATCTCAAAAAACCTGTTTTCGCTTTGTCATTGTTGGGTATTGATGAGATTATTATTATTTTTTAATCCATTTTAGAATAAAGCTGTAACGTAACAAAATGTGGAAGAAGGGAAGGGGTCTGATACTTTTCGAATGCACTGTATTTCCGAGTGCAACAGAAAGTGTTGCATTGCACCCCAAATAAAAACTACTGCATTAAAACTGCATCTAAACCAAATTAGCTGTATGTAGCCAGTTGCAGTTTCAATGCAGTAGTTATACTTGGCCTGCAATGCAACACATTCTGTGACCAGAGGTAAAAAAAAATACTGCATGTGGTTCTCTCGTTGTCTTTCTTTATACATGTAGCGCTTTCAGCAAAGACCATTGCTAGCAATAATCAGGGTGACGGGATGCCGAATAATTGGGTTCTATTATAAAAGCTTCATCAGTTTCTGTAGCACCAGCTGGTGCAAAGCAAAATAAGTAGCATTTACTGTACATACTGTATTTATCTACATACTGTACACATACAGTATTTAAAATATAGTGACATTTAATGGCTTAAAGCTAAAGTCAGATAATGCACATGTTGATGCAAAAATGTAGTTTTACCATGCAATCAAATGTCATATAATAAGATGTATAATGTACCTGTGATGAAGCTGAGGATGTCCATTAGAAGAGTCTGTGGTGTCTTTAGTCTATTAAGGTTCCAATATCATGTGTTGGTTAGGATGCTGAAGTTTATAGCTATAAAACAAACAATCATTCACCCAATCAATTAATTAAAGGAAAACTCCACCCAAAAACTATCTTTTGGTATTTGTTTAATTAGTCCATTGTTGACATACTCCCAAAATGTTTTGCTTGTCAGCAATCAAGTTTTCAAGATATGTAACTTTCAAAATACAGAAATCATCACCCTCTCTACCTAATTTCTACCAGCATGTTAAATGTGCAACCAGAGGGGAAAAAACTCTAGACCACCTTTACTCCACACACAGAGACGCATACAAAGCTCTCCCTCGCCCTCCATTTGGCAAATCTGACCATAACTCTATCCTCCTGATTCCTGCTTATAAGCAAAAACTGAAGCAGGAAGCACCAGTGATTCGGCTAATAAAAAAGTGGTCAGATGACGCAGATGCTAAGCTACAGGACTGTTTTGCTAGCACAGACTGGAACATGTTCCGGGATTCTTCAGACAGCATTGAGGAGTACACCACATCAGTCACTGGCTTCATCAATAAGTGCATCGATGATGTCGTCCCCACAGTGACCGTACGTACATACCCCAACCAGAAGCCATGGATTACAGGAAACATCCGCACTGAGCTAAAGGGTAGAGCTGCCGCTTTCAAGGAACGGGACTCTAACCCGGACGCTTATAAGAAATCCCGCTATGACCTCCGACGAACCATCAAACAGGCAAAGAGTCAATACAGGTCTAAGATTGAATCATACTACACTGGCTCTGACGCTCGTCGGATGTGGCAGGGCTTGAAAACTATTACAGACTACAAAGGGAAGCACAGCCGCGAGCTGCCCAGTGACACAAGCCTACCAGACGAGCTAAACCACTTCTATGCTCGCTTCGAGGCAAGCAACACTGAAGCATGCATGAGAGCACCAGCTGTTCCGGACGACTATGTGATCACGCTCTCCGTAGCCGATGTGAGTAAGACTTTTAAGCAGGTCAACATTCACAAGGCCGCAGGGCCAGACGGATTACCAGGACGTGTACTCCGAGCATGTGCTGACCAACTGGCAAGTGTCTTCACTGACATTTTCAACATGTCCCTGACTGAGTCTGTAATACCAACATGTTTCAAGCAGACCACCATAGTCCCCGTGCCCAAGAACTCTAAGATAACCTGCCTAAATGACTACCGACCCGTGGCACTGACGTCTGTAGCCATGAAGTGCTTTGAAAGACTGGTCATGGCTCACATCAACAGCATAATCCCAGAAACCCTAGACCCACTCCAATTTGCATACCGCCCCAACAGATCCACAGATGATGCAATCTCTATCGCACTCCACACTGCCCTTTCCCACCTGGACAAGAGGAACACCTACGTGAGAATGCTATTCATTGACTACAGCTCAGCATTCAACACCATAGTGCCCTCAAAGCTCATCACTAAGCTAAGGATCCTGGGACTAAACACCTCCCTCTGCAACTGGATCCTGGACTTCCTGACGGGCCGCCCCCAGGTGGTAAGGGTAGGTAACAACACATCTGCCACACTGATCCTCAACACGGGGGCCCCTCAGGGGTGCGTGCTTAGTCCCCTCCTGTACTCTCTGTTCACCCATGACTGCATGGCCAGGCACGACTCCAACACCATCATTAAGTTTGCCGACGACACAACAGTGGTAGGCCTGATCACCGACAACGATGAGACAGCCTATAGGGAGGAGGTCAGAGATCTGGCCGTGTGGTGCCAGGACAACAACCTCTCCCTCAACGTGACCAAGACAAAGGAGATGATTGTGGACTACAGGAAAAAAAAGAGGACTGAGCACGCCCCCATTCTCATCGACGGGGCTGTAGTGGAACAGGTTGAGAGCTTCAAGTTCCTTGGTGTCCACATCACCAACGAACTATCATGGTCCAAACACACCAAGACAGTCGTGAAGAGGGCACGACAAAGCCTATTCCCCCTCAGGAGACTAAAAAGATTTGGCATGGGTCCTCAGATCCTCAAAAAATTCTACAGCTGCACCATCGAGAGCATCCTGACTGGTTGCATCACCGCCTGGTATGGCAACTGCTTGGCCTCTGACCGCAAGGCACTACAGAGGGTAGTGCGTACGGCCCAGTACATCACAGGGGCAAAGCTCCCTGCCATCCAGGACCTCTATACCAGGCGGTGTCAGAGGAAGGCCCTCAAAATTGTCAAAGACTCCAGCCACCCTAGTCATAGACTGTTCTCTCTGCTACCGCACGGCAAGCGGTACCGGAGTGCCAAGTCTAGGTCCAAAAGACTTCTCAACAGCTTCTACCCCCAAGCCATAAGACTCCTGAACAGCTAATCATGGCTACCCGGACTATTTGCACTGCCCCCCCCACCCCATACTTTTTACGCTGCTGCTACTCTGTTAAGTATTTATGCATAGTCACTCTAACTCTACCCACATGTACATATTACCTCAACTACCTCAACTAGCCGGTGCCCCCGCACATTGACTATGCAACGGTACCCCCCTGTATATATAGCCTCCCTACTGTCACTTTATTCTATTGTATATATAGCCTCCCTACTGTCACTTTATTTTTACTTCTGCTCTTTTTTTCTCAACACTTTTTTGTTGTTGTTTTATTCTTACTTTTTTGTTTAAAATAAATGCACTGTTGGTTAAGGGCTGTAAGTAAGCATTTCACTGTAATGTCTGCACCTGTTGTATTCGGCGCATGTGACCAATAAAATTTGATTTGATTTGATTTGATCATCCCCGTATGATGCATTTTGTATTATATGATGCTGTTTTGCATCATTTGATGTTGTTTAGCATCATGTGATGCTGTTTAGCATCATGTGATGTGAAATGCATCATATGGTGATGATTTCTGTATTTTGAAAGTTACACATCTTGAAAACTTGATTGCTGACAAGCAAAACATTTTGGGAATTTTCCTTTAAATCAATTAAATACTTTTATTTAATTTCTGTACTTTTATTTAATTTCTGTTTTAATATGGATTGAATCACAACATAAATACATCCAGAATATTTTGTGTTTTTGTATATTTTCTAATGAAAACATCTCACTATACTGCAGTCCTAGCACTTGACTACATAGAGCAGGGCTCTTCAACATTTTCTTGCCCAGGGACCCCCTCCCAGGCAAACCAGTGACCCAGGGACCCCATCATACATTTAAAAAAAAAATCACGTCTTGTCTTATCACCAGGCGAATGATAATGGAGAAGCAATCAACATTTTAAAATGAATTGATTTGGTAGATAGTTTTCCATTATTTTTACCGCCCCACATTAGAATTGGAAGAGGAAGTGTAAACTCTAACATAGCCTATTAGCTAGAAAGGTAACTCCAAACACATTTTCACAATGAGCAGCTGTTTAGCTGCTTAAACAAAAGTTAGCCATGTGTTGGCAAAAATGTATGTCTAAGTCAAGAAAGCTTACCAGCAGCCAGCGGCACTTGCCGCACTTGTAGTGGTAGCCTATTTGCGGGTATTTTTTCAAAGCCTATATCAGATACTCCAGTGAGTGTAATTGGCTCCAATTAGTGTAATTTGCTCAGTATTAGGAGTTGAGAAATAAAGTTGACATTATTAGAAAGAAGATATTCTCCTCTTTTCTACTGTAGGTATGTAATTGAAATTAAATGTATTCCGTTATTGCTAGCGATATTCATAAAAACATTGAAATAAACAAAATAAAAATTCCACTTAAAAATATACCGTTTTTTTGTCAACCCTTTGCAGTAATCCCGCTGACCCCCGGTTGAATACCCCTGAGATAGAGCCATGAATACAAGGAACTTTCTTCCACATCAAGTAACTCAAGCGAGCAGTAAAATCTGATTTTTAAAAAACGGATAAAACAACGACTCATGACTCATATATTCTGCATTGTTGGGAAGTGCCTGTAAGTAAGCATTTCACTGTTAGTCTACACCTGTAGTTTACGAAGCATATTTATTTTATTTGACACACACACACATACACACAAGCCATCTAACACACACACATTTTTAGATTGTAATATTGTATTATTGTAGTATTGTACATTTTATATAGTACATTTGTAATAATAGAGTAATAATGTAATGTCTTGTATGATGTATTGTTTTATTTATGATGTAGGCTGTTGTTTTGTTGAGATGTAATTATTTTATTTCTGTTTGTACCACAGGAAGAGTAGCTGCTGGCTTATGGAGATCCTAATAAATACTAAATACTAGGTTCTGTGTAGCTCAGTTGGTAGAGCATGGCACTTGCAACGCCGGGGTTGTTGGTTCGATTCCCACGGGGGACCAGTACGAAAATGTATGCCGTCGCTCTGGATAAGAGTGTCTGCTAAATTACTAAAATGTAAATACTTTAAGTAACCAAAGACTATATTTGACCAGACAAAGACGTTGCCTCCTGATATGCACAGGATGTTGCCACTACTTCTGCCAATTACATTTTGGTTTGATAAAAGACGATGTGGATGGACAGTTTCTTAGACATCACCCCCGGTGAATAAAAATGAGATAACAAATTGAAAGCTATATCAAGAAGAGCAGTCTATCGTATATTATGTGGTAGGTCCTGTGGGAAGAGGTTACTTGAAATGCATCACAGTCTACCTGGAGGCTACAAAATGACATTATAAGCCATAATCAGACAGCAGAACCATGTATGATGACCTATGTCAACCAATGAAAACACTGTTAACCTCTAAAGGGGGGGGGGGGATTGTTTTAAAAATGATCATGCCATGGATCATTTAGCTGTTTGATTTAGAATTGTAGGACCCCTTTAGGGCTCCCTCCTTTTTTGGTGCCTTTACTACTATAGCCCATAGAAACGCATTGAATAACATTAATACATGGCAGACAAGACAGTCAAAAAATGAATCATAAGGAATAGGATTTTGATGTGTCTGTCCTATATCTAGGATATAAGAAAGCTCAGTAAATATTTTTGGTTTTTTGGACACATATAACCTAAATATAACCTAAAAGAGTTCTACCTGGAACCAGCCTAAGAACCCTTTTGGAACCCTTTTTTCTAAGAGTGTACAGACATACCATGATATTTACATTTGCCGAAATGTTTTGTGCAAGCTATCACTGTCATTGAAATGTTGTCACAAATCCCCCATAAAACAAGAGATTAACATGCCTTACCTTCAGAAGAGGTGGTGAGCATTCTCTCTGTTTTCTGTCACAAAGCGAAACCCACTACATCATCCCCCCTTTGTTCTTTTCAAACAGGAAACTCACTGAATCTGTCAAAGTCTACTTTCCGATTGGCCAAGAGATTGTTCTAATGTTAGCTTTCAAACGCACCTTCGTTTTTTAGTTTTTGTTAATACTATTGGTGCATTCAATGATATTAGAGTGAGTTTAAGAGTTTTAAATACCTTGAAAACATTAAAAGTTATGCAGAACGTAGGTCATCATAATGCTATGAACAATTACAAAGGCTTCAATAAATAACAATAAGGTGGACATTTAATGTTTTATTTGTTTTGTGGTAAAAAAACAAACAGCGTAATACTTTCATTAAGAGCAATATGTATTTGTGAAAGTACAATAGGCCTACAATAAATTCATGAAAAACTAGAGAAACTGTAGGTTCTCCATCTCCAGTGCCTTACTTATTCTGCGTCTGCCTACATTTCCCAGCACACACCTCTCTTCCTCCAGGTAGGAACCGCTAGACGCCTCCCTTCCCCCCTCCCCATCCACGGACCCCACATTCTTCTTCTTCATCCACTTCTTCTTCTTCCAAATCACACTGGAATAAAACACGTCACCCCCCTCCTTCTTTGCAGTGCCTTCTCCTGGATCTGTAGCAGTGTCAGCGATAGGACTGAGCAGGCCGGTTCGGTCGGTCTCAGAGATGGCTTTGGAGGAAGGCAGTGTTTTGGAACCCGGTTTGTGGGCCTCTAGGTCTTGTTCGCATCCCTGTCTCCTGGCCTGACTCGGTATCATGCTGTTGGTGTAGATGTCTTCTTCTGGCACAGGAGGATCCTGCAATAACATAAATGTATAGACATTTAACAGATTTTCTTTTGTGGTGATTTCATTATCAAACTATTTCTAGGATAAATCTGATGATGCTTACCTGTGTCCCCTCACCACTGGTTGGAACTAGGTTCATCACCCCATCACTGTCGTCATATTTTTCATGACCTCTGAGTACCGTAAAATAAGGCTTCCAAACCCTGTGAAATCATCATACAACAAACTGGTCAAATCAAATATCTACAAATTAGTGTACACTTCAGAATCAGGAACTAAGTTCATGTAAAGCACAAAAAGTATAAAGACACAAATACGTGCAGTATTTCCAGAACATTTTAAAAGAGTGATGACCTTACCTTAGGAGAAACAATAAAGCACATATCAGTGCTGTCATTAATGCTGAAACAAATATTGCAGTGATGAAGATTGGCAAGGAAACTTGACCTAGAGGGGAACAGAAAAATCTTTAATCAATAGACTTAGAAAAGATTTATCAAGGTTATCAAGATCATCATTGTAGTCAATTATAGTGTCCAAACCCCTTATGAATGATAATGACTGGTTTGTGTATTTCAAAGTACCTACACTGTACAAATAGTTTTTGACCAGATCCAAATCGCTTTGACTGCAGAAAAACACCAAATGCTGCACAATGTGTCTGTATGGCAATTGATAACATAAAGCGCTTACCCTCATGAACTTCAGAGCTTATGCCCAGCCCCTGGTGATTCCCCAGGCATTGAGTACAGAACTGGAGGCTGGAAGATCCTACAGAGTTGGTGCTGAGGCAGACCAGAGTGGGTGTGTCCTCCTCCTGTGATTGGTGGATGGTGAGGGAGCTTCTCAGGCCTGTGCTGCCCATTGGCTCCCTGATGACAGAGTTTCTTACGTGATTGACAGGCTGCCCAGCCAATCGCCACTCCACTTTGGGAGAGGGGTTCCCATGACTCTCACAGGAACAGTTGATCTTATCTGCAGTTCTGATGCAGCGAGAGGAGGGCAGGATCTTTGGAGCAACTATAGAAAACAGAGGATGAAGACAGTTAAGTCAAAGATATTTATAACCAACCCGACATAGTTCATCTGTGTCGTTTTCCATGGGAGAAAATTAAGCATAGTGGGTAGAACGAGCAAGGAGGAGGGCAGAGCCAAGCAAGAGCTAGCGAGAGCCTATTGGCGCATTCTAGCATGTATTTGCATATTTCCGTTAGGGAACGCCTTCGCTGTGAAGTGTGCGTGTGCAATAACTTTATTTGCCATTGCACTCCTTGTAAACAACACAACTTTTAAAAACTTTGACAAAGGGTCAAGTCTATAAAACTATGTGCACTCTGTTCATAACAGATTCTAGTTTTGGGAACAGAAAACTGTTTTGAGATCAGGCACGGTGTGAGCCGAATCAGGTGGAAGCGGTACTCGCTAAGCAAGCAGTGTGACGTCCTTTACAGGGGTGCCTAGTGACTCAGATCTACAGTTGAGCTCAGCTCAAAGCTGGGGTCGCTGTTGAGTAAGATTGAGGGGTGAATTTAACACATTGGGATGTGTGAAACATACTCCTCAGCCTGAAGTGTCCCCACTTGAACCAGCAAATAGTTTAATCAAGTGGACACCTGCTCGTCGAACATCTCATTCCAAAATCATGGGCATTAATATGGCGTTGGTCCCCCCTTTGCTGCTATAACAGTCTCCACTCTTCTGGGAAGGCTTTCCACTAGATGTTGGAACATTGTTGCGGGGACTTCCTTTCATTCAGCCACAAGAGCATTAGTGAGGTCGGGCACTGATGTTGGGCGATTAGGCCTGGCTCGCAGTCGGCATTCCAATTCATCCCAAAGGTGTTCGATGGGGTTGAGGTCAGGGCTCTGTGCAGGCCAGTGAAGTTCTTACACACCAATCTCGACAAACCATTTCTGTATGGACCTCGCTTTGTGCACGGGGCATTGTCATGATGAAAGACGAAAGGGCCTTCCCCAAACTGTTTCCATAAAGCTGGAAACACAGAATCGTCTAGAATGTCATTGTTTGCTGTAGCGTTAAGATTTCCCTTCACTGGAACTAAGGGGCCTAGCCCAAACCATGAACAACTGCCCCAGACCATTATTCCACCTCCACCAAACTTTACAGTTGGCACTATGCATTTGGGCAGGTAGTGTTCTCCTGGCATCCGCCAAACCCAGATTTGTCCGTCGGACTGCCAGATGGTGAAGCGTGATTCATCACTCCAGAGAACGCGTTTCCACTGCTCCAGAGTCCAATGGCGGCGAGCTTTACACCACTCCAGCCGACGCTTGGCATTGCACATGGTGATCTTAGGCAAATAAGCAAATACATAAGCAAATAAAAGATGACTGGTCATTGGTGAGAATAATCAGATCAGAGTGTGATGTCATGCTGGGGGCCAAAAACTCCATCCCACCTGAACAGGCTGAAAGGGTATCATTTTCACAATTTGTGAGTGTTATTTTGACCCCAGTGTGTGGAAATATCATATATATTTTTTTACAAATCACGTTTTTGACTGCACTGCCCCTTTAAAGTATGTTCACAGGATGTGGAAGTGTAACAACTTACATGTCACATCTATGTTAGTAGTTGTTGAGTTGTCCACCCCATGCTTATTCTCTGCTTCGCAATAGTACCGCCCACTATCATTGATAGCAATCTTATTGAAGGTGAAGCTCTGTCCAGATCGTACAATGACTCTCTCACTCCCATTGACTCTATACCAGGTGTAGGTCTTCACTGCTGGGTTGGCATTGCTGCTGCAGCTCAGAGTCACAGAGATTCCCTCTACCACTGAACCAGAGGGACGGACCGACAATGAGGTGTTCTTGGGAGGATCTGAAGAAGTGAAGAAGCATATTGTATGGAAACAGGTAATTTAGAGTGTGTTATGACACTAGCCATAGTGCTAATATATTGTGTACATTTGTTTTTATTTTGCACTTACACATCCCATCTAGTTGAGTGACAGATGAGTTCTGGGATCCAAGATGATTTCTGGTCTCACAATGGAACTGGCTGTTGTCTACTGGTACCTTGATAGTTAGCATTCTGCTAGACCCCACTTCTGTGACCTGTTCTCGATCTACTCTGTACCAGGTGTAGCTCTCCACTGGTGGGTTGGCATTGCTGCTGCAGGTCAGAGTCACAGAGCTGCCCTCTACCACTGAACTAGAGGGACTAACTGACACTGAGGTGTTTTTTGGTGGATCTGAAAAACAAAGCAAATTATGCAATTAAATGTTATACCTTTTGTTTGATTAAGTGATAATGCCCGAGAAGCCGATGTTTGGAGGATATATTGGCACGGTGTTCAGCAAACTGTGTCAATATATCCTCCAAACACTGGCTTCGAGGGCATTATCACTTTTATACAACAGGTTACAACATATTCAAATAATGATTGACATATTTTAAATAAAAACGTTATTTTGATGGATTTATTCATACTATTTCATCCTTCCACAAGATATAGTACCGACACAAATCTAGGGTTGCTACCCAAGCCGGTTGGTCAATCGTTCTATAGGTTTCGGTTACCAGAGACGCGACCCAGTCATTCAGTCTTTTTGTTCTGTATCTATGGATGCAACGCAGTCGTTCGTTCTAAATGTTCAATTGCCATATTAGCTGGCAACGTTCTTATCCCTTGCTTGCTAGCTAGCCAATTATGGCTAACATACAGTCACGTCAAACAGTGCAGCCAGAATAACAGCAAAGTAGCCGCATTTGCATTTGTTTAAGCTGTTTTCTAGTGACATTTATTTGGATACATCCATAACAATGAGCTAATGAGGCGCGATTTCGCCTGGCATAGAAAATGTGCTCTCTCGTCAAGACACTTGTTCAGAGGAGCTATCCAACAACACAGCTAACACAATCATTTCAAACTGAAGCTGGAAAGACAGCAAACTAGCTGCACTTCTGTGGGGTTCTATTTTCTAATGATTGGATCTGTGTGTGATGAATGGCTTAGAAGGAATGCATTAATGATAAGCATAGGTTTGTACTATACTGATATAAATTGTTTCACATAACAGGCTGTGATTCATGTAAGGAACGTTAGGGGGAAGGACAGATAAGACTTGTATTTCTTACAGATACGAACACTGCCTCTTTGTTGTCTGTGAACCGTTGTCTGTGAACCGTCCTTGGACGTAGGAACGTACAGTCTTTTGAGTGCTGACTCCACAGGTTGTTATGATAAAAACTTATGCCTGGCAACAGTGTGCAACAGGTGGAGCGCCAAGAGGCTGGGACTAGCCTGTGCGCCAACGGATTGGCTGAGTAAGTCTAAACCACGCTCAGTCTCTACTCTGATTGGCCAGCAGAGAGTGGGAACTATCTCTGTCAGAGTATTTGAAGAAGAACCTGTAACAATGGATTAGTTCTCTGAGTGCCCTGCGTGGTATTTCAGTGGACCCGTATATACGAACCTTCATACTTATCATACATACATTTTGCATATAATAAATTTAGCTTGGATTGAAGATCTCTTGATTCTTATTCCAATACCAGATTTGAATTACACAATTTCTAACACTTCGTTTCGTTTTACCTGTTTTCTCTTGATCGTTCTTTGTATATATCCATAAAAATGATGCAGATTCATGATTTCAACTGTCTGAGAAAAGCGGCCTGCCTGTCTGTTTCATCCCGACTCCCGACACGTTCATTATTATGGGACATCTGGAGATCGAATTTGAATATTGAAACAATGTTGCAAATGTCGGAGAGACAGACAGCAAGGTTTATACAAATCTCCGCTGTTGAAAACTAAATGTTAGTCTAAAAGAAATGTGAGATAATGTGTAGATGCTTTTTATAGTGGAGATCAAGTTCATGAAGTGCCTGGCTGGCCTGATGAGACAGTGGATTGCGCAGTCAGATGGAACAGAGGAAATAGGCATTTTAATGTAATAGATTTAGCAGGTGTAAATTGAGAAATAGACAACGGCTGGAATGCGGTTTTAACCAATCAGCATTCAGGATTAGACCCACCCGTTGTATAATGTTTAATAAGTGAGTGAATGCATTGAAAGGAACTCAGTCGGCTTTCAACGTTGTAATAGTAGAATGCACAAGGTGCAATTTTGAAATTGGGTAGTGAACCATCAGTTTTCCTCTTGTCATGTCAGTCATTTCATACCTTAGAGAGCTATTTATAACTTGTCAGAAATGTCTAAATCAACTAGCCCATGTCAGCTAACATTTTTTTTGCTAGGTTTTTTAGCCCATAGATTTTGTTTTAATGTTTGTGACGCTCAAATATCACATGAATACACATTAGATGTGGCAAAATGTATAGAATTGCAAGAAACTTTGCTTTAAAACTGCAAATTGTTCTCTGCACCCCATGACAAAATGTGTAGAATCGCAGGAAATAAGCTTTAAACCTGCAAAATGTTCTCTCCATCAACAAGAGGGGTGTGAATAGTTTGTGCCATAAACAGTGCTTGTGCCCATAGAAATAGATGTGGCGCGTGGGCGCGGGCGGGGGACGTTCCCTAATGTTGGGAGGGGGCCTGAGTGAAAAAGTTTGGGAACCCCTGGTCTAGACTCTAGAGCCTACCCCGCTTACCACTGAAAAGTAGGAGGATACATATGCAAATAAAAGATGACTGGTCATTGGTCAGAATAATCAGATTTTTTAATTTTTTTACAAATCATGTTTTTGACTACACTGCCCCTTTAAAGTATGTTCACAGGGTGTAAAAGTGTAACAACTTACATGTCACATCTATGTTAGTAGTTGTTGAGTTGTCCACCCCATGCTTATTCTCTGCTTCGCAATAGTACCGCCCACTATCATTGATAGCAATCTTATTGAAGGTGAAGCTCTGTCCAGATCGTACAATGACTCCCTCACTCCCATTGACTCTATACCAGGTGTAGGTCTTCACTGCTGGGTTGGCATTGCTGCTGCAGGTCAGAGTCACAGAGCTGCCCTCTGCAACTGAACCAGAGGGACGGACCGACAATGAGGTGTTCTTGGGAGGATCTGAAGAAGTGAAGAAGCATATTGTATGGAAACAGGTAATTTAGTGTGTGTTATGACACTAGCCATAGTGCTAAAATATTGTGTACATTTGTTTTTATTTTGCACTTACACATCCCATCTAGTTGAGTGACAGATGAGTTCTGGGATCCAAGATGATTTCTGGTCTCACAATAGAACTGGCTGTTGTCTACTGGTACCTTGATAGTTAGCATTCTGCTAGACCCCACTTCTGTGACCTGTTCTCGATCTACTCTGTACCAGGTGTAGCTCTCCACTGGTGGGTTGGCATTGCTGCTGCAGGTCAGAGTCACAGAGCTGCCCTCTACCACTGAACTAGAGGGACTGACTGACACTGAGGTGTTTTTTGGTGGGTCTGAAAACAAAACAATCATGCAATTGAAATGTTATACCTGTTTTTTTATGTTTAATAAGTCATTACTTGAAGTTACAGTATGTTTGGAATTTTGTACTTACATAGCACATTCTGTAGAATGAGTGATGAGTTCTTGGTCCCATGGTCATTTCTGGCCTCACAGTAGAACTGGCGGTTGTCTATAGATGCTTTCGTGTTTAACTCTTTTTCATTAGCGATTCGTGTCACTTGGCCTCCATTGACTCTGTACCAGGTGTAGTTCTTCACTGCTGGGTTGGCATTGCTGCTGCATGTCAGAGTCATATTGCTGCCCTCTATCACTGAACCAGAGGGACTGACTGACACAGAGGTGTTCTTGGGAGGATCTAAAGAGACAGGTGTAAAAACAGTAAAAAGGCTGTTAACAAAAAGTATACAAACTGGGTGCTATCCTCACAACTGAAATTGAGCAGAAACGATAGTTCCAGATTTATACTTAATAATAATAATAAATCATTTAGCAGACGCTTTTATCAAAAGCGACTTACAGTCATGTGTGCATACATTTCTACGTATGGGTGGTCCCGGGGATCGAACCCACTACCCTGGCGTTACAAGCGCCATGCTCTACCAATTGAGCTACAGAGGACCACTTACACATTACATCCAGTTGAAAGACTGATGAGTTCTTAGTGCCATGGTCATTTGTGGCACCACAGTAAAACTTTCTTTGATCTGTGTACACCTGGGTCTGATGTTTCTCTCCATGTCCTATTGATGTCACCTGATCGCCATTGACTCTGTACCAGGTGTAGTTCCTCACTGCTGGGTTGGCATTGCTGCTGCAGGTCAGAGTCACAGAGTTGCCCTCTACCACTGAATCAGAGGGACTGACTGACACTGAGGTGTTTTTGGGTGGGTCTGGGGTAAAGAAACAACAGATACTGTATGAAAAATTTAAACATAGTGTGTGTTATGATACTGGCTACACACTTAGAAAATACACTCTAAAAATGAGGGGTTCAACAAGGGTTCTTCTAAGATCCTCAAAATTCTTCAAAGAACCTTAGGGTTCCTGGCACTGAAAATTGCCCCCAAAAGGTTCTTTCAAGAACCCCATAGGAGGTGGGGTTCATCGAGGAACCTCATTAGTTGGTGGGGGTTCTTGCAGGAACCTAACTGCCCAACTGAAACATTTGGATTAGAATTTGAAAGACAGCAGGTGCAGGCACTTAACTGAAAAATGTAAAGCTCTTCACAATTAAAGGTAAGGTTTGTCCCTTGTATGACCTAAATGTATATTGTTTTATTGTTTTATGATGATACCATCTATCTTTTCATATTTGTGCAAATCTTTCTAAAACAGAAAATGGATACAATTCAATGGATATAAATCAACAAAGAGGTAAGAATATGTATGCTATAAGAATATGTTGAAGGCTATCTGTATTGGGTGCAGATGACTGAACTACTCACTTTTGTGTCTGTGTCTGCAGGAATACAGACGAGGAGGCATGCAAAGGTACGTCAATTGGTATTGGTATGTTATGTTGATCACATTTACCATCCTCCTCCCTTACCTCTTCAATGAATATCCCATAGGCCTCTACATTATGGACAAGGTATGTGAATGAAAACCGTTATCAAAACAGTTTTTCCATTCACCTTCACCACAAAATCCAAGGTATGAATTCTGTCGTGTGTATGTTTTGTTAATCATCTGTATAATTCCTATTTTGGGGATTCACAGACTTCACCCTCCCTACACCTCTGATGAATATAACAGGAAACCTGTTCGATCACCATGCACTGCAAAATCATTCTGGTTGTGGATATGGAGAACATCAACACATTAACATCAACATGCTAGAGGATATTGGACTTGGGGCTCTGCTGGGAGTTTACCACATATTTAGATTTTTAAAATTCTGCTTTGCCACTAAAATCATAATAAACACTGAGAACTAAAATACTGTGTTATTGTTATGCTTTGTTGATAATAATAATAATAGGGGAGGGGGGGGGGGGGGGTAGTTCAAAAATGAACCCCAAAAGGTTATTCAAAAGGTTATTCAAGGATCCATTAAAAGGGGTTCTTTGAAGAACCCTTTTAAAGGGTTCTTCGAAGAGCTTATAGGGGTTCCCCCACTGTTTCAATTTCAAGAACCCCTAAAGGATACTCCAGAAACCTTTTATTTTTAGAGTGTAGGGTTCCTTCAGGGATCTTTGGGAAGGGTGATGGTTAAATGTAGAACCATAATGACTCAAAGCACCCTTTGAGCGCTTCATTGATTCTTTGCATTTCAGAAAAGGGTTCTTTCCTCTTTTAGTGATAATTAAAATGTAAAGGGAGTGGCTCATTATAATATTTTGGGGTGTGGTTTGCTCACAGCTCTTCTTGTGCAACCATGAGTGAGAGTGTCATTCCAGTATATCTTATAATTTGTATTATGCTATAATATTTTAAACATTACTATGGTCAGTCACAGTGTCTTGTGAAATACTCCTGTATGGCCTTGTGTCAACTGAGAACAAATTTCTCCTCAGGAACCCCCCAGCTGTTCCAAAGCTGTGACACCTGATTCAACTTGTCAATTAACGCAATTGTAACGCCTAAGGAATTATAAAGGCCCGGTGCAGTCAAAAATGAGGTTTTCCTGTGTTTAATTTACACTGAGTAAATCAAACATTAGGAATACCTTCTTAATATTGAGTTGTACCCCCCTCCCAGAAATTGTTCTGCTAAGAAGCTATTTTTGTTTCTTTTTGACCATTTTAATTTAAAACAATCCCAGTTAGGTACTTAATTGTTACCCAGAAATTATTTGATATTTAGATACAAATGTCTGCATTGAACCTTTAACAATATAATATGGCTAACCAAAATAATAAACCCTGTATGGTTCTTCAAAAATATCTACAAAGAACCTTTGAGACCGAGGAAGTTTCTTTATAGAACTATTCTCCATAAAGGTTCTATATAAAAAAAAACATGAAAAAAGGGTTCTAACCATAGCAGAACACATTTTTTGGTGCTCTTCAGAACCTTTTATTAATGGCTATTTATAGAACCTCAGGAAATTGTCATTTATAGAAGCTTACATTTTTGTTTTATATATAGCATCAAAAAGGGATCCGCTATGGTTACAAGCCAAATAACCCTTATTTGGCACTATATAGAACAATTATTTTTGTGTGTATAGCGCAAAAATATTATACACATTTATTTTATTGTGTACTTACACATCATATCTAGTTGAAAGGTTGATGATTTCTGGGTTCCATGGTCATTTTTGGCCTCACAGTAGAACTTGTTGTTATCTGCCAACACTTGGACAGTTAGCTCTGGCATTGCCTTCACTGGAGTCCCCCGACCTCCCTTGATTGTGTACCAGGTGTAGGTCTTCACTGCTGGGTTGGCATTGCTGCTGCAGGTCAGAGTCACAGACCTGCCCTCTATCGCTGGACCAGAGGGACTGACTGACACTGAGGTGTTCTTTGGGGAGTCTAAAGAAGAAAAATATATACAGTGGGGGAAAAAAGTATTTAGTCAGCCACCAATTGTGCAAGTTCTCCCACTTAAAAAGATGAGAGAGGCCTGTAATTTTCATCATAGATACCCGTCAACTATGACAGACAAAAAGAGATTTCTTTTCTCCAGAAAATCACATTGTAGGATTTTTAATGAATTTATTTGCAAATTATGGTGGAAAATAAGTATTTGGTCAATAACAAAAGTTTCTCAATACTTTGTTATATACCCGTTGTTGGCAATGACACAGGTCAAACGTTTTCTGTAAGTCTTCACAAGGTTTTCACACACTGTTGCTGGTATTTTGGCCCATTCCTCCATGCAGATCTCCTCTAGAGCAGTGATGGTTTGGGGCTGTCGCTGGGCAACACAGACTTTCAACTCCCTCCAAAGATTTTCTATGGGGTTGAGATCTGGAGACTGGCTAGGCCACTCCAGGACCTTGAAATGCTTCTTACGAAGCCACTCCTTCGTTGCCCGGGCGGTGTGTTTGGGATCATTGTCATGCTGAAAGACCCAGCCACGTTTCATCTTCAATGCCCTTGCTGATGGAAGGAGGTTTTCACTCAAAATCTCACGATACATGGCCCCATTCATTCTTTCCTTTACACGGATCAGTCGTCCTGGTCCCTTTGCAGAAAAACAGCCCCAAAGCATGATGTTTCCACCCCCATGCTTCACAGTAGGTATGGTGTTCTTTGGATGCAACTCAGCATTCTTTGTCCTCCAAACACGACGAGTTGAGTTTTTACCAAAAAGTTATATTTTGGTTTCATCTGACCATATGACATTCTCCCAATCCTCTTCTGGATCATCCAAATGCACTCTAGCAAACTTCAGACGGGCCTGGACATGTACTGGCTTAAGCAGGGGGACACGTCTGGCACTGCAGGATTTGAGTCCCTGGCTGCGGAGTGTGTTACTGATGGTAGGCTTTGTTACTTTGGTCCCAGCTCTCTGCAGGTCATTCACTAGGTCCCCCCGTGTGGTTCTGGGATTTTTGCTCACCGTTCTTGTGATCATTCTGACCCCACAGGGTGAGATCTTGCGTGGAGCCCCAGATCGAGGGAGATTATCAGTGGTCTTGTATGTCTTCCATTTCCTAATAATTGCTCCCACAGTTGATTTCTTCAAACCAAGCTGCTTACCTATTGCAGATTCAGTCTTCCCAGCCTGGTGCAGGTCTACAATTTTGTTTCTGTTGTCCTTTGACAGCTCTTTGGTCTTGGCCATAGTGGAGTTTGGAGTGTGACTGTTTGAGGTTGTGGACAGGTGTCTTTTATACTGATAACAAGTTCAAACAGGTGCCATTAATACAGGTAACGAGTGGAGGACAGAGGAGCCTCTTAAAGAAGAAGTTACAGGTCTGTGAGAGCCAGAAATCTTGCTTGGTTGTAGGTGACCAAATACTTATTTTCCACCATAATTTGCAAATAAATTCATAAAAAATCCTACAATGTGATTTTCTGGATTTTTTTTTCTCAATTTGTCTGTCATAGTTGACGTGTACCTATGATGAAAATTACAGGCCTCTCTCATCTTTTTAAGTGGGAGAACTTGCACAATTGGTGGCTGACTAAATACTTTTTTCCCCCACTGTATACAAAGTGAGTGCAAAGAAATGTTCAATACTTGTATTTAATATGGATGGGCATTTGAAAAAATATCAGTGTTCGAGTACTCTCATAAAAATGTTAGCATGTTAGCGTGAAAAGGGTCTGAAGGCAAAAAGTTTGCGATATGCTATCAGTTTTACTGGTTGTGCTGCTGTACTGGTTATTCTGATACACAACTGAAAACAAAACTGAACATATTTTCACTGCACTTGACATACTGTTGTCTGTAAACAACAAACACATCTTAGAGATAGAAATGTCAGTCCTTATAAATTTAACCAGCTAAATAGTTGCATTTGTACATTTAGAGTACTTGATTATTAGTAAACAAATACAATCCTTGAATCGAGTACTTGAGTTCTCGAATACTCGCGCCAGCCATAGTATTTAATTGTATACTTACACATTACATCCAGTTCAAAGACTGATGAGTTCTGGGTTCCATGGACATTTCTGGCCTCACAGTAGAACTTTCTTTGATCTGTGAACACCTGGGTCTGATGTTTCTCTCCATGTCCTATTGATATCACCTGATCTCCATTGACTCTGTACCAGGTGTAGTTATTCACTGCTGGGTTGGCATTGCTGCTGCAAGTCAGAGTCACAGAGCTGCCCTCTACCACTGGACCAGAGGGACGGACTGATACTGAGGTGTACATGGGAGGATCTGTAAAAACAGGGACAATATTTGAAACAAGTGAATTTAGTGGTGCCACCATTACACCCATTGCTACTGACTGCATCGAGATAGTGCAAGTACTTACATGGCAAATCTAGTTGAATGACAGATGATTTCTCGCTTCCATGGTCATTTCTGGCCTCACAGTAGAACTGACTGTTGTCTGCAGACACCTGGATAGTTAGCATTCTGCTAGACCCCACCGTTGTCACCTGAACTCCATTGACTCTGTACCAGGTGTAGGTCACTGCAGGGTTGGCATTGCTGCTGCAGTTCAGAGTCATGGAGCTGCCCTCTACCACTGGACCAGAGGGACTGACTGACACTGAGGTGTTCTTGGGAGAAACTTGGAGAAAGAGCACACAATGTTAATAATGTTTGACTGAAATAAAACCAACCAACTAATGCTAATATGAGGTGGAAAAAAGTCAAAATGATCTTACATAGAACAGTAACGGTCAGACTAGTTTCAGGTGATTTGACATTCTTGCCATCTTGTTGTTTGTAGAGAGCAGTGCAGGATATATTCTGTTCATGATGGAGGTATGAAGCAGTGAAGGTCAGAGTAGAGGTCGTGACTTTAGTTTTATCCTGATTCTCCCGTAGTCCCTCCTCACTTTGACCCAGTCTGGGGATCCATGTCAGAGTTGGGGGGAGAGATGGACATGGGGCTGCAGCAGAGCAAATCAAACTCACTGAGGTCCCCTCCCTCACCTCCACTGTAGCTGGGGTTAAAGTGGGTGTGGGGGGAGTGTCTAGAGTAGTAAGACAGGAACAAACACACCCACTATATCAGTGATAATCAATCAATTGGATATGAAAACAAAGTCTATAATTACAAATACGTTCAATACAATTTCATGTAGTTTTGTCAAGTTAGACTATAGAATCATGTGTGGTCGATCATTCAGCTGTAATGGATCGCTATGTGTCCTACCTGCGATATTGATTTGAACAGGTGTGCCAAAATTCCACTTGACACAATCGCCACATTCTAGTCTGAAGTAATATGTGTCACCAGTAGGCATGTTGTCCAGGATTGTAGTACAGTCTTTCTGGTTCAGGTTCCCAGATGGACTGGAGTCTGCTGTGTTTGTCTTATCTTTTCCACCTCTCATCCAAATTGCGTTACATGAGTGAGAATTTAGGCAGGGATTATAGTCTTTTAACTGCAAGGAACCAAGTGTAAATGAGCAGGGAATGCGCACACATGATCCTCTCAGAGCCTCTATACTCTGAGGCACCAAGGCTGTCCAATCTGCACAGAAAACACCTAAAACACACACACACAACAGCACAAGTCTTTTTAGAGTTTGAGGTGACTCATTCAATTGAACAAAGACAGCATTATCGATATATGTCAGCACAAGTTATCTCTGTATATCAATTTTTCCAGCTGGGTGATACTTTCTTTTTCTTTTTATATTTACAATCAACATAGGACATTGTTAGGGTGTGAGTGTCGATCAAGAGCTATTGCAAAATAATTATTACATCCACACATTGCTGCTGCACATACAGTGCATTCAGAAAGTATTCAGACCCCTTGACTTTTTCCACATTTTGTTACATTACACCCTTATTCTACAATTGATTAAATAGTTTTTTCCCCTCATCAATCTATGCACAATACCCCATAATGACAAAGCAAAAACAGCTTTTTAGAATATTTTCAAAATTTAAAACTGAAATATCACATTTACAAGTATTCAGACCCTTTACTCAGTACTTTGTTGAAGCACCTGTGGCAGCAATTACAGCCTCTAGTCTTCTTGGGTATGACGCTACAAGTCCGGCATACCTGTAGTTGGGGAATTTCTCCCATTCTTCTCTGCAGATCCTCTCAAGCTCAGTCAGGCTGGATGGAGAGCGTGGCTGCACAGCTATTTTCTGGTCTCTCCATAGCTGTTCGATCAGGTTCAAGTCTGGGCTCTGGCTGGGCCACTCAAGGATATTCAGAGACTTGTCCCGAAGCCACTCCTGCGTTGTCTTGGCTGTGTGCTTAGGGTTGTTGTCCCGTTGGAAGGTGAAACTTCGCCCCAGTCTGAGGTCCTGAGCGCTCTGGAGCAGGTTTTCATCAAGGATCTCTCTGTACTTTGTTCTGTTCATCTTTCCCTTGATCCTGACTAGTCTCCCAGTCCCTGCATCTGAAAAATATCCCCACAACATGTTGCTGCCACCACCATGCTTCACCGTAGGGATGGTGCCTGGTTCCCTCCAGACGTGACGCTTGGCATTCAGGCAAAATAGTTCAATCTTGGTTTTATCACACTAGATAATCTTGTTTCTCATGGTCTGAGTCCTTTAGGTGCCATTTAACAAACTCCAAGCGGGCTGTCATATGCCTTTTACTGAGGAGTGCCTTCTGTCTGGCCACTCTACCATAAAGACCTGATTGTCCTTCTGGAAGGTACTCCCATCTCCACAGAGGAACTCTAGAGCTCTGTCAGTGACCATCAGGTATTGATCAAATAAAATAAAATGTTATTGTCACATACACATATTTAGCAGATGTTATTGCGGGTGTAGCTAAATGCTTGTGTTTCTAGCTCCAACAGTGCAGTAATATCTAACAATTCACAACAATACACACAATACACACAAATCTAAAAGTAAAATAATGGAATTAAGAAATATATAAATATTAGGACAAGCAATGTCAGAGTGGCACAGACTAAAATACAGTAGAATAGAATACAGTATATATAGTCGTGGTCAAAAGTTTTGAGAATGACATCACAAAGTCTGCTGCCTCAGTTCTTATGATGGAAATTTGCATATACTCCAGAATGTTATGAAGAGTGACCAGAGTAATTGCAATTAATTGCAAAGTCCCTCTTTGCCATGACAATTAACTTAATCCCCCAAAAACATTTCCACTGCATTTCAGCCTTGCCACAAAAGGACCAGCTGATATCATGTCAGAGATTCTCTCGTTAACACAGGTGAGAGTGTTGATGAGGACAAGGCTGGAGATCACTCTGTCATGCTGATTGAGTTAGAATAACAGACTGGAAGCTTTAAAAGGAGGGTGGTACTTGAAATCATTGTTCTTCCTCTGTTAACCATGGTTACCTGCAAGGAAACACGTGCCGTCATTATTGCATTGCACAAAAAGGGCTTCACAGGCAAGGATATTGCTGCTGGTAAGATTGCACCTAAAACAACCATTTATCGAATAATCAAGAACTTCAAGGAGAGAGGTTCAATTGTTGTGAAGAAGGCTTCAAGGCGCCCAAGAAAGTCCAGCAAGTACCAGGACCGTCTCCTAAAGTTAATTCAGCTGCGGGATCGGGGCACCACCAGTGCAGAGCTTGCTCAGGAATGGCAGCAGGCAGGTGTGAGTGCATCTGCACGCACAGTGAGGCGAAGACTTTTGGAGGATGGCCTGGTGTCAAGAAGGGCAGTGAGGAAGCCACTTCTCTCCAGGAAAAACATCAGGGACAGACTGATATTCTGCAAAAGGTACAGGGATTGGACTGCTGAGGACTGGGGTAAAGTCATTTTCTCTGATGAATCCCCTTTCCGATTTTTTGGGGCATCCGGATAAAAGCTTGTCCGGAGAAGACAAGGTGAGCACTACCATCAGTCCTGTGTCATGCCAACAGTAAAGCATCCTGAGACCATTCATGTGTTGGGTTGCTTCTCAGCCAAGGGAGTGGGCTCACTCACAATTTTGCCTAAGAACACAGCCATGAATAAAGAATGGTACCAACACATCCTCCGAGAGCAACTTCTCCCAACCATCCAAAAACAGTTTGGTAACGAACAATGCCTTTTCCAGCATGATGGAGCACATTGCCATTAGGCAAAAGTGATAACTAAGTGGCTCGGGGAACAAAACATCGACATTTTGGGTCCATGGCCAGGAAACTCCCCAGACCTTAATCCCATTGATAACTTGTGGTCAATTCTCAAGATGTGGGTGGACAAACAAAAACCCACAAATTCTGACAAACTCCAAGCATTGATTATGCAAGAATGGGCTGCCATCAGTCAGGATGTGGCCCAAAAGTTAATTGACAGCATGCCAGGGCGGATTGCAGAGATCTTGAAAAAGAAGGGTCAACACTGCAAAAATTTACTCTTTGCATAAACTTAATGTAATTGTCAATAAAGGCCTTTGACACAAATGGAATGCTTGTGATTATACTTCAGTATACCATAGTAACATCTGAGAAAAATATCTAAAAACACTGAAGCAGCAAACTTTATGAAGACCAATACTTGTGCCATTCTCAACACTTTTGACCACGACTGTACATATGAGAACATTAAAGCAAAAATATGTTTAAAAAAATGTAAAGTGACTAGTGTTCCATTATTAAAGAGGCCAGTGATTTCAAGTCTATGTATATAGGGCAGCAGCCTCTAAGGTGCAGAGTTCTGTAACTGGGTGGAAGCCGCCTAGTGATGGCTATTTAACAGTCTGATGGCCTTGAGATAGAGCTGTTTTTCAGTCTCTCGGTCCCAGCTTTGATGCACATGTACTGACCTCACCTTCTGGATGATAGCTGGGTGAACAGGCAGTGGCTCGGGTGGTTGTTGTCCTTGATTATCTTTTTGGCCTTGCTGTGACATCGGGTGCTGTAGGTGTCCTGGAGGGCAGGTAGTTTGCACCCGGTGATGCGTTGGGCAGACCTCTGGAGAGCCCTGCGGTTGCGGGCGGTGCAGTTGCCGTACCAGGCGGTGATACAGCCCGACAGGATGCTCTCAATTGTGCATCTGTAAAGGTTTTTGAGGGTGTTAGGTGCCAAGCAACATTTCTTCAGCTTCCTGAGGTTGAAGAGGCGCTGTTGCGCCTTCTTCACCACACTGTCTGTGTGGGTGGACCATTTCAGATCGTCAGTGATGTGTATGCCGAGGAACTTGAAGCTCTCCACCTTCTCCACTGCGATCCTGTTGATGTGGATAGGGGCGTGCTCCCTCTACTGTTTCCTGAAGTCCACGATCAACTCCTTTGTTTTGTTGGCGTTGGGTGAGAGGTTATTTTCCTGGCACCACACTCCCAGGGCCCTCACCTCCTCCCTGTACCCTGTCTCGTCATTGTTGGTAATCAGGCCTACTAATGCTGTGTCGTCTGCAAACTTGATGATTGAGTTGGAGGCGTGCACAGGGAGTACAGGAGTATTCCTCTTGCCAGATGGGATAGGGCAGTGTGCAGTGTGATTGCATCGTCTGTGGATCTATTGGGGCGTTAAACAAATTGAAGTGGGTCTATGGTGTCAGGTAAGGTAGAGGTGAAATGATCCTTAACTAGCCTCTCAAAGCACTTAATGATGACAGAAGTGAGTGCTACGGGGCGATAGTCATTTAGTTCAGTTACCTTTGCTTTCTTGGGTACCCAAACAATGGTGGACATCTTGAAGCAAGTGGGGACAGCAGACTGGGATAGGGAGAAATGGAATATGTCCGTAAAAACTCCAGCCAGCTGACCAAGGCCCTTCTCCCCCGATTGCTCAGTTTGGCCGGGCAGCCAGCTCTAGGAAGAGTCTTGGTGGTTCAATGTCTTGGTGGTTAAATGCTGCAGAAATGTTTTGGTATCCTTCCCTAGATCTGTGCCTCGACACAATCCTGTCTCGGAGCTCTACGGACAATTCCTTCCACCTCATGGCTTGGTTTTTGCTCTGACATACACTGTCAACTCTGGGATAATGTCCAATCAATTGAATTTACCACAGGTGGACTCCAATCAAGTTGTTGAAACATCTCAAGGATGATCAATGGAAACAGGATGCACCTGAGCTCAATTTCAAGTCTCATAGCAAAGTGTCTGAATACTTATGTAAATAAGGTATTTCTGTTTGTTTTTTTATGTCTAAAAACTTGTTTTTGCTTTTTCATTATGGGGTGTTGTGTGTAGATTGATGAGGGAAAATGTAATTCATTTTAGAATACGGCTGTAAAGTAACAAAATGTGGAAAAAGTCAACTGGTCAGAATACTTTCCGAATGCACTGTATCATCTTAGCCAGAGGTGAAAGTTGATTTAACGTCTTCCAGGTACCTCCTATGTGTGCATTTTTATGAGCCTAAACATAGAATTACTTATAGAATCCCTATTAATTCAATAGGGCGTAGTCGTAAATATTTGTCATTTAACTTTTGAAATGTATCACCTTTTATTATGGCATAAACACAATCAGTCATGATGTTTTCATCTGATTGTCAAACAAATACTTCAATGGCTCCTTTACTAGGCTATACCCGCGCACGTTCATCCACTCGCAACATATTTTCATCCTCCAGTGTTGAAT